TGAAGCACAGAGGGAACCAGCATTTTGGCTCGATGAGGGGGATCGTGAGGTATGTCTCGGGTAAACAGCTTCGTATTGTCAAGTCTGGTTAGTTTGAACAAGGGATGAACTTGGAAAGAAGCTAATTAGCACCCTATTAACTGAGAGTTCGTCGCCGAGTCTTTAGGCGTTCATATGTGTGGGACTTCAAGGAACAATGGCGGTTGCAAATGAAGCAGGAAGATGAGTGATGATCTAATACACGGCCACGACTACCTAGATAGATTTGTTTGAATTCGCTTCATGGCTCTTGTCCGCTTCGGCTAGATCACACCAGGTCGCTACTATTTAGCTCTCCCATTGGTTCATATGGGGAGAGAAATCACAAGAGGAAGGAACGGGTCACACAAGCCTCTGTGCCCAGGGAGATGATACCAACCCAAGATGCAAACATGCAACATTTGTTGGTGATATTGACGAGGACGGACTGAGGCATGACAAGCTTGAGAGACAACATGGTTTTGACATGACCTCGTCGCAAGACTCCACGCAAACGGGATGCCACCTTGGCAGATAATCATCGCTTTTCAACGAGACAAACACACGGGACAATTAGCCGAAGGGGCGTTGCTTCGATTGAAAAAATGTGTTCTGCACAATGGCTAATGAGGTCGACAGGTCTTCTGTCTCAAAGAAGAAACAGGCAAATAAATGAGCCACACTTGATGGTCCTCTTCCACGACTAGTCTGCAGATACCAACTTGCAGCCAGAGGTGTCGTGCGGATCATCTCACAAGAAGCCTCCCTGACTAGCGGATTGGAAGAAGAGATCAAGGGAAAGCGGGTAATCGTTCCAGAATGCTGATAGAGTGGATGAGCTGGATCAAGCAACTTTACGAATCTTGCCCAAGTGGGTACAGGTGGATGGCATACAGAAACTACGTGAACGCAGGAGCTGGCGCCATTGTTTCCGAGATTATTGGTTGGGTTACACGGGTGAACGAAAGAACAAGTCATGTACACCCACTGTATGCACCACCGTTTAGTGTGACGGTGAGTGTTAGGGAGTATCCGACAATACCGGTTTGGCGGTTGATAACCCAAGCGCGACGAGAGGGCGACACGACGTGAGGCGGTTGGCGGTCCACGGTTGTCGACATGCAGAGTAGCACCGTGAGATGAGCCAATCTAACGCAAAGGCTTGTCCTCAACAAGCAACATGGGCGGGAGAAACGGTCAACGGACTACGAAAGACGACATGACCGGATTGTACCCCCACACGATTGCTGCATGCGCTTCCGCATTTCGTACCTGCGCTAAACTTTCAAGGTTGTATGGAAGTACTGTACGTGCTAGGTAGACTTTGAATGTTCGAAAGCAGTCACCAGTCGGGCAGCCAGTGGCTGCTTCAAAGTGGTGCATAGGCATCACTCATGGCAATTGATGCGAAGTGGGCACGAGACATGTTCCGATCTGGGTAGTTGAAGCATGGATACGAAGGATTCTGTACAAAACTCTCTTTCGCATCAACTCGACTAATAATCATCAGCCATAAGGCGTTGTTTTCATTTCCCCATTTTGACCTCCGCCATGATCGGCGCACGGAAACTCCAATGACGATCCACGGTTGAGAAATTAGACATCATCAGCGCCGCCATGGCTTGACACCGGGCCCGTAGCACCGAACGCACAGACTAGCTTGGAATATTCAAAGTTGGGGAGCCGAATAATTAATTGTATGTACATACATACACAGCAAACCGTCATGGTAGGGGGATTCTCGATGGCGAGCATTGGAGAGTCAGCTAGGTAGAGACAAGCAAGAAACGCCGAACGGTCCAGAGCAACAAGTTGGCACATTTGGATACAAATGACTAAGTTACCTGCAGCTTGCATTGCGAGAAATCCATATCAGCCTGCATGTGCTTGCGCCATCCGATACTCCGTACCAAGGACTCTACAGCCACGCCACCAAGCTGGGTCTTTTCACTGGTGGGCATCACTATAACAACTTGCGCACCTAGGCATACTCCGTACATGTACACTATGCCAGGCTCACCAGTTGGCCCGGCGCTCCAGACCGAGTACTAGCACGGAGCATTCCGCCAGCCAGCCAACAACATGCTGTGTTTTCAATCTACTAGTACTAATAACTTGGTTAGTAGTATTGACTGTACTGAGGATCTGGCTGGGTGCCTGCCAGCGGCGCCCACGAGCCTGTCGTGAGGAGGTAACCCTGTTGCCGTGTTGCCATGTCGCCGCGGTGCCAGATATTACTTGAATTAAATCCTGGGGTGGTAGGGAATACTAGTGGTACACTCCGTATTCTGTGGTGCTGGGCACCTGGTGGGCGCATGGATACCACCGACATCTGGACGTCTCTGATACAGGAACCACACCACTCAGCTCTTAGCACCGTTGACCATTCAATGCCCCTGCCAGCGGCAGCCGGCCCCCCGGTCTATTCTGAGGGTTGATTCCTGCAACCAGTCAAAACAGCCGGCCAATTACGTTGCCCAACACCCAGACCCGGACACCCGAAATGGACCCAGCAGCCAAAGTTGCCAATCATCCAGGCCACTAAGCTAAAAGCATCCCCTGTTGCGCATCCACCGTCCATCCAGGACCATCCACTCACTCCATGTCCCAGTCAGTCCATGTCGACATCTGGACCTTCTCCCGCTCTACTGCTACTTCGTCGTGTCGTCCATGTCCGTCCCTCCTTTTCGCTATCACTCTCACCAGTTACCCCTGCACTGATTGTGCTCTCGCTCTTTTTTCCTTTGCTATCGTTCCCCTTGGGCCAAGATTGGGATACTCCTGGTGAATCCCTACATCAAATTGCTCTCAGCACACTCTCGTTTTGAAATCACAAAACCGGTCAAGCAGCCTCGTAACCGCCAAATTAGTACCAGCTGCTCTCGAGGCGCGCACCCTTCCTTTTTATATCCTCATTCGGCGGAACTACTACTCCTCAGTCTTTAATCTCGACGGCGGCTTCAACTCCTGTTCACCCCCGTACTCCCTATCTGCCTTCTCTTGGTGGCCACTTGCGCAGTCGAAACAGCTCCAATCGGCTTCTTCCAACTGGAACAGGGCAGGACGTTCATTTCCTCTTCTTCTCCGACCAGCTACTTCGCTCTACCCTTCACCCATCATGGGCCAAAGCCTCATCGACAGAATCCAGGCCAAACTGGAGCTCTTCCGCCTCGAGCAGCGATATACCCGTCGTCGCAATCGCCGATCTACCTTCCAGTCGAATGCAATCTACGTTGACGGCGAATACGTCTACCAAACGCCAAACACCACTGGCTCGTCCACAGATTCCAGCAACGATCATGTAGATGCACTCCACGGTGAAATGGTATCGCCCGGCAAAAATATGCCCGTCACTGCTTTCCCCCCCGAGTCCCGCCCGGAAATCTCCATGCCTGAGCGCAAAAAGTTGAGCCGATTCAGTTCCATCCCCAGCCTCGGCAGTGTTTTCGGATCCAAGGAAAGACCGCGAGTTGTCGAGCGACGCACCAGCATGATCAGATGATGTTCCAACTTGCTTCTTGTGTGTATAGTTGTTTAACATGGCCTGATGTGAGATGCGCCCTTTGCAAGGATACATCCTTGAAACCCTCGGTCCAAGGGCCCGCCACGTTGAGAGAACATGGCGGAAATCAACGAGATGGTTTCCAGGTCCGCAAGGAGGGAGGGCAAAGGAAGAGCAAAGAATATGTCTAATGGATCTCTCCCGTCGCGAGGAAATAACACGGGTGCGACTCTTTCACGAATTACCTCGTCATGCCTAGTTCAGCGTTCGTCATCAACCTCGTTATTTTTTAATTTTTTGGGGGGTGTGAAGGGGGGGGATTCATGGGTCACGGCCTCATCGGTTCTGAGGTTCCGTCTTCAGGGAGTTGGGTACATCCAAAAAGCACTGGCCATCGGGCACGTCGAGTCTCGACGGCTTCATATTGGAGCTCTTGTGCGTGGTTTTGCCGTACATGCTTGTAGAGCGTATTTTGGTTTTTTTAAAACCACGGGCTTCCACTTGTACATAGATTTGTCTGGATGAAAATGTTGACACTTTTTTTTCTTCTACATGTGCGCTCTGTTCCTTCAGAGGGCCGAAGCTGTAATCAGTCCCCTCCTCCCCGTGGACTGGAAGAATCAATTGCACAAAGGGCCAGACGTGGCACGAGGGCCACCATGTCTCTGACCCTGTCGTTTTAGACACCGGTGGCAAAGTGTCTCGTGTGAGCACCCAACTGAACGGTGCGACAGTCCTGAACCAGTTTGTTTCGAGCTGATGTCGTCCGCTGGAGAAGGGCGCCTCGTGAGACCGACGAGGTTTGAAACCGGTGGGGGGGCGTTCATGCCCTGGGGACCGAGTGCTCGTCGCCAATGCCGCTGTCAAGCTGTCATGTCTGGTGTCTGGTGAGTTTCAAGTCTCTGCATGTGGTGTCGATTGGCCCTGGAGCCATTGGCCGTTGTGGGGAACGCCGTCGCGGCGACTACGGAAATAACGTCTTGATGCTTTACCTTGTTTGGCTTGACACACACACACACACACACAAAAGGGAAGAGAAGGGTTCATTTGATGTGCTGGCAAAGAATGAAAAAAAAAATCCACGACACAGATGTCTACTTGGGTGAACTGAAATAACTTGTATAAGATGCCTGGCCGGACCCGGACCATGAAGACAGTCGCCTTCTCGCCCGACGCTGCAGGGCAAGCTATCGACTGAGACACATCACATCATGTGGCTTAAAAAAAAGCTAGACTTTGATGCGGATATATTCAAACACCTTATTCACAGACATGGCAAACATGCAACTACGCCATGTTCGTTGCCCAAGCAGGTACGCAGACCGTCCCATCCCACACTATGCCGCTCAACGCCATTCAAATATGCTAGCCCTGCATACGCAGGGTATGCAAATCACACCCTCTCCAAACTCTCTATTTATATGATGCATATGCAAAACAAAATGGCTTTTACATCCTCAAATGGCCAAACCGCCGCCATTTAGTAACTCACGAGCCCCCTTGAAGGAGCCAGATCCCGAGCACCTAGTACAGTTGTCGTTTCGTTGACGTCACCGTATACTTGCAGCTTGGCCATGGATTTCGACCTCGACTTTCGCGGCTTGATCCTGACAGTGTCATCATCTAAAAACTCCTCCTCAACATCCGTTTCGTCCTGGCCGGAGCTTGTGCCGTCAGGGTTGATTGTGAGGCGTGTCCGTCTCAATTTTTTGTCGTGTCTCAGGGGGCTCCTCATGGGGCTTCTCATGACGCAAGTCTGCTCGACGGAAATTCCCAATCGGTTTCTCAGGCGTTGAATCTTCCCAATCAACTTGGCCTGTCCTGGAAAGAATGGCAGAGCCATTTCGTAAGCTCTCAATGCCGAGGCGTCGTCACCCTTCTCCCTGTGTTGCCTGGCAGCCAGCAGAAATCGCAGACCATCAGACTTCGAGTCTACACGAGCATCTTCACTCTCGATGCGCCGCTCGAGGGCCTCTAGGCGTCTTTGCATAGCTTCGCTAACGTCATGTTGAGAAGACGCACCGCGATTTTGGCTTTGCACTGCCTTCTCGGCGGCCGTCCTCGCTGCCAAGATCTCGCCAACCTTTTTCTCGACCATGGCCTCAATTTGTGATGCAGTTACTGTGATGGATGGCTCATCAATGGACGGTCGAGCAAGCTTTCTGGGTCTCGCAATTCCGCTCTCGTGGTCCGATGGGCGCTTGTAGGCGGCGCTGAGGCGAGGCACCAAACTAACATTTACAGCAGCAGGTCGCGGCAGCGATGTTGCCATGGAGATGGTCTTGGTCGGAGACTGCCTGGCCTTGTCTGTGTAAACACTGAACGACTTGATGGGTCGAGTTACGTCTGCAGAACCTTTGGCAGCTACGTTGCCATTGTGCACGTTGTGAGCGCTCAAGGCATGAGCCAGCGGTCGAAGCGGCTGGCGCTGAACGGTATGAGAGCCCGCCGATCTGGGGAACTGCTTGAACACTACTTCGTTCTCAATCTCGCGGACTTCTATCCGCTTCGCCCGGGAACTGACGTTTAGACTGCTCAGGGTGTCAAGGTGGTAGCTGCGGAGAGGAGCCAGGTTCAAGAACATAATAGTGATGCCGTTGTTCTGACCAAGGGAGAGAATCCGGGTCATTTTGGATTCTCTATACGGAATGCGCTTGTCACCTCTTGAAATGGCATCGATACACTGGCTGAGGACAAAGAGGCTCTTGTTGATAGCCGCCGATTCGACCAGTCTCTCCTTGCCATTGTCAGTGCGGCGGTTGTCTTCTGAACCTGCCAAGTCAATGGCAGATACAGTACTCTCACGGATCATTTCGTCCGTGGTTTGGGTTACCTTGACGCGGAGGATGGCGTGACTCCGACTACTGTGCGCGTTCAGCTTTGTGGACGCGGTAACACGGTTGTTGTTAGCCTCAATGTACAGCTTCTCAAAGTCTCGGAGGTCCTCGCAGGCTCGCTCAGATAGCCCAGCTACAACGGTTCTCCCGCTGGCCTCGGCGCGAAGGGGCAGTCCGGATGGTGTTCTCTTCTCGGGCGGCTCGAGCAAGTCAAACACCTTGTCATTGTAAATCTCGTAGTACGACAGGCTGACGTTTACCGTCGTGTTGCCCTCGGAGTCCTTGGCAATCTTCTTGCCTCTTCGAAACACGCCGCTCAAAAGCCGGGGAATAACTCCTCGGTCGGCGAGCTTGAGACCGCCACGCATAGTGTGCGTCTTCCCCGTGCCAGTGACGCCGTAGGCGAATATTGTGACATCATATCCCTGGAATAGTGACTTGAGATGCGGCTGTACTGTTCAAGGCTTTAGCATTGGGGGAGGGACAGAGGTGGACGCGTCCTTCAGACGTTTGGAGAGGGGCAAGGACAGGAACTGCCGTTCCTTTTGCAACCCATACCTTCAGAAGTAAACAGCGTCTCTTGTGATGTCGACTGATCGTATACGGCATTGAACGCAAAGGAAAAGTCCTCAGCCTGGTTCTTCGGGTTGGGGATCTTGACAATGGTGTGCGGCCCGCCTGCTTCAGCACCGTCAGGACGAACAATGATGTCCTTGTCCAGCTCTGTCTCCAGCAGCGGACGTATCCTCGCAACAACACGAACGGACATGGCTGATGTTTAAGGGAAAGAAGGCATGCAAGGCAAAGCACCAGACACGACAGAAAGGACGCCAAGTGACAAAGGGAACGTCGCGATGCAACCCGAAGCACGCGACGGCGATTTACAATGAACGCTCCCGGCACTACTCCCGTACACGATACTTGTGTCCAGGGAGATGACGGGTGATGGAAACTCGCTGGCAAACCGAGTAACTACGGAGTACTAGGTCCAGCCAGGATCTTTGGTGTGGAGGTGCCAATTCATTGGCAAAGCAAAGCGAGATTGGCATGGTTGTCTGGGCAACGACAGCTCCAGCCAATAGCCGGGTCATCTCAACAGGGCTGCCCACGATGGTGGGGCCAGTGGACGGCATCGGAAAAAGCCGCCCTCCCAGCCAAGCGTGCCACCCAAGCATGTGTGAGCTGCGCATCGACGTCAACCGTCCGTTCTTGCGACCGCCACGGACGAACAAAAGTCTCCTCAAAGAGACTGCGACGCCATGATGCGAGGGTCTTCGCCGCTGGTGAGGTCGACACGTGGTCTGCGTCTTCAGCGGCCCGCGTCCTTTGTCTGCTGGCAATGCAGGAGTATTCACATTAGCACCGCACCGAGCACCGAGTCCCCAAGGGTGCCGGGCGATGCCTTCGGAGCTCCCATTGACGGCGCGCGAGATATGGCCGGTAAGCCGACTGCTCATTTTCGCACTCCTAGCTTGGCTCAGCATAGTTTGAAGCTAACATGGGACTTTTACAGATGCTCGATTCGAAGTTCTTGGATCTCCATACTCACTGCTATCCGTCACCCTTTCAGCATCGCAGAAACTTTACACGAGGCGGGGCACACTTGTTGCTGTAGCTGGAAAGCCAGATAATGTATGAATGATGAAGCGGTGTGATTATGGCATGCGATTCGGTCCAAACTTGTTGGGGAAATACTTCTAACTGCATGCTTGCCCAAGGCCCAATCGACCTTGTCACTGTTGAATCCTGTAACCCGAGCTGCTTTCGGAGTTCCGTTTGTCTACCAGCGAATTTCCGCGACGACACCCATTACCGCTCTCATCTCGACAAAATCACCGACGACTACGTTTACCGTGCTTCACCTCGATGGCACTACCGATTGGATGGTTTCGCAACGAAATGCGCTCCTCGCTTGGACAGGCCACACTTTGACACTGTCTTCCCGGATCCAGCGCAGGCTTGCGCTTGCACACTGGGGCAGTACACAGTTAACTGGGCGGGGACTGGCCGCCCTATCTGCTCCTGGACAAATCTACCAGCTTACACTGGGAGAAGGCGAAGAGTTTGTCGCCCATCCGGGCAGCGTTGTCGCTTACTCTGTTTCAAGAAACGCACCGCAGCCATTCCGTTTCAAGAGCACCAGCCTGCGTCTTCAGGTGCCCTCATTAACATCTTGGATTCCAGAGATGGAGTTTGTCAAGACGGTGCGAAACTCGGATGTCTACAAATTTCTTGCTGGGGCTTTGCACAACTTCCGAACCATGGCACGACGAACCATCTGGGGTGACCGTCTATTCCTTCAGTTCAAGGGCCCTGCCACCATCCTGATGTCAAGTCGGGGTGTGCGTGTCGCAGATGTCTTGTCTCGAGAGCAAGTCAATGAAATTGCCGATGCACCGGCGGGAGTATTACCCTCAGCTGTCGAGCTGGCGAACAAGCCGAAGCAGGGAGGGCAGGTGCTAGACAAGTCTCAAGCAGACGAGGCCGCCAGCAATCTGCAAGTTGGATCGCCGCCGAAAGACAGCAAGGTTGTATTAGAAGAGGGAAGGGAGCTGAAGGAGTTTGTGCGGTAATGAGAAGCGCTGTTGGCTGGGGAGAGCCAAAATGACACGAACAAGACACGTTTGCTCATTTGTATTCCATATTGACGGTAGAAGTGTATTAGTACTACAAGACAAGCTACTGAATATTCATAGATTTTGAGTGGACGACAGCGAGCTTTCTCCTCCCAGTTGTCATTCCGCTGGGGCCGGGTTTGGGACCGGGCGTGTCACAGGTACTCGCATCCAACGTTGCGGGTGTAAATCAAAATCAGATGTCCATATTGACATGCAGAGTACAGGCGTCTCGGCCGGCAAGGTTCGTCGTGTTTCAGTCATACATTTCTCTTTTCTATGTGGGCGTCAAACAAACCACCGGATATCTACCGCCCCTTTGCGCCGTGTATACTGTCCGCTCATCCGCATGAACAGTTGCTATACTTCCATAGTCATCACGCGCCGGCGCCCGTGGCGGGAGCTGGTGAATGCATTTCCAGCTCATGGGTGTTTGAATCGTTTCGCGGTGCCATAACGCAGCCATGCGGCCCTTGGAGGGTTTGCGCCGACAACCATGCCTTGAGTGACTCTACCGACACAGTTGCTTGCTTGCTTGTTGCCAATGCACTGCCAAGCCCGGGATGTCTGACAGTTTTGGTCGCCGCGGGCACAATAGAAACCCGGCAGTCACAATAACAACCGGCGCTCAGGTCCCCCGGATCTCTCTGGACGGGCGAGACACGGAATAGCCAATAAAGAACCACCAAATACGCATGCAGCGTCTCTTCACAACAGGTGCGTCGTGTCGGTTTCCTCGGAACCTTGTACGTTGTTGTGGGCGAGTGCACTGAGCCGCTGCCCGGATGTGTTGGCTCACCGGGATCACCGCGACAGGATCACCGCGACCGCGGAACAAAGGACAACAATAGCATTTTGTACAAGATCATGTGTGATGATCGCCGAGCGATGCTGTAGCATCTTTTTGGTGTATTGTTTGCCCAAGCAGAGTGCTGGCTGGTGGGATATAACATCGGCCAAGTGTCCTAGACTCTGCTCGCCGCCATCCTCGGCTCCTTGTCTCTTCTTCCGCCCTTCGCTTATAACCCAGCATTCATTATACAGAGGCGCCCGTATTTTCAGAGATTACCATCTTTTTATAAATAGCGATTTTCACCGTTCCTATTACACCCCGCGGGAACCATTCGCCCGATAGACACGGTGTAAGTCGGCCCAACCACCGTAACCACAACACTTGCCAGGATTCTGCTGCGCTCTTCGCATGAAGCAGCAGGTATAAACGGCCACCGCGGCGTCTTTCACTTCAGCAAGTCATCTGCGCCGTTTGCCTCGGTCAAGATGCCGTTTGCAAACCCCGAGAAGGCGGTTGACGGAACCACGTCCTCCACCGAGTCGCTGGGCTCAACGACTCTCTGCCTCAGCTCGTGCCCGTCCGACCATCAGCTTGGCGAGAAGCAACCCCAGCCGACTGCGGCACGAGCGTCCCAGAGCATACTGAAACACGGCGTCCCGAGCGCCGACCCGGAGGCAACGGCTACAGAAGCCGGCAACGACGCCGACTACCCCGACGGCGGCCTTCGCGCATGGCTCGTCGTGTTCGGCGGCTGGTGCGCCTCCTTTTGCACCTTTGGGCTGCTCAACTGCTCCGGCGTGTTTGTCGAATACTACGCCTCTGGTCCTCTGGCGCACCACGACGCCTCCGCCATCGGCTGGATCACGGCCGTCCAGGCATTCCTCATGATATCTGCCAGCACGGTTGTAAGCCTGCCCCTCCCCCCTCCCCATTCTCTCCTCCCGAGGTTTTCTAACCCTCTGGTCTTATGTTTCCCCCCCAATAGTTCGGGCGAGTCTTTGACAACTACGGGCCGAAGTGGCTCCTGGGGCCCGGCGCGGCCTTCCTCCTCTTCGGGCTGGTGATGATGTCCTGCTGCAAAGAGTACCACCAGTTCTTCCTTGCGCAGTCCGTCGCCGCGGGGCTCGGCTCCAGCGCCGTCTTCAGCGCGTCCATGCCGTGCGTGGCGTCGTGGTTTTTGAGACGCCGCTCCGCCGCGTACGGCATCATGGCCGCCGGGGGCTCCGTGGGCGGCGTCGTGCTGCCCATCACGATAGACCGCCTCATCCGGGGCTTCGGCTTCCCCTGGATGATGCGCACGCTGGCGTGTATATTCCTTCCCCTGTTGACCGTCGCCTGCTGCACCGTCAGGCCGAGGCTGCCGCCGCGCCTGCGCCCGTTCAAGCTCACGGATTGCTTCGGCGCCCTGGGGGATATCCGCCTGGCCGCCACGACGGCCGCCTTCTTCTTCTTCATGGTTGGCATGTGGCTGCCATTTAATTTTGCTCTGTTGCAGGCCCGGGCCGCCGGGGTCCCAGCGGCTCTGATTCCGTATCTGCTGCCGATTCTCAATGCTGCAAGGTACCATACCATCTCTTTCTTCTTCTATACGTGTCAATTGGGAAAGAAAGGATATTGCACGGCTTTCCCCCCCTGGAGAACCCCCCTTTGCTGACTTTGGATCTTGTTAGCATCTTTGGCCGCATCATTCCGGGGATTGCAGCCGATAAACTGGGCCGCTTCAACGTCATGATCTTTATCGGCTTCCTCTCTGCTCTCTCCTGCCTGGCCGTCTGGATACCCGTTAGAAACGCGGCCGGCATCGTCGTCTTCTTGGCTGTATTCGGCTTCTCCTCAGGCGGATTCATCTCCCTGTCTGCCACCCTCATTGCTCAGATCTCCGACATTAGCCAAATCGGCACAAATGTCGGCACGGCCTTCGCAGTCATGTCCCTTGGCGCCCTGGTGGGAAGTCCTGTCGGCGGCGCCCTCGTTGCCACAGACGACGGCAACTACCTGGGCCTGCAGCTCTTTTGTGGCCTTTCTCTTTTGGCCTCGACGTGTACCTTTGTCGTGGTAAGGTTTCTACTGGTTGGCTCCAAATTATCCGCCGTGTAAAGGTGGCATTGGAACTTTATTCCCTCTCCCATTGTTTTTTTCTCTGTCTAGTTGACTGTGTGTGAGAGTTTGGGGGCACGGGCAATGGTTGCTGTGTAGATAATTATCGCGTTGGTAAACATGATGCCGCTGTGAATGGCTTCAAGAAAGGCGCCAAAATGCAGCGGCTGAGGGGACATGACGAACGATGTCGTATTTCGCATTTACATGGTATCCCCGCGCTGAGCCTTGGAAAAAGCTGCTTTGCTGCGGCCTCCTTCAGATGAAGCGTGCCTAAAAGGACAGCCAAAATACATGACTTTTTTTGAGAGAGAGAGAGCTTCACCGAATAAGTCCCAGCTGAAGGCCTAGCACTCTATTTTGAGAATCCGTCGACGCCGGGAAATGCCCATGCACGTCTCGCGCTCGCGACTCACACACATAGTGTAAGCACGATCCAGCCATCAAGACCCTTTGACTTACCCATCTCTCACCAATTCAAAGCCCATCGACACAGCATATACATGATCCAACAATATCTCCGCGCCTCCGCATCCGCCCAGCCATGCCCGTCAACAAAACGGCCATGCTCGAAGCCCTTCACAGCGCGCTGCGAAACAGCAATTTCCACAAACGCTGTTTCCCGGACTCAGATCCAACCTCCCAGCGGCAATACGTCAACTGGATCGAGAATAACACGGCCCACCCTACGGCCCCGATTGCCGGGTGGGCACGCTGGCTCCGGCGTCTGGCTCCGGCTCCGGCTCCGGCTCCAGGCGCCAAGCCCACGGCCTTCACCGAGACCATGTTCCCGGCCGCCGGCGATGCGAAACCCGCTGCGAGCTTCTTTCAAGCCAATTTTGACGCGATGAACAAGGCCAGGGCCAATCAAACGTGTAGTTTCTGTCTATGCTCATCGTATCAGAGGTGTCTGAGAAGCGTGGCGCCGATAAGGAGCTTTCGAGATGGGGAGTTGACAAGGCAGATAGAGAAGGGTAGGCAGCTTTTGGAAATGCCACCCCGGAAACAAAGGCACTGTTTGAGGGCTTTGGATTCTATGTTGCTGAACGTCATGAGTTTCAAGGTGGCTTGGTGACAAATCACATGTTGAGTGAGGGCGGCGAGTCCACAACCACTTAGTTTCATCGACGACGCCCAGCCCGTCGAGCAATACGTATCGCCGCTCGATATTTTTCTACCTTGCCATGCGTATTGAGCCAGTCAATGAAATGTCCTTGCCATACAACTGAGCTCATGGAGCGATAATATTGTGTTGAGGTCCAGGCCGTCGAATTCAAAGAAATCTTCATACTCTGAAGCATTACTAGTTACTTAAGGAGACTAGAAGCTGTAGAAACAAACCATCATATCCACCTTGCAACGTATCGCGCCACATACTTATACACTGCTAACTCCCTCTCAGACAAAAAACCCCCTTGAATATTTATTTCGTATGAATGGTCAGTTTTTCAGCAGCTTTCTGCCAAAGTCCATTCCGCTGCCATGTCCACTCTGACAATGCCGGCGGATCCATACCTATCTCAAAGGCCTCGTTACGGGCAGCAATCTGCTGGTCCAGCAGTGCTTGTCGAGCCGAAGCACCGCGGTTACCCAGCAACTTCATACGGTCAATAGCATCGATAGCGAGGCTGAAACGATCAGTCTGATTGCGAATAGCCAATTCTAGTGGTGTGTCGATGTTGCCTTTCTCACGGTATCCTCGGACGTGCAGATTCTTGCTGCCGGGTCGCTTGTAGGTGAGACGGTGCACCATCCAGGGGTAGCTGTGGAAGTTGAAGATGATGGGGGTGTTTTCAGTAAAGATGCTGATCCATTCTTTGTCTGTGAGACCATGCGGGTGATCAGTCGGGTGGATTAGCTTGAATAAGTCGACACAGTTGACGACGCGGATTTTGAGATCGGGAAAGTAGTTGAGCAGAAGATCGACAGCGGCAATGGACTCTTGAGTGCTAATGTCGCCACAGGAAGCCATTATCAGATCGGGCTCACAACCTGAGTCAGTACTAAACTTTGTCCAGATGCCAATTCCTTTAGTGCAGTGCTGAATGGCATTCTCCATGTCTAGGTATTGCAGGTGATCTTGCTTGTCGGCAACAATAACGTTGACATAGTTATTCGATCGGAAACAGTGATCCATGACTACGCCTGATTAGTAATGCCATCTTCTTCTAGTTCCAAGTTTTCCCCCTCCTCTCTAGGAACCACATTGGCCAAAAGCATGGGTTGAGACTCACCAGACAAGAGACAGTTGCCATCAGGAGGCAGGTAGATGCGAACAACCTCGGGGCTTTTATTGGCAATAACGTCGAGGAAACCTGGGTCCTGATGGGTGAAGCCATTGTGATCCTGTCTCCAAACAAGAGCGGTCAGAAGGATATTGAGCGAAGCAACCTTGGCTCGCCATTCCACCTCCAGACACTTTTCAATCCACTTGCAGTGCTGTAATGTTGTTAGCACTATCGTCATCATAGGCATCGTTGCATGGCCGACATACCTGATTGACCATGGAGTCAATGACATGAATAAACGGCTCGTAGCTGTTCAAAAGACCATGGCGACCACTCAAAATATACCCTTCGAGCCACCCTTCGCAAGTATGTTCGGAGAGCATCTCCATGACACGCCCAGCCATGGCAAGGTTGCCACCATTGGCATCTTCCTCGAAGTACTCACCCATCCAAACCTTCTTACCCGCCTCGTAAACTCGAGCCAACTTATTCGATTCCGTTTCGTCTGGACCAAATAGTCTAAAGTTGTGCATGTTCAGTGCCATGATGTCTCTCAGGAAGCCGGCCATATTTGTCATGCTACCGTTCATTGTGGCGCCAGGTTGATCAACCTTGATGGCATAATCTCTGAAGTCAGGCATCTTGAGAGGCTTCTTAATAAGACCTCCGTTAGTCACCAAGTTGGCACTCATGCGGCGATGTCCCTCGGGGCACAGAGCTCGCAAGGCAGCGACTGGTGCACCTTCCTTGTTGAAGAGTCTGTCCGGCTCGTAGCTACGCATCCAATTTTCGAGAACCTTGAGATGCTCAGAGTTTGTGTTGACATCGGTAATGGGGACTTGGTGCGCTCTCCAGAATCCTCCAAGATAGTTGTTATCGACCTTTCGGGGCGCGGTCCATCCCTTGGGCGTTCGCAAGACAATCATTGGCCATCTGGGACGGAAAGCTTTCCCGCTCTCTCGGGCTTCTTTTTGGTAGTCTTTGATCAGGCGGACGCAGTGTTCGAGAGTTGCGGCCATGGCCTGGTGCATGCTGTCCAATTCGTCGCCCTCAACAAAGAAGGGCTCCCAGCCGTAGCCAATGAACAGATTCTTGAGCTCATCGTGGGAAATACGGGCAAGGACGGTGGGATTGTTGATTTTGTACCCGTTAAGATGCAAGACTGGCAAAACAGCTCCATCTGTTATGGGATTTAGAAACTTGGTCGAGTGCCATGAAGTTGCCAGAGGACCAGTCTCGGCTTCACCATCGCCAACCATGGTCAAGGCAATCAGGTCTGGGTGGTCAAAAACTGAGCCAAACGCATGGGAAATGGAATAGCCCAATTCACCACCTTCATGAATGGAGCCAGGAGTTTCAGGGGTGGCGTGAGAGCCAATGCCACCAGGGAATGAAAAGTACTTGAAGAACTTCTGGAGGCCTGCAGCATCCAAGGATTTCTCCGGGTAGACTTCTGAGTAGACGCCCTCCAAGTAGGACTGTGAGAGCACAGCAGGCGCGCCATGGCCAGGGCCAGATACGAAATAGGCATTCAGGTCGTACTTTTTGATTAGACGATTGAAGTGCATATAGGTGAAAATCTGACCGGGAGCAGAACCAAAGTGGCCAAGAAGACGCTGCTTCAAGTGTGCCTTGCTGAGAGGCTCGCGAAGCAGCGGGTTATCTCGGAGGTAAATCATACCCAAAGACAAGTAGCAGCTGGCCTTGAAGTAGTCGTTGTACAGAGCAATATCGGAGGAGCTTAGCGGATTGCCCTTGACAGTTGAACGAGCTGGACCAAAGGCCCGGATGGATTGTTCGTCAGCCATTGCGAATGGCGGGTGTTGGATGTTGAATAGCTCCTCCGGCGCTGGTGACAGGGTCGGTTGAAGCTCAGAAAGGGCGAGACGGAGAGACGGTTTCGCAGTGTGAGCAATGTCAGCAAGCTTCCCGAGGAAAGGTAATCAAATTGGCATGAACAGGCCAATTGGATGATGAAGTAAGAATAGGAAGCAAAGAAGTTGGCATTCGGGGACCCGGCACGCCCATGGCGACAGTTTTGAAGGGTAGCATGACGATTACATGACTATTGTAGGTCCAGAGTCCAGACGCAAGGTCCTCTGGCCGGGCCGTTTACATCGGCGATCCGCAAACAGAGTGGGCGGCATGGTGCGAAGGTTGTCCCACGGTGGCTCAGTGATGGAATCGGAAAGGAAGTTGGCAGCAGCTAATTCGACGGCGAAGCTGCTGGCTGTACGGCGTCGGTGGTGGTTCGTGGCCCAATGGGCAGATGCGGAACCACCGGATGATGGAGGACTGGGAGAAGTATTGAATGCGATGGCCACTGGTGGCGTCACACGGAAGGAAGGACCACTGGACGAGTTGGAGGTGGCAGGTGCTGGTCCAGAGACTTGGCGAGACATGACATTGGGAACATTGGAACTCGTTAAATTCAAAGGCCACAAAGTACGGCGGTGCGCAGAGCTTTTGTATATTCCCTGCTACCTCAAATATTGCGGCATTCAAGGAAAGGAGGTCAATTGCATCTTGATCTCGATGGTGCTTGCAGGTCAAGATGCAACATCAATTGATAACGATGGGCCCAATCTAAATTGATAGCAGTTGCCCTTGGGCAGGTACCGGACAGTGGGCGTACTGAATTACATAGCTCCGTACATGTAAGGAGTACTGTGCTCGAGCTTGCTGAGCTACCAGACAGCAGCAGCCACATGCAACATAGCAAGGGCAGCTCGTGAAGCTTCGAGAGGCAAAATCAAGTGGCATTTCGCGTCAACAGGGATCTCCCATGTCGAAGCACTCGCAGACTTCACAAGACCGGTCTCTCTCAGTCGGCATTGCCAGCGAATCGCATCAAAAATCGATAGCATCTGTGCATCAAAATCTCCTGAGCTTTTCAATGCTACACTACGGGATGCCTGCTCCATCACTCGATCCCTCTTTCTGGATCACGCACTAGCGTCATATCTGCCAACCTGCCCACTTAGCATTTGCCTGGCAGCTGTCATCGCATGAGGTCTGCATCAATTGATGCGTCATCCAGTTGTAACGTGCAGCTGAGTAGCGCTGAGCTGTCACAACTGGCCACCCAGCCGGTACGTACCAGTTTCTGTCAACCCACCAGTTGACATGCAGCTTCCATTGACATGTGCAGTCAATCTGAAGTTGCCCCTCCAATCACTACAATATCACCTGACGTCAATTGCGAGGTTCCCCGCCGCCAGCGATGAAAAGATTGAATCCAAATGCCGCTTTTGCCCATCGTTCGATGCCGCATCCAGTCCGTCATAGCAACAACATGTGAACTTGACGTACCTTATTCAACAGCAATCAATTACTGAAAACCCCTTGTTCCTTTTACCAAGCCAAGGAAAAGAAGAAAGACGGAGAAAGAAAGAGACAATGGAGCATCGACCAGAGACGCCCGCGCCTGTGCCGTCAGCTCCTCTAGATCCAGAACCGGTGCCAACCAATCCCGGTGGCGATGGTCCAGTTGACTATTGAGTCTTTGACCATCGATCCCCGCCGCGGGGAGGACAACCATGTCCGCAAAAACCCATAGAGAATGATTTGGGTAGATACCAGCAACGTATCCAGGGACTCAAGACGATGAAGCAGATATGCGCGAGATGAGAGCTCAAATGTTGAAGATCAACACTATGGCTGCAACGGTAAAAAAAAAAAAGTGCAACGTCGTTCAAAGATGACTATGATGATATCGAGAACGTCGGAAGTGGCCGGGTTTTATGTACACGCGTTTGATGACTGGATGACGAATATTTGTTATTATTACTAGATTGTACGATAGCCTTTGAAAGCGGAATACAATCAATTCCAAGCCGCGGAAATTGGCACTACTTGATGCTCTTGAATCTAGTATGCCACCAAGTCTGCCGCCTTTTGTCGATGCCGGTTCCCTTTCAACTCGCCCCACTTGAACCGTTAGTTTACATCATCTCACATTCTCAAATACCTCCATCCGCTGCACGACGTTGCGGCTGCCAGAGTGAGTTTGTTTACTTGGCTGAATGCGAATGTGAAAGAATTTACAGCTTACAATTCATCACACAAGTTCTGCTTCGAGGGCCGCGGCGAACACTCCCTCCGCCAGCATCAAACACCAAACCGACAGATCCAACATCCGGAAAACTCGGCAGCATGGACGGTCCGTCCAGCTCTCTGCCTCCGGAGGCCATCGAATTGGCCGGGCGCATGTATGACGCAGCAAGGGCCGGTGATCTGGCCACTTTTCAACAAGCCCTCCCTGCTGGTCTGCCGGCGAACCTGACCAACGAGAAAGGCGACACGCTGGTTTGTACAGAACCACAGCCATAGTTGACCAGGAAAGCCACCTCTAACCTGCGGAATTCGTAACCAGCTCATGCTTGCGGCCTATTACGGCCACGCAGAATTAGTCACGCTCCTTATCCAGCACGGCGCGGACCCAAACCGCCTCAATGATAAGAACCAGAGTCCTCTGGCGGGAGCTGTGTTTAAGAAAGAAGATGCCGTCATCGAGGCAAGTTGTTACATCTGTTCCGAAACTGAGGCAATGACTTATGCAGTTTTCGGCAGGCACTGTTAGAGGGAGGCGCAGATCCAGAACATGGAAATCCAAACGCTATGCAATGCGTGGCCATGTTTAAGCAGGAGGAGGCTTGGAAGGCCAAATTCGATGCGGCACCTGGGCGAGGAAAGGCGAAAGAGCCGGCGCAAGGTCCATCGTTGTAATGGTGTTGAATATATGAGACCAAAACCCCCAGAGGCTTCAGTCGAGGGCCCAGTGTGTTTCTCTGCCGCCTTCTTACGGACATCTCGCCTCGGCCGTCTCAATAGGCATGCTGTGGCGCTCCTTAGAATATCAACTTGAGGCTGATTTATTGTCTGGATTTGAGTGACGTGAGGGTTCCCATTTCAGGGATTCCTTGGCCTGTCAGTATGTCTTTGGTTGCCCCAGCTGCTGTTGAGGGTTGGCGCTGTTATCAGGTTCGGGTTCGCTCCCCCTGAGTGCATTGTTTCCTATGGGCGTTGTTGACTGAGACATCGCGTCATCCACAGGTTCGGGTTGACTCCAAGTAGGATTTGGGTCTATCGTCTTTACAATGTGCCCCCAATGTCCTTGAAGGTGGTCACAACACCGTATTCTGGACTATATTAGTATTGGTGTCCCAGGAGCGGTTGTGAGATAATCTTAGTTGGCCCTAGGGTAATTTAACTACAGCCAAGGAGGGAATTATATCTCAATATGGAATGAGGTGAGGCCGAGCGACGGGCATCTTGATTTACTATGTTTCTTGTCCTTTGCTTTAATTATCAATCATCTCAATCCGCTCAGTACATCGAATGTTCGAGGCTGCGGCTCGATATTCAGTGACTTGAATTAATAATGATCAAAACCCGTTCCGCACATATGAGATACGTTGAGTGGCTTTGTGTCCTTGGCATAAGCTGCAAATCTTGTGCACACGAGGATCGCATTTCCATGTTTAATCCGTCCTACACTTCAACTAGAGAGCCGATCCAACGGAACTACATTCATCCCCAAGGCCCTCTTGAGACTCGGGAAAACACAGGCCGCCCAATAGATTCCTAACGAGGAGGACGAGGAGGTAACTAGACTTGGCCCTAGACTTGGCCTATTAAACACGGCTAGCTCACTCATCTGATGGCTACTATGTCTTGGATGATATGCATTCTACACTGACGCTCGTAGAATGCAGAATCAGAATGTAGAATCATCATGCAGGACAAACGTGCTTCGAGCTCTCAATCAAAACCTCAATGGGCCTGGTAAGCTATTCTACGTACAGTGCGTGTTGTACAGTGTTCCCCGCACCGTCCGACAACACCACGCAGAGACAACAATTTTTTTGGCTGGAGCTCCCAAGGCAGGCAGGCATTCTGTGCATCCACATCCCACTGACAACCGTCATCGCACTTCGTGGGACTCGACCAGCACGAAAACCGCGCGCAGAATTCGCTGTCGAGCTCCAAGGCGACCGGCAATCTCACGACCACCGCCAATATGTCGTTTGGAGGCCAAACTCCCACCATCATCGTCCTCAAGGAAGGTGAGAGCTGCCCCACCGCCATCACCACCCCTCGTCGCTTCCGAGTCTCGTCTCGCCGCCGGGAGGCTTCACGTGCCTACCGTACCGTCTTGAGAACTCCCTTCGGCTAATTGCACTCTTCCGGGAATAGGCACCGATACCTCCCAGGGCAAGGGCCAAATTGTATCCAACATCAATGCCTGTCTCGCTGTTCAGGCCACCATCAAATCGACCCTAGGCCCTTACGGCGGGGACCTGTTGATGGTTGATGAGAATGGCAAGCAGACCATCACCAACGACGGCGCCACCGTCATGAAGGTTCGACGCTACTCCAAAACTCTTGACACACCTCGTTATATACGACATGCGGCTTGGCATAAAAAGCCCATATGCTAACTTGTCCGCAAAGCTCCTCGATATTGTCCACCCCGCTGCCCGGATCCTCGTCGACATCGCTCGATCACAAGACGCTGAAGTTGGCGACGGCACAACCTCCGTCGTTGTTCTTGCGGGCGAGATCTTGAAGGAGGTCAAAGACCATGTCGAGCAGGGTGTCAGCTCTCAGATCATCATCAAGGGTTTGAGAAGAGCATCACAGTTGGCTGTTAATAAGATCAAGGAGATCGCTATTAGCACCAACGAGGGTAATCGTCGCGACACGCTGAAAAAGTTGGCCGCTACCGCCATGACCAGCAAGTTGATCAAGCAAAACACAGGGTTCTTCACGGAGAGTAAGATGACTGACACTTTGTCGACCCTTAAACCAAGATGGCAGCTGCTAACCCGGTGTTCACAATGCAGTGGTTGTCGATGCCGTATTGTCCCTCGACCAAGACGATCTCAACGAGAAGTTGATTGGAATCAAGAAAATCCCCGGCGGCTCCCTGACCGACTCGCGATTCGTCAACGGTGTGGCTTTCAAGAAGACCTTCTCGTACGCCGGTTTCGAGCAACAACCCAAATCGTTCAAGAAGCCTAAGATTGTATGCTTGAACGTGGAGTTGGAACTCAAGGCCGAGAAGGACAACGCCGAGGTTCGTGTGGAGCAGGTGTCAGAGTATCAAGCCATTGTCGACGCTGAGTGGCAGATTATCTACAAGAAGCTGGAGGCTATCTACAAGACTGGTGCCAAAGTTGTTCTGAGCAAGCTGCCCATTGGCGATTTGGCCACTCAATATTTTGCCGACAGAGACATCTTCTGCGCCGGCCGTGTCTCTTCAGAGGATATGGAGCGTGTGGTCCAGGCTACCGGCGCTGTTATCCAGTCAACGTGCTCTGACATCCTGCCCGAGCACCTGGGCACATGTGGTAGCTTCGAGGAGCGCCAGATCGGCGGCGAGCGATTCAACTTCTTCGAGGAGTGCCCTGAAGCCAAGACCTGCACCCTGGTGCTGCGTGGAGGTGCAGAGCAGTTTATTGCCGAGGTTGAGCGATCCCTGCACGACGCCATCATGATTGTCAAGAGAGCCATCAAGAACCACATGGTTGTTGGGGGTGGTGGTGCTGTCGAAATGGAAATCTCAGCCTACCTACACCGTTTTGCTGACAAGAACATTTCCCACAAGCAACAAGCCATCATCAAATCATTCGCCAAGGCCCTCGAGATCATCCCGCGACAGCTATGCGATAATGCCGGATTCGACGCCACCGATATCCTCAACAAGCTGCGCGTGGAGCACCGCAAGGGCAGCACCTGGGCAGGAGTGGACTTCAAGAATGAAGGTGTAGCCGACATGATGGAGCGGTTTGTCTGGGAACCGGCCCTTGTCAAGATCAACGCTCTGCAGGCCGCTACTGAAGCCAGTTGCTTGATCCTGGGAGTAGACGAAACCATTCGAAACGAGGAAAGTGCGAAGCCCCAAGCCCCCGGCCAGCTGCCGCCGGGCGCTGCTCAGCGGGCAGTCCGTGGTCGTGGCCGTGGAATGCCCCGTCGATGAGCATGGTGAAAACGGGGGCGCAAAACAAAATGAGAGAAGTTGTAGGACACGGATAGATGTGGGTTGCAGAAAATGAAAAAAAAGGGTATATAGGGAAATGAAACTATGGGGCGTTGAGGGTCTGTATGATACCTAGAAGACGACTTCTATACTAGACCTGTTGTCCTCGTCACCTGTCTAACTTGACGCGCTTATGTGTGTCTCTTGGATGCGTATTCTCCGCAATGCTGCAGTTGGCGCCCACCAGTGACAGTCGTTATGAAACGCTACATGTATGTACAAATACTACCGCTGTGGGAAGAATCAAAAGCACAAGCAATGCTATACCTATACCACCGGCCCCCTATCCCCCGTCAAACCCAACGTCATACAGCCTGTCGCGATGCCCCGTCCTCCTCGCTTCGTCTAGACAGTCCATGGGGCCTTCATGACAGTCGACGTCTTCGTGCTCGATCAACATTTCTAAATCTCTGTCCACCGCAGCGGCGGCGGCAGCTTCTGCGGCGGCCGCGTCGGAATCCGGCTCCGGGCCCACATCCTCGGTCGCGTTGAGGAGAGCCTGAAAGTCGGCGTGGGGGTGGTACTGGTCAAAGGGCATGTCGTCGTGTGCCGACGAGGCATGCTGATGGCCGTGGTGGTTGATGATTTGGGGGTCGATGGGCTGGTAGGCCTCGTGGGAGGCAGGCCGGTCCTGGAGCATGGGGTTGTGCCCGTGGTGCCCGTGGCCAGGGGGGTGCGGCACGGCGTGGGAGTGAGCGTCGTGCAGCATGTGGCTGTCCTGGTGTGCCGGCGCGAGGACGGATATGTCGCTGGGGTTGGCGTACGGGCCTTGGCTCGGCGCCGGGCCCGGCCGGGACAGCGAGTCCATGAGGCCGGCGCGGCTCTGCTGCTGCAGCGCCAGCACGCGCCCGGCGTCGACGTGGATGTCGATGTCGCCGTCGCCGTCGCCGTCGTGCTGCGGCACGGGCGACTGTGCCTGGCGGCGCTGGGCGTCGCCGCTGCCGCTGCCGAGGCCGCCGGACGGTGTTGCCGAGCTGGTGGGCGTGCTGGCGCTCCCGTTCTTCCTGCTGCCGCCGGGGTTCGGCGTCTTGCCCAGCTCCTTGCACTCGGCGCAGGCGCGAATCACGTCGCTGACCGTCTCCTTGATGCGGCTCCAGTGGAACTTTTCTGCAATGGTGGCGGTGGTCTTGTTGATCCCTCCGTGGTGGATGGCGTGGACGTTTCTGGCAATCTCGTACTGCCGGCCCGGGTCCGAAATGACTTCCTTGTCCTTGAGCATGAGCTTGTCGCCCTCGAGGAGCTTGTAGTGGGTTGCCGCGCTGCGCAGCCTGCTCTTTTCGGCGCGGTCTGCCCCGTTGGGGTATTTGCCGTACTTGAGGTAGAATCGTATCTTGTCGAAGCGCTCTTCGCTGACGAGCTCTTCGCTCTCTCCCGGAGCCAGGTCCCGGCCGTATATGATGGCGTCAATGAGCCGGTCCGGATGGCTTCGCAGGTTGCCGCAGGCTTTGATGCGGCCGATGCGTTTGAAGCCGAGGGCGTCCCAGATACGACACGACGCCACGTTGGTTTCGTAGACGAGATTGAAGACGCTGTACGTGTAGCCCAGCCTCGGGGCCCAGTCGATGTACGCCTCGCCCATGAGTCGTCCCACGCCACGATTACGCGATGCGTCGGTGGTGATGAAGCTGGCGTTGCAGATGTGGCTGCTGCGACCAGGATAATTGGGCTTGATGAAGAAGCTTCCGAGGCACTCCTTGGCCCAGTCCTTGCCGTCCAGGACATCCTGCGCACAGTCGATATTGCCCATCAGCATGACGGCGCCAAAGGTCTGGAACCAGTAGTCTGCGAAACCGTCCACGGTAAAGGCTTCCATCATGGGATACGTATCACCTCCCTCTATCTCGCGGTTCAGCTGGTCGCACAGATACACCAGCAGCGAAGCGGGAAGCTGGTGTCGCGAGACAAAGGGCACAATCGTCGCAACCGTCTGGCGATCCCGCAATGTCACTTGGCGGGGGACAATGTCGGGGGGCAACCCGGGGCAGTTCGGGTCCGGGAACGGAGGCTGCCCGGAGACCCGGTAGACGGTGGGGCCGGCCGGGTCGTCCATGACGGCTGGCATTTTTGTTTTTTTTTTTCCTCGGTGGCCAGTTGCCAGGGACTCCGTACCGAGTACCCGGTGAATCAATGTCGATCTATCTCAGGCCATACAGGCTCTGCTGGCATTGCTTGCTTCCCTAGTCAAACCTGTTGTTGCCAGTTATAATACAGACGCACGAAAGCTCGGCCGGCGACTGGGTCTTTTGCGGGTGCCAGTGCAGGCAAACGGCCAAAATGCCCTCCTGCTTGGTTGCAGGCGAAAAACGGCCGATGCCACGCTCGCGCCCACGCCAACGCTCTAGGGTACGCTTTCTTGCGCACTCACTGGCGCGTCTAGCTTCAAGGCCTGACGTCTCGCCGTGGTGGTATTATGTGGAACAACAGGGTCCCGTTTGGCCTGGCTGTGCTGAAATGTTCGTCGTGAGGTCGACTGCCTGGTGAGGGGAAATGCGCAGGGCGAAGTTTACAGCCCGCCTGCACAAGTGTGTGTGCGCCTGCATTTGCATATCTGCATGCCCACTGGCTACTGCCGCTCTCTTGGCCATAAAGGCTGCGGCCACCGGTTAATCCGAGCCGACATGCCGCTGCCTAGCAGGGGGTAGAAACCATCAGCCACAGATGGCTTGTTGTGCTGTAAGACCTGTACCTGCCTATAACAGTACTAAGTAGTTACAACTAACGATTACATTACTCCGTATACAAAGCTCACTCTTTTTCGCAATCGCACCGCTTCCCATGCGCTTGTGCTATGATAATACATTGCCATGTCTGCCAGGTATTCTCGGCTCCATATATGATACACGTCTCCATATTTTTACATAAGTTTACACCGGCTCGCTCACTCCTGCTTGCTTCCGACTGCCAACTCGATATGTCTCGTTTGTTGCTGCACTCGTTGCAGTTGCGCCTCGATGTCCGCAAGGCCCTCCCCTACTTTCCAACTTGACGTCTTTGAAGAATCCACATGGCCTGCTTCGGCGACAGCTTCTCCGGCATCTTTCAGTGCAGTCTCGCCCAACATGTTGACCATTTCGTCCTCGCTCACTTCAAGGTCCACCTCGTTATTCCGGACTCGCAAAAGTTTCTGTTCCTCTTCGGTGAACCCCTGAACATTAGACTGTATTCGGCCCATCACTTCCTTGCGTTTCGTCACCGCCGCCTGGACTTCTTTCTTCATGTGTCTTTCCAACTCTGGTGAGGTGTTCCATGAAACGTTGCCCCGGGAAGAGTCCTGGAGGCGACGCTCCTTGCCCTTCTGACCAGCTCGGCCCAGGGCTCCGGCAACAACCGCCATTGCTCGTAAACTAGAATGCAGCCCGTTAGCCAAATTCAATACTAGGCAGCAGTAGTTGCGGCACATACCTGTCGTCATTGGCAGGAATAGTGTAGGTAACCCAGGACGGGTCGACATTTGTATCAATGACACCAATTGTAGGAATGTTCTTCAGACCGCATTCGTACAACATGGTGTAGTTTTCCAAGGGATTCAGGCAAACTACCAAGTCAGGCAGTAGCGGTCTGGCCATGCCCTTGTACATGTCGAAACCATCCAACTCGGAGTCCAAATGATCGACAACCTTTGTCGCCTGAGTCTTGAGGATAACATCTCGGTTTGTAATAGCTCCAGGCGTCCACTTGGTGAACAAATGACATGCACCAGCCAGTTCAGCGGCCTTGGTGACAATTTCCATCTGACCCTTTCGAGTGCCAACAAAGAGGATGACACCGCCCCGGTATGAAACCTCTTCAACGACTCGTGCCGCTCGTCGAAGATGCGCAGCAATCGTCTCGAGTGAGATGATGTGAATTCCCTGTCGGACGCCGTAAATGTATCGAGAATTGGCGGGGTTCCAGAGAGAGGTATTATGTCCCATGTGCGCCTGTGAAGCCATCAGGAGCTCCAACGACACATGCTCTGGGCCGGGAGGGTTGCTAATTAATTCAGTCGGCACGTAACGCCTCTCCACATGAGAGCCGAGGCTTCTTGTATTCTTCTGAATTCTTTGAAAATCTGCAAACTGCTGCGCCGGAGTCACTTCTTGCCCCTCGCTTCCGATCTGGTGCGGTTTTGTCCAAGAGGCTCCCGAGTGTTCCTGGGCGGAATCAGATCCGAGGCTCATGATGAACTCTTGCACAGTCTTCTGCTTCCTCTTCTTGGACGACGATCCTGACAGGATTTTCGGCTGGGCAGATGAAGATTGCCCCGCGGACCAGGCCTGGGCGGATGCATTGGGGCTCGAATTGACTGCGTTTTGGCTGTTCGCTTCGGTGGATAGCAGTCGCAGGGCAGATCTCGAGATCGGAGGCGCCAATGCACGGCCTATCGAGCTATGTAAGCAATTGCGAGACCGTGACACATTCTTGACCGACTCACCATGCCGTATAGCGGCATTTCTGAGTATCATGGCGACGTAATGAGACGGGTTGTTTGCCCGGTTCAAATTCCCATCGCCGAAATTCAGGTCACCAAAAAGTTGACCATACGACAGGGGCCAGCTGTTGCAGGCCGGAGACTAAATTTTCCGGCCGGATGCACAATGAAGCGGCCCAACGATTACTACGGAGTACAGCAGGACCCCTCTGTGGCTCGAACCTCTACCAGCCTACTGTTCCCCCAAAGTACGACAGTAAAGAGCCAGTTCTGGCTTATACCATTCAATGTTTTGCTAACCGTTGCCTTGGCTGTCCAGTAGTCGTACCGTTAAGGAGAAATTGTTTCAACGACTACACATGCCCCAGACAGTGCGTAATTTTTGCAGACGGTACTTCAACAAGAAACCTGGGGCACACCAGACAGTTTCCCGATCCGCTGAGCCGGCGACCACTGACCAGGATCACGAAATTGTTTCAACCCAACTGCAGTGTAGATAGCGACCTACCGCTGCCTCGTGTCCATGTCTACCCGATGCCACCTTAAAGCCGGTGTATTGGACCGATGCACATTGCTTCAATGAGAATGATAAGGACTCTATATCGAAAGGCTAGAAGAGGAAAACGAGCACTGCCAACACCCAAAAAGGCTCAAAAGGCCGCTGATGTCGGCCCTTGCACCCAGGTCTATAAGCACTACTGTTGTAGAGGGAACAGGGGAACCACTACAGGCCGGAGGCAAGGTACTTGGATGACATCTTTGACGAATTCAACAGCAATAAAGAGAGATGAGAAAGACGACCATATCATGACGCCCATTCTGGCTGGATAGGTAGAGGGGAAGCAGGGTGGGAAACCAGATATGTGGACAGAAGTCAAGGGGATAGAGGACCAAAGACAGGAATGAGGTTCGCTGGCAAATGACTCCCTTTTCTGACCTTATTAGGTGTTCCAACACCCATTTCGCCTTGTACTGTGCAGTAGCTTGGGTTGCACTGCTATTGTACTAGCCAAAGTACCTAAAATACAAATGACACATTCCCCAACGTTATCCCTTCTGCCCTTGACGCCATCAAGTCGTGGCAGCAGCAATGGAGGCTCAGTATAATTAAGAGCTAAGAAGTACTAGAAAGAATCCCTCTATTAAATACACAAAAAAAAACTTGTTATATATATTTACAGTCGCGCACTGTCGACTTCGTAACTTCGTTAGTGGTACAAGAAGCTACTACAGCTCATCTTATCTGCTGGTGGCTCTTGCAATGGTAAAGACACCAACAATAACTACAGCCAGTGTCACAATAGCACCAGGAAGCAGAAGATCATTTGGCACTCCTGCGATAAGCTGTTCCTGAACAGGTGCGCTTCTCGTCCGCCGTGAGCGTCGGACTGGTGCGCCATCACTCTCGTCCTCGTCCTCGTCTTCGTCTTCGTCATCATCATCGTAAAGCCTTCGGCGCTCGCGGAGACCAGCAGCAGTAGAGGTTGGCGGCGTGGGAATAACGGGTGTCTCAACGGGAGCGGGTGGTGCCACGGGTGGTTTCTCAGGATCATGAGCGTAGAGGTCAACCTTGTCGTGCCGGCTTTGACGAGCGAGAATGATGGCCTCGAGCAAGTCGTTGTCGGTAGTGATGGAAACAGTGTCACCCTCATTATCCATGTAGCTGAGAGCGAATCCAGCGCCGCTCATTTTTCCGTCTTCAACAGCTGGCACACCACCAATGGCATCAACCTCGGCACCAAGCTTAGCCGCGACAGCAGATACGAAGGCCCCCATTCCCTGAGCTGCTATTACCTGCAAGCGATGCACTCGGCCTGAAGGTGCCTTGAACTTGAAGGGGAACGGTACATCAGCAGGGTTCTGCTCGGGAATCTCGGGGGCAATCGATGGAGGGGGTGATTCAACACCGACGTGCGAGGCAGAGTCACCTGGAGCCACACTGTCCCCATGGCGGTCCCTAGTTACATCAGGAGACATCATGCGAGATCCAAGGTTAGTATGGTGATGGCTGTGGCTGCCCTCACCAGACATCATTGACTCTGTCTCGTTATCAATTGAGAGCCAAAACTTGTTCCAGGCAGGCCCTTCACCATCTCCACTAGACATGGTGTTGATTTGCTCAAGAGTGGCATAGGTGAGTTTGAGGACATCAACCATGCCGACAATTTCGCCACCATCATTCATGACGGGTAGGTTAAGATAATGGCCATCTGGAAGCCAACGTTAGTTATTGGCATTTCAACCAGGTCAAGGGCGAGGGATTTGAACCAACCGTGCATCTTGCGCAGCGCAGCCTGAATGGTCATGTCCATCGGCGCGAAGTCTGGATGAGGCGTCATCACCCGAACAACGCTGCAGTTTGCCGGATCAAGGCCGGGGGCGATGACGCGCAGAACAACGTCCTTGCTGGTGAAGATGCCAGTAATAGCACCCGCATCTTGCACCAACACAGCCGTGGTGTGGTTCTCCTTCATCAAGGCAGCGGCCTCCTTTACCGAGGTCCTGACACTGACTGTTGTCGGGGGAATGCCATTCAAAACGGATTCCAAAGTCGGCCCAGACATTTTGGATCGAAGTGCCTCGACATACTGGATAATCTGCTGGGGCTGGGAAGCGCCCAGCTCGGAGTGCACACCTTCCAAAGCATCATAGAGCTTTCTAGAGGACGAGTAGGCTCGCTCCAGCTTCTCCATGGCATCGTAAAAGCACTTGGTGATATCCAAGACACCAGAAATGTCCTGGTTTTCGTCCATGACTGGCAGGTGGCGGAATCCCTTGCGAACCATCAGATCCAGCGCATCTGTGGCACTTGTGTCAGTGCGAGCACAGAGCGGGTTCTTTGTCATGATGTCCGCAATGGTGATATTGGCCGCCTTGTGCCCGGCTCCAACGACGCGGAAGGCAAGATCCTTGGCTGTGAAAATGCCGGCAATGCGGTCGTCGTCGTCAGTGACCAGAACGCAGTCCTCTCGTTTCGCAGCCATGAGCTGGGCAGCCTCGGACACGGTGGTTTGCGGTTTGATCTGCAATGCCTGGCTGGGCTTGAGAGCCAGCACAGTGCCAGGAGGAGCTTTACGAGAATGCCTGGCGCGGTTCGTCAAATGCTTCTTCTTGGAGAGGTCGTTCTCCATTTTCCTGCGGATAGCCTGGAGCCAGGCAGTTAGCATGCGTGCACGCTTCCGCCGACGTGTCCAACCCCGAGACTCATGTAAACAACTGAACGCACCTCATCACGCTTGGACTGCTTCTGCCGGCTGGCGCTGACGGAGGAGCTCGCCTCACTGGGCTGGCTGTCCAGAACCGGGCGAGGGATGTTGGAGTTTGCCGGGCTGTTGGTAAAGGGGATGTTTCCCCTGCCCTGGTTGCGGTTGGGAGTCCCTCTCATGGTGTTCCCTGACATGTTTGCAGAGCGTTGTCGGCCGTGCCTCGTGGACAAAGGGGAGCGGTTGTGGATGTGGATTCAGAGACAACTCTCGAGGCCCGCAGAACTGCTAACGCCAGAGGGCAGATGCAAAGCACAGGAGAAAGGCTTTGGCGGGATTTTCACAGGTGAGCAAGATGGGAACGGGGGCTCTCTGGTGGTCTGGTCTCGTCTGGTCGGGTCTGGTCCCGGCAGATTACCGCGTTGGAGTTTCTCAAGACAAGCGTCACGTTGTCGAGGTGACAGGGATCGCTGAGGAGGGGAGCTCTGTGACTGGCCAGTCTCTCGTTTTCACCCCGCTTTTAATTTTCTGGCCATTTGGAATGCTCCCAGAACAACCTGGTCATTTTTTTTTTATTTACGACTTGACATTGTTCAATTCAGCTTTAGAAGCACGGCCGAGGCCAGAACAAAGGCTGGTGGTTTTGTGGAGTGAAGCCTATGCTCGAGCGTGATACTCAAGACTCCCGACCTGTCCATTTTCAACTTCAATCCACAAAGACGAGGTAGCCAACTTAACATCTCCTAGCACAAACTCAATTGCCCAAAACGTCAACATTGAGGCCTCTATGGTGGCCTGTTCTCCGGCCAACATTGCGCCCTCTACTCGTTGCTGGTGCGTCTGGTATTCATCAGTCGTTATCATGCGATGTTGGGCAGAGTCATGCCACCACCTCAGCAACTCACGACGAGGCGGGCTGAGCGGAAGAGTGCCCACCTTTCTTGCCAGAGCGAGAGAGAGAGAGAGAGAGAAAGAGTGAGTGGGTGAGAAAGAAAGGAAGAGAGAATCTGAATAAATCTCAATCAGAGTCAACTAGAAGCACTATCCACCCTCAGCTTCACCTTGTGTGTCATTGATACAATAATATTATCCCTTCTCGTCTGGAAGGCTACCCTGTACACACCCATTGTCCTCCTGGCCAAGGCCAAGAACAGTAGAACTATAAAAGCGACGAGCAAGAAATAATGACCCAATCAATACTCTCGAGTACGAGATGTGATGTGCACGAAATGTCTATCCTTTGCAGCCGGCAGCTACGTTCCAATTGGGCGAATATTGGTTGTGCTACTGCACGACAACGTGGGCATTCTATTTGGCGTCCATGTTCGGCATGAGCAAGAAACATAATGTGATCCAGCTTAGCCTGTGAGATATCCCTTCGAATTGATAACTCGGTGTCCCTGCTTGTCTCAGTCTTCACCCCGAGGGATAGCAGGAGGCTCCATTGTCATGAAACAAGACAGGCAGAACATGCACAGAATAGACAGCTCGGAAAAGGGAGAGAGACTATGCCGGAAGAGATGTAGTTATCATCTACTCCGCATACATATACAGTACTACTAGAATATTCTGTCAAGGATTGACGGGCAACATCGACTATGTATGTATGCTCCGAACCTCTGCGAACCCAAGCGCTCACATGCAAGCCACCCGCAATAACAGCATCATCCCATGACACCAACGGCATAACAAGTTAGCTGCTTGCTAAATCGGGAACAAGCGTTGGGAATCGGATCGCACAAGACCACAGATTGAGACATGGTAGTCGGCGCCGTGGTGACGTGATGGAGGTGCCGCTAGGGAGGCTGAGGTCCTCTGTGAGTGGCCGCTGAGTGGCCGCTGAGTGGCCGCAGTCGTTGCCGTGGCAACCAAGTCAACAATTGCCGGGGTCATTACACCACCATGATGCCCAGCTACTCTGGTCCATTCATGTTGCATTCTGAATCCACTTGCCAAAACTCCATCCTTACTCTTCTCCAAGCTTCAGATAGAGCTCGAGAATACCTGCATATTGAACACTCCGGCTCTCGGGGGAGAAGACCTCCAACGAACGGCCCAAGCTCGTCCAGGTTGACACACGTCCCATAGCCGAGCAAAGGCTCGCACTTATACACAGGTCCCCAAGATTCGTGCAAAAGTCGCCCCCGACTGAGCACAACTACAACTTTTTTTAGCCCGGCGCTCTGTGCTTGCGCTGCGTGAGGTGAGTTCCTGCCACGCCCACGAGACGACCAACAACCGTCTTGACAAGATGGCGCAGTTTCGGACCCAGACGGTTCCCCATCGACAAAGAATATCGACCGACGACAACTTCCAACATCCGGACTCCCTTGCAACAATCATGCTGCCCAATTCGCCGACGGGTGTTCACGCCAGGCAGAGGCAACACCGCCGCCAGAATTCGACACCCTCTGCTCTCGAAGGCGTGAATATCTCGCCGCTGTCAAACGCCAACAACAGACGACAAGCCGCTGCCCACCGGCGCGGCCTCAGTCTCGACATGAGACGACACCAGACGACACCACAGACAGCACGGCAGGACTTCAACCAGGTAAGAATGGCTACTAACAACACAGGATTAGCAAACACCTCGCAGCATCATGTTCTGCCAGAAGCGCAGCAGCAACGCACCCAAGCACGCCCGGGCCCCAACCAGATGCAGTACGCATCCATGGTATCAAATAGCAATGAGAGTTTCTTGATCTCGCCACATGGTACTCCTCAGACCCAGAGGTTCGCTCCGTCGTCATGTTTTGACACAAATGCTGGCCGCTTCTCGTACCCGGCTCACGTCGACATGATGATGCGGAAGAACCAAGAGAATTACTACAACAACATGGCCGAGAGCGCAAGTTTTGACCTCTTCTCCAATAACAGCGCCCTCTCAACTCCCACCTTTATCAACTTTCCAGACAGCCCTGCTGGCCAGGTTTGGCCCGCCGATGACGCAAGTTCTCGACGGAATTCGAGGCGGATTAGCGACGGCATCATGGACCGTGTCAACAAGTTTGAGGGCATGGGCATTGAAGAGGCTCAAAGACCTACAACACCACCTAATCAGAATGGAACTAGTGAGTTTCTTTGGACACTATACGACATGTTTGAAAAATGCTGACCACGGCTGCCAAAGATTACTACCCTCCCACACCGGTGGAAACTCCCCAAGGCCGTATTTTCAAGCAAGAAGCCAGGCCAGGAAGATTTTCTGATGACTATGACGAATCAATGGAAGAAACTATCAAGCCCAACCGAAACAGCCGTTCTGGTCTCAGAACCCAGTCCGTCTTTGCACATATGAGACAGCAGGCCGAGCAAAATGCTGGCTCGCTCAGCCCCCCAGTGACAAACAAAATCTCCGATGCCGAATGCCTCAGTGGCCTCCAGATGCAAAACTCAGACTACATGAACATGAATGCTCTAAGACAAGAGTTTGTCAAGATTGAGGACCAGAACGACGCAGCAAGACTTGAGCTCGACACCACCAACTCCCTATCGGATCTTTCTCATCACACTTCTCCGGACACTCAAAATCATGGACAGTTTGTTGGCGCTGCCTTTGAGGGCAAACTCGACTTGCAGCACTTTGCTCGCTTGGACTCGGCTGCGCAGTCCAGAAAGTCTTCGCCTCATCGTCGGACAGAGTCTGTGGCTTCCATGGCCAGCGCCGCCAGCATAGCTGACATCAACATTGACGAGACTCGCACTGATACCGGCGTTACCCTGGAAGAGATTTCTCAGTATATCCACAGTCCCGAAACCACGGACGGCAAGTGGATGTGTCTCTTTGAAGACTGTGGCAAGAAGTTTGGGCGCAAGGAGAATATCAAGTCGCACGTCCAAACCCACCTCAATGACCGACAGTACCAATGCCCTACTTGCAAGAAGTGCTTTGTGCGCCAACACGATCTCAAGAGACACGCCAAGATCCATACCGGCATCAAGCCGTATCCCTGTGAATGCGGAAACAGCTTCGCGCGCCACGACGCCCTCACGAGACACCGGCAGCGAGGAATGTGTATCGGCGCTTTTGATGGCGCTGTCCGTAAGTCAGCGAAGCGCGGCCGCCCTAGGAAACGCCCTGACCTGGAGACGAGGAGGGAGAAGTCTGCGAGAACAAGAAAGAAGAACATGTCGATTAGCTCCATGTCGTCATTTTCCGGCTACTCTGACAGCTCTGCCATCAACTCGCCGGACAACGAGTATAACATGCTTGACGACATGGTAGACTTGGATATTGTCAGTGCCAGAACCCACGGAATGCCATCCATGTCAACGGCTCCTATGCCTACGCTGATACCTAGGGTGATGAACCAAGACATGGCCCAGTCCCCTTCAGTTGTCAGCGCACACTCTTATGTGTCGCCAGAAGCCATCATGGACACGGCACCATCGCACCCAGCATCACCTGCAAAGAGCGGCGTCAGCCATTACAATACGCCGCCGCCGCCCGAGCTGTCTCAATCGTCATCGCCGCCACCATGTCACTTCTTCGACTTGGCTCCCAACACGTCTTCTGGCGCCGATCTGGCGGTCATGTCATCCACGAACAGCATGATGGGTTCTTCGGGCATGAGCGGAACTCTGCCCATGGGCATGGGCGACCAGGACGACGACTTGCTGCTGCAGTTTAGCCAAGACGACAGTGGTCTTGTCCAGCTGGATCGTGACTCAAACATGCTCATGCTGAGTAAGTTTGACGACGAGTTTGAGGCTGCGGTCAGCATGTTCACCAACAACGACGACATGTTCTTCAGCAACTCGTAATTGCGCACGAGTGGCCGACTGCCCCGTTGTCTTCCATTTTTGTCAAATATCGTCTAGGTATCTAATCAGTACGAAGCTAACGTCTCTGTGTGTCTGGTATGATGGGCTACGTTGGACTTGTTGGGTTGCTTTTCTTTTTCTTGTACACGAGATGGCCCAACATGGGGTCTGCGCGTCTCATAATCGTCAATGGATTTAATGGGAATACTTTCTGCGACAAAAAAAACACTTGTATGATAGGGGGACTGGGGTAAAGGAATGTTTATTTTCGATGCAGGGCGAACGGGTTTATGTTTTTTTTATCAACACGTTGACCAAGGCGCTTTTGCAGTGGCGATGGAGCCGTCTGCTTTTCTTCGCTGCTGGAGTTTCGATGTGTATTTGCTTTGGCTTATCGGTATTCCAAAAAATATGAATCGACCTTCATTGAAATACATACATGTGCGCTTCGTGCGTTGTGAACTGACGAGGATTGAAGCGGTGTGGCTGGTGAGTGCGGCGTGGCCAGTGAATTAACCAAGGATTTCTTTCGCTTTTTTTTTTAATAGTACTACTACTATTATTTCTGGGCTAATTCTTAACTTCTCCACCGTCCGTCTGAGTTGGCCAACAAGAAACAAACAAAAGCTACGTCGGCTTCCAAAAACTCACCCAAACTTATCTTACGCCGCCAACTTGGGGAGAACAGCTATCGACGTCTACGCACCTGTGATGCAGGTATCGAGGCAGACGAAATGCTCACGCCCACCGTCGCCAACCGTCTCAGCTTCCTATATGCAATTGGCAACACACCTGCCACGAGTCTCACGCGCAGCGTCCCCATTGGCAAGGACGTCGACGTTCTGAGTCTGGGGTGTGGCGATGTGCGAAATATTCTCTTCACCTCATACGTGGAAAGAGGACTAGGTAATGGATGGAATTTCGCTCGACTTGTGGCCTGGCCGAGACTAATACGAGGTAGCCAAGAGAAAGATTGACGTGACCTGCTGCGACTACGACGAGAAAGTCATTGGTGAGTGGTCTTCATTGTTGCCGGTGTTTGCAGGGCGTGGCTGACGGGAACTTGAAAAATGGAAAAAATTAAGCGCGGAATATCTTCTTCTTGACGCTGCTGCTGGATGGCCCCGGCCATGTTTCGCCGAGCTGCCTCTGGGATATATACTACCACCTCTATGTGGATGCTGCTGCTGTGGAACAAGTCCTGAAGCATGTGAAGAAGCTGCTGCCCCTTCTCGAGACTCTTGGGGCCTGGAAACGCGGGCCGTACGCCAAGGTCATCAGAGTCGCTGACCAGGACACTCTTGATGATGTTCGAGCCGTGTGCCGCAGGATTCGTGATGGCGTGGAGCAGCGAGACACTGCTTCGTACGCTAGGACTTTTAAGAAGAATCTGAAAAAGACTTCCGAGGCGTTAGAGGCCTTTTCTGGAAAAGACGGTGTCAATATGAGTGGCGTGAGGTCTGCGGCTCCGCTCTCGCTGAATTCGCACAATGATATGATCAAGGCGTTTCAGACGTATTCTACCCACGGGACGGTGACGCCTCATGATCCAGGAAACACGGTGCCGAATCCAATGTTTGCGAGTCTGGTCTCCGAGACGAATGTCTTTCATTACGGAAGCGATCCCACTCTTGGGTATCATTTGGCTGTTGCGTTTGCACCGCTGTCTGAGAATTCGCCTCTTAAAATGCATGATGAAAAGACGGAGTTTCAGACGGCAGAGGCCGCAAGAACCCAGTTTACCGAATGGATTGCCGCTTTCAGGGAGCTTGCGTCTCGAGGGATGATGGTGCGGTTCATGGTCGCCGACGTATTTGCTTGCTGCCATACCTTGCAGCACTCAGCGAGCACCGGCAAGCCATCTGGGAATTGGTACCGAAGACAGTGGGATTCGAAACCCTTGAGGCTGGATGGCGATGAGTACGGACCGGCTGGAAAAGGCCCGACTGCGTTTGACGTTGTCGACAGCTCCAATCTTTCCGATCATGTTGGCGCCTTGAACATCATCGTTGCGGCTTCGTCGCTGCTGAAGACTGAGCCGTGGGCTACACTGTACACTGAGACTCTCCTCAAACAAGAAAAATCGCAGCAAGAAGCGTTTGAAAAGCTGCTCTGCGGCAACATTGCCACGGTGTTGCTTCTCCTCGGTATCAGCCCCGTGCAGTACTGGACGAATGCCAAGTGCGAGTCTCATGTGGATGAGGTCTTTCTTACCATGCTTGTGGGCGCAATGAACGCTCCGCAAACCCAGATCCATAGCCGTATGGCGTGGAAGCGAGATGACCAGCTGTCTGGGACGCTGGGGGCCCGAGGAAAGCTACACATTGATCCCTCTGCCCTCGTTCGCATCTTGTTTGACATCTACATGCGCATGTTCTCGGGGGAGAACTTCAAAATCTCTGTCAATGCGGCATTGGATAGATCTTCGGCTTACACCCATTTTCATCGGGGAAGCTACGCCTCGTTTCTGAAGCTGGTCAAGCACCGGGTCAGAACAGATTGGCCTGCTGTCTGTTCTCAGCTCCTTGACAAGATATCTCAGGATCGAACTCTAGCCCTGTCGACGAACCAGCTTCAGGAGCTTGGAATCCAGATGCATTTGCAAGACGTGAGCACCGAGTCGTGGCTGCTTCGCGAGAGCGACAACTTGTCCACCGGCGGGCGGTTCCGTATGTGGAAGAACATCCCTCTCGCTGTGGCCGTTACTGTTATTGTTCCCCGTTCTGCTGTTGAGCGGCTTTACGCAGGGGAAAACCGAGAAAGGTCATCTCCAACCTTTGTTGGCTCGCTTCGCGCGGGTGCGAGCTCGCCAAACCAGTGGCAGAACATGTACAGCGATGTTCATATTGTCTTTGGAAAGGTCAAGAACTCCCCTAAGGACGAAAACACGCCCATTATCGTCGAGCAGGATGACCAAGGATGGAGCGGCAGCTCAGCCTTGATTGCATCCTTTGTTGTGCCCACGGCTGCGCTGCAAGTTGATCCTGTAGACGCACGAGTTGCGATTTGCATACCGCCATCGACGCAAGCTGCATTTCTGTATATGGGAATCCTGGGGATGGAAATGACAGTTTTTGAAACAAAGCTGTCGGCAGCCTCAAGTGTCTTTGTCACCAAACTCATGCCAGGTCTCACAGGACACAAAAGTGTGTGCAGCAGGGTTAACAACTTCACTGATGTTGTGGATGATGCCGGAAACGGCACGAGTAACAAGATCATGGCAGAAGTCCCTGCCTCGGAATCCGCGATTACGACAATCACTGGGCATGTTGACATTCTCTCGGACAAGGGCAAAAAGATGCTACAGGACAGGATCCCGATTGAACTTCAACAGCGTGACGCGTTTGTCATTGATGTCATCTTTGGGAATAACGCCCTGGTATGTCCGCTACGGTTTCCAATACCGGTCTCACAGACAGGCAGCCGATTACGAGTCGCAAGAAAGTCAGGCTACGTTGAGGTTGTCGCCCCAGTGGCCAGTTCAAAGGACTCGGACGTTCTTTCCGATTTCATTTATCCCACGAGATTGGACGGCAAGGGCTTCCCGGCTGCTCTTAATGCTTCCCATATGAATTTGGACGCACTCCCTGTTCTGGATCTAGAAAAGAAAGACCAGATGCAGTGGCTCGTGACATTGGCATCATTGGAGTTTTCTCCCCGGGAGAAGAGCATGAGAGACGAGGCCGATAAAAAGAGCGGGATATCCGAAAACCTGCGAGTCAACTTCAAAGAATCCTTGCTTACCATGTTCATGTTGACGTCCGGACTACAAGGAGGGCAGACTGGCATGTTTGCCATCAATCATCCTGAAAAGGGGGGTATTCACATGCTGATATTCGTCTCGGCGTTGAAGCTCGACGCAGACTGTTCTTCCGTAGTGTTGGATGCAGCAGTGGTACCCATGACCAACCAGCTCGTCGCTTCTGGCAGCATGGATCCATTCTTGGTTCTCATACGAACACTGGAATGCTGCAGTATCAACGTCAATGATGCGGAACTCATTCTGTGGAAACGAGTGTTGCCAGCGTTGGCAGAACGTTGTCGTACATGGAGCCATCGTTCTGACTGCGAGTACAAACGAAAGGGGGCAACAGTTCCCCTGAGCCTGGTGCAAGGAGAAAAGTTTCTGTGCTCTTGTGGAAACGGAAAGTTGCCCGAGAACTTTGTTTCAGTGCCAGAATGGGAAACGGCAGCTCCAAACGCTGTTCGTATCGCCATCAGCCCGACATTTTCGGTGCCTCTTGTGGAGGATGTCGTTGACCCTGGGGACATGGCCAAGGGGAAAGAGCAGTTGGCGGCAGGCGATAGATGTCGAAGCTGTGGATCAGCGGCCGCTAAAGATGGAGGTTCATTGAAGAAATGCATGAGGTGCCAAGCGGTCAAGTATTGTTCGACGGAATGTCAGAAGAAAGACTGGAAGAAGCATCGTATGGAGTGTTCGGAATCTTGATGGATGATGGTTGGGGAGCCGAAACGAGCAAGACGGGGAATAGACGGCTCAAGGATGATATACGTTAAGAAAAGCGGCCTGCTAGTAAATTGAAAGCAATTTATTTTAATCACAGTTTTGATACTACCAGATATTTATGTGGATGTCATGGCGATATATTATTTCTACTTCACAAGCCCGCGCTGCTAGGCCTGGAAGCAGAACCAGGGAGATGAGAATGGAAAGAGCAACCATGTAACCAACCGTTGTCACCCCACCACCGCTCCTGCCTGGCAACAGGGCACCAGATGATGCACTGTTAGCTTGGGCTGCGTTGGCTCACACCGCCTTTAGCCTCAAGGCAGAAAAAAGTGACCCCAATCCAGCCCACCACGACTTCGTGCGGGTCGCCGCTGTCCAGCTTGCGAAATCACCATTCAGCGACCGACACTCCTTCCACGACATAAAGCACCTCCCAGCGAGCTCGCAAGCATCATAATGTCGGCCGCGCAGCTTCTCAACCCCAAGGCCGAGTCCCGAGTATGTTCTCTTTTCGTCAAAATTTCCTGAACAGCGGTGTGTCGTGTGCATGCTAACTTGTCTGTTAGAGGAGGGGTGAAGCTCTGAAGGTCAACATCAATGCTGGTATTGGTCTGCAGGAGGTCCTCAGGTCCAACCTTGGCCCTCTTGGTACAATTAAGATGTGAGTTTAATGCATCGAAAACTAATCTTCTGGCAGTGTGGCTGACCTCTTTTTCACAGGCTGGTTGACGGCGCTGGACAGGTGCGGACCCTGCGATTGCTGCCCCTCAGGGGAACACGATGAAGCTGATGTTCTTTCGCCCTCAGATCAAACTGACCAAGGATGGAAACGTTCTCTTGAGAGAAATGCAAATCCAAAATCCAACCGCCGTCATGATTGCCCGAGCCGCGACCGCCCAGGACGATATTTGCGGAGATGGTACTACTTCGGTTGTGCTGTTGGTTGGTGAGCTCTTGAAGCAGGCGGACAGATACATCTCAGAAGGGCTGCACCCTCGTGTCATCTGTGATGGGTTCGAAATTGCCAAGGCCGAGGCCCTCAAGGTTTGACTTATTGTTCCCAGTCTTTGTAGAACGATGCGTGTCGGGCTCTAACTCTAGTTGTCTAGTTCCTCGATGACTTCAAGCTACCCAAAGAGGTCGACCGAGAACTACTCCTAAACGTGGCGCGCACATCTCTCGCCACCAAGCTCAACTCTACGCTTGCGAAGAAGCTCACGCCCGCTATAGTCGATGCTGTTCTCGCAATTTACCAAGAACCTGCCAAGCCCGATTTGCACATGGTTGAAATCATGAAGATGCAGCATCGTACCGCTGCCGACACCCAGCTAATTCGTGGCCTTGCTCTGGATCACGGTGCTCGTCACCCAGATATGCCCAAGAGACTGGAGAACTGCTACATCTTGACCATGAATGTCAGCTTGGAATACGAGAAGACTGAAATCAACTCTGGCTTCTTTTACTCTAGCGCCGACCAACGCGACAAGCTTGTGGAGAGTGAGCGCCGATTTATCGATGCCAAGTTGAAGAAGATTGTGGATCTGAAGAAGGAACTCTGTGGAACAGACGGCAAGAAGAACTTTGTCATTATTAATCAAAAGGGAATCGATCCACTGTCCCTGGATGTGCTGGCCAAGAACGGCATCCTCGCGCTTCGACGTGCTAAGCGAAGAAACATGGAGCGTCTGCAGTTGATCTGTGGTGGCGTGGCTCAGAACACCGTTGATGACCTGTCTGCTGATGTTCTTGGATGGGCTGGGCTTGTCTATGAACAGACTCTGGGTGAGGAGAAGTACACCTTCATTGAGGAGGTGAAAGACCCCAAGTCTGTGACTCTCATGATCAAGGGGCCTAACCAGCACACCATCGCTCAAGTGACCGATGCTGTCAGAGACGGATTAAGAAGCGTCTATAACATGATTGTTGACAAGAGCGTTGTTCCTGGTGCGGGGGCGTTCCAACTAGCCTGCGCTCTTCACTTGAAGAGTGACACTTTTTCCAAAACAGTCAAGGGAAAAGCCAAGTCTGGCGTCCAGGCCTTTGCCGACGCTCTGCTTATTATCCCCAAGACGCTGGCTGCCAACGCGGGCCATGACGTTCAGGATGCTTGTAAGTAGCATATGACTCAGACGAGCTCTTTTCAGTGTGCTAACACCTAAGCTACAGTGGCTGCTATGGAGGACGAATTCAATGACGGGGACGTTGTTGGACTGAACTTGGAGAGCGGAGAACCTATGAGCCCCGAGTTGGAGGGTGTCTTTGACTCGTTCCGGGTACTGAGGAACTGCATTGCTTCCAGCTCTAGCATTGCATCCAACCTCTTGCTTTGCGATGAGTTGTTGAAGGCTCGGCAAATGGGTAGAGCTGCAGGTCCTGGCCCTGGAATGGACGGCCCTGATGACCACATGTAAATGTTAATACCACTAGATGGCACGGTAGAATAAAAAAATCTATGGGACAGTATACACGATTTATCTGACTCTGAATAAGTCTTTATTCGTATCCAGTGAACACAACATTGCGCTCATGGGGTATTTCTGTGGCATGTCAAGTCAGTCGAGGGCTGGCGTCACAGTGGCGGGACCACTTGCCCGCAGTCATGCCAAATAGCCCCGCGTCGACTAGCTTCCTTTTCAATGTTTGTCCAAAAAATTCTTGACCCCACCATCGATATCAGCTTCTCGCAGAGTCCTTGCGAAACGCGCAAGACTTTGCAACAATGACCTCATACGATTCTGATTCTTCAGATGGAGGGGAGTTTACAGAGACTAATGTTCTCTTGGGATATGCCTCTAAAGATTCGCAAGATGAGACTATCAGCAAATTAGGCGGCATACCTGTAAGTGCTTCTGCTATAAGACTTTGCGCCCTGCCTTGTGATGAATCATGATTGACTGATATTTGGAAAAGGAATGGTTGGAAGCCGACAAGCCACCCTCAGCAGCTCTTGCGCGGTGCAAAGTGTGCAAAGACCTTATGGCTCTCATTCTTCAATTGAACGCCGAATTACCAGAGAGATTTCCTGGCCACGACCGACGACTCTACGTGTTTGCTTGCAAGCGAGAATCCTGCCGTCGCAAGCAGGGAAGCATTCGAGCTTTGCGAGGGGTGCGAATTTGGGGAGACGAGACCCCGGCTGCTTCGGCGGCGAAGGCAGAAGAAGAGCCAAAGAAGCAAGAGACAGGACGTAATAACGACGGCCTCGCCTTGGGTGACGCTCTGTTTGGAGGCAAGGGTATTGGCGGCGGATCAGGAGCCAACCCGTTTTCCAGCAACGCGAACCCGTTCAGCACCTCGAGTAGCGCCGGGAGCTCTGGCAACCCATTCAGCTCCGGACAACAGAAAAAAGATACCCCCAAGGAGGCAGAGAAAGATGCCAAACCTGCCACTCTCAGCAAGAGCTTTGCTGAAACATTATCGCTGGGCACAACACCCGCCGGTCCGCCGCCTCCTCCAGAGCCATGGCCGGAGACTTCGGCCCAGCCCAAGCCGTATCCAACGCTATATCTAGCAGAAGCCGACTACGAAACTCTCGAGCCGACATCAACCAAGATCCCGGACAATGCCCGCATAGAGGAGGCAGATGCGCCGGAGACAGTCTCCGTTTTGGACCGCGAGGCCTTCGAGTCGTCCATGGACGCTGCATTTCAAAAATTTGCGGATCGTCTTGCCCAGAACCCAGACCAGGTCATCCGCTACGAGTTTGCAGGGACGCCCCTCCTTTACTCAAGGACAGATGCTGTGGGGGAGAAGCTATCCAAGGGCTCGATCCCTGGATGCCCAAACTGCGGCGGCAAGAGGACGTTTGAGGTGCAGCTGACGCCGAATGCCATCGCGGAGCTGGAAGCGGATGACCTGAGCCTGGAAGGAATGGAGTGGGGGACTATTATTGTTGGCGTTTGTGAGCGGGACTGTGTGCCTAGGCATGTTGGCAAGGACGAGGCTGGATATCTGGAGGAGTGGGCTGGGGTGCAATGGGAGGAGCTTACCAAGCAAAAGTAGCCTGAATACAGTACGACTTGAATAGACAGGATGCGAACCGCCATACGGTGAGCTGTGGGCAGAGCTCGACGAGTCACGAATATCTCAGGCAGGTGGTTTCATGGATCTGCGTTATATGCTAACTCCGATCTCAATACCGCTATCTCAATGACATGCCCGATGTAACGCCTGGATTGAAAATTTCCCCTTCTTTTTGGTTTCTTTCCACCCCACCGTAACCCTCATGGTCTTTAGGGAACCCCCATCGTGTGGCCCATCATGCTTGCATCATGTCCCGTAACGATTTCGACTCTCTTGCGTCGTTCACCCTGGGGCTTCAATACCGCCCCCCCTTGATGACATAGCTTACACAGTCTCCTCCCATGATCGCCGGATTACCCTTGCGAACTGCTCCACGTTCACATCCTCCCGAATCTCGGCCTTCTTAGCTTCGTTATCCGGATTAGACGGAATCTTGATGCTGCTCTCGCCGTCGACTGTCCATCCGCAGACATCGGTGACGAACTTGCGGGTAGCGTCCTCGCTGAGCCCGAGCCAGGATTCAAGGTGGGCGAGCTTCACCTCACGGAAAGCTTGGGAAACTAGCTGGGCGATACGGAGTCGGACCATGTCCTCGAAGCCGGAAATATCGGCGATCAGGTCAGCGCACAGGTCGTCACCGTCGACGGAGGCCCAGAACTGGGCATACTGAGCACCCTCGAGTTGCGAGTTCAATGATCGGAGCTTGGTCAGGGCCTCGTGGAGTTCGCCGGTCGCGGCCGCTGAGGGATTGATCAGGTGGAGGGCAAGAGAGAACTGCGCGGAGGGAAAGAGGGTCATGGCCTTGACGAGGATGTTGGTGACGATCTCATCCTTCAATCGGTCAGGGTTGAGCTGGTACCTAGGTAGGTGGGCAAGATCCGAATTAGCTGGTATTCCTCGCGAGAAAAAGGCATGTTGAGTTTCACAGAGCACATGGTTTGCAGGCAGTTGTCAGAGCTAATATGCTGACTTCATGTGCATGAGATTAATCGCTCTCGTCGCTGTCAGGTAATAGGAAACGTTGACAAATAGTCATCATTGAACTGCCACAGGACCCCAAAAAAAGTGCCATGAAAATCGCAAAATAGTCCCGGTCGTGTTGGTATTGAGGGGAGAATTTTCGACTCACAGCTTGAGCAAGGTTCGGTTGGCATTGGAGTCGCAAAACTTCTGTTCACATTGTTCTTGCAGATATGTCTCGAGAGAACCGACAGCCTCAGGGTTGTAGCGCTCGAGGCCGTTGATAATGTTGGTAATGTAATCGGGCCGCTCAGGCGGGTCTTCGCCGTTCATTTTGCCGGTATTGATGCGGATGTTGGTATTTGAGGGGGTTGATGTCGTGGAGAGGTTCGTGATGGTGGGGCAGAGGGAAGTTTTCGACGGGTTGTGTGAGGGTGGTCGGTTGTGGGCGTCAAAGGGGCTTAGTGTATGGAGACGGGGCTTGTGTGCCGCTACAACGACTTGGAGCACCTGCTCGGTATGACCTTGGCGATGCCGTCACGTGGTCTCGCGACTGGAACGTCATAGAGTATGCAGGCCGACACGCGTTCACGATCATGACCCTGGCAACACTGCGATTTTTTCTTTGACTTGTAAAGGAATTTGACGAGATGGATATGGGATAATGATGTAGTACGTTATTTCTGCGCCGACTATGGCTTTCAACTCGCTGAGCGCGCTCCTCCCCTCTTCAGGCTGAAACTAACAAGTCGTCTATAGATATCTGTGGCCAGACAATCTAGAACAATGTCTAGTCCGTCCAAAAAGAGGAAGCTAAATACCGGCGGAAAGCAACATGGACCATCGACAAGAGGTTTAGAGTTCTTTTTTGCGAAGCAAAGACAGAGCAGCGTAGCCACTTCCTCAGCAGATGCCGCTGACGTGCCTGACTTGGCATCTACGGAACTAACAGATGAAGAATTGGCCCGTAAGCTTCAAGATGAATGGAATAAAGAAGTAGCAGATGAGAGTAAAAATGAAACCGAGAATACTCGAAGCACTTCACCGGCTTCGAATCTGGCAATCGATGAACTTTCGCCGGCTGCCCAACCTGAGTTAGAGCCTCGTGTGGCAAAGGAGGCCGAATTGCCTGCTTCAAAGGGGAATACTCTTACGTTGCAATCTACAGGAATGGCCGAGGATGCTATTACTACCAACATCCCTCTTGATGAGCCCCCTTTAATATTTCAGCCATCAAAGTATCTCGACTTGTTGAGGGAGCACTGGGCAGCTGAAGGTGGAAACGCCTCCTATTCTTTGCTCACCAGATGTTTCGTCCTCGTCAGCAGCACGGCGAGCCGCATTAAAATAGTTGATACACTTGTCAATTGCCTTCGACTGCTAATTGAAGGAGACCCTTCAAGTCTCCTGCCAGCCGTAAGTTGCTCTACTCCCATGTGGTTTCAAGCATCCACTCAACAAGCGATAGGTATGGTTGGCGACGAATTCTATATCGCCAGCATATATATCCCTGGAACTGGGACTGGGGGGTTCTGCAATATCTAAAGCTCTAAAGCAAGTGTGCGGCTTGGACAATAGATCACTCAAGGCAATCTATGACAAATACGGTGATGCCGGCGATGTAGCCTTTGAGGCTAAAAAGAAGCAGAGCTTCACACTGAGAAAGCCAAAGCCACTTACGATCAAATGCGTTTATCAGGACCTTGTTAAGATTGCTAGCTCTCAAGGACAGGGCAGCGCACAGGCGAAACAGCGCATTGTGGATAGACTATTGCAAGATGCGAGGGGTGGAGAGGAGAGTCGCTTCATTGTCCGGACGCTCTGCCAGCATGTAAGTCATTGCAATGTCTTGTCAGCGAAGCCAAAACCTTGCTAATGCTGCTAGTAGCTAAGAATTGGCGCCGTGAAAACCACCATGCTCATTGCTCTGTCAAGAGCCTTTCTGCTATCTCGGCCTCCTGGTGCAGACTACTCTCCTCTGTCTATCCCTGAACTTTACAAGCTGAAGAAAGAAGAGCTGGCCGAGATTTGGGGGAAAGCCGAGGAAACTGTCAAAGCCTGCTTTGCACGACGGCCCAACTACAACGATTTGATCCCAGTTCTTCTGGAAATTGGAATATCAGACGAGTTGTTGATTAGATGCGGACTAGCTCTGCACATTCCGCTTCGACCCATGCTGGGCAGCATTACCAGAGACTTGTCAGAAATGTTGACGAAACTTCAAGGAAGAGATTTTGCCTGTGAATACAAGTACGATGGCCAAAGGGCCCAGGTGCATTGCGACGATGGAGGAAAGGTGTCAATCTTTTCACGACACCTAGAACTTATGACGGACAAATATCCCGATCTTGTAGAATTGGTTCCTAGGATCCGTGGAGAGGGTGTCAGTAGCTTTATCATGGAGGGCGAAGTGGTCGCAGTGGATCGAGAAACTGGCGAGCTCAAGAACTTTCAGACCTTGACCAACCGGGCGAGAAAGGATGTGGAAATCGGCAGCATCAAGATTGATGTTTGTCTGTTTGCCTTTGATTTGATGTTCCTGAACGGGCAGCCGTTGCTGGACCGTCCATTTAGGGAACGACGGGAGTTGCTTCGATCGCTGTTCACCGAGGTGCCGCACAATTTCACCTGGGTGAAAAGCCTCGATGCGACGTCCAGTGACTCCGAAACGGTGCTCGAATTCTTCAAGTCGGCCACGGAGAGCAAATGCGAAGGAGTCATGGTCAAAATTCTTGACAACCTGGTTGATATTCCATACTTGGGCGACCAAGAGGGGCCGGCTGCTGAGGAAACAGAGAAGCTTTCGACACCAAAGTCAAAATCCAAAGCAAAAAAGAAAGGAAATGGCGCAACAGCAGCGGGGGAGGGAGACAAGAAGAAGACGGGCTCTCGACGAAAGCCCCTCCTCGCGACATACGAACCCGACAAGCGGCTCGACTCATGGCTCAAAGTGAAGAAAGACTACAATTCCAGCTTTGATACCCTGGACTTGATCCCGATTGCAGGATGGCACGGACAGGGTCGAAAGGCAAAGTGGTGGTCGCCAGTTCTTCTCGCCGTTCGCAACGAAGAGACTGGCATGTTGGAAGCAGTGTGCAAATGCATGTCTGGCTTTACCGACACATTCTACAAGGCCATGAAGCAGTTCTACGACAACGGCGAAGAGAGTGGAGAGCGCAAGAATACACGGTCGCAGATGCCGAGCTTCATCGAGTATTCTGGCCCCATGCCTGACGTCTGGTTTGAGCCTCAGGAGGTGTGGGAAATGGCCTTTGCAGATGTTACCCTGAGTCCGACTTACACGGCGGCCATCGGCCTTGTCAGTGATGAACGAGGTTTAAGTTTGAGATTTCCGCGGTTCCTCAAGAAACGGGACGACAAGAGCCTGGAAGAAGCAAGCACGAATGAGTTCCTGGCCGGGCTGTGGAGGAAACAGGAGGCAAAGGCGGTCCCGCGAGAGGCACCAGACGGGAGAGGAGATGGAGAGCTAGAGCAGATGGAGGATGAATGAATCATGTGCCTACTTTGTGCAGCGCAAACAGTATAATTAGGCAGTTTATTTGGGGTATATCCTCATCTTGTGTTATACATGGTCGCCTAGCATTCATTGGTATCATGTGTGCATTATATCCCTGCAGCCTTTACTTTCCCGCGTTCAGCTTTTGTGCTATCAAACTGAAGACAGAGACAGATGCCATGAAGAGCACTGCGTTGTAAAACTAAGGTTTGTTAGTTGGGTTCTTTTCTTTCGTCATCATTCATGTGTGCACTCACAGCTTTGCGGGACACGTCTCTCTCCTCATCGTCCGTCCGGGCCTCGATGAAGAGGCGCCTCAAATTGGGAAAATTTGCCTTTTGAATATTATTAGCGGTATAATTTGAAGACGGCATTAGTGAGAGACCGGACCATTTTGCGGCGGTTCGATGCCGAGCCCTATGTCGGGGTGATTCTCGGTGCTGGACTGCTCTGATGTCGATGATGGGTCAACCGAGGCGCCAATTGCACTTGACAACTGTAGACGCAAGATTGGGCGCTGACTGTTGGTGGATCGAACCAGCATTCGAGTCTCCCTTTAGCGGGGCAAAGCCTACCATCAGCGCCAGGAAAAGGTCAACTGGAGGTACATACGTCTGGTACTCTGTACTGGGTGCAGCAACAACTGGGTGGAGACGGTGGAGCCTCGTACCCGTTAATTTTTAGGGGAAGCACGAAGCCAAGCCCACCGCGAAGTCGCCTTGTTGACATCTGTTGACGCTTGCCCCCAGCTCCAGCGCCAGTCTGGACGCCAATGGCCAATGGGCGCAACAAGTTGAGGTGTTTCTGGCCCCAGTGCCTGGAGCTACAGAGTACATAACTTCCAACTTAGTTGACTTGGTGCCGTAAACTTAATAACTAATGCCAGTGGATCACGGCTCGCGGCTCACGCACCTTCGTCCCCAACTCTGTCCTTGCACTGGCATCTCGAGTGCTGGCTGCACCAGACGATACCACAGCCAGTTGTCGGGCTTCTCAGATGCCTTTTTGATGCAGAAAGACCCCGAGCCGTGAACCACAGGCCTGCCGCAGCTTCCTGGGCCAACGCACGACACGCCGTCGTCACTCGTACGGCCATACCACGACCGCCTCCATCTCTGCCCCTCCAACCTCTCCCTGGTCCCGACCCCTCGACGGCATCGACCATGGCGGTGAATCGCATTCGCGGCGCATTCGCCGCTCCCAGAAAGGGCGAAACCTTTGAGCTCCGCGCTGGTCTGGTCTCCCAGTATGCCTATGAGCGGAAGGAGTCCATCCAAAAGACCATCATGGCCATGACCCTTGGCAAGGATGTGTCTGCCCTGTTTCCGGACGTCTTGAAGAACATTGCTACGGCCGACCTCGATCAGAAGAAGCTCGTCTATCTCTATCTCATGTATGTACACTATTGGTTTCCTGGCGCTGGGGTGGTCGAATGCGAATACGCTCCGGGGCCCAAAACATGTTGGGAGGGTCGACACCACAGGAGGCTGACCATAGCACAGGAATTACGCCAAGTCACATCCAGACCTATGCATTCTCGCTGTAAACACCTTTGTTCAAGATTCAGAAGATCCGAATCCTCTAATAAGAGCGCTCGCTATCCGAACCATGGGTTGCATTCGAGTTGATAAGATGGTAGACTACATGGAAGAACCGTTGCGGAAAACGTTACGAGACGAATCTCCATACGTGCGAAAGACAGCCGCCACCTGTGTCGCCAAGCTGTTCGACCTCAACCCTGCCATGTGTATCGAGAATGGTTTCCTGGAGACTCTCCAAGAGATGATTGGTGACCCGAACCCCATGGTTGTCGCCAATTCCGTGCAAGCCTTGTCTGAAATCACCGAGACCGCCCCCGAGACGAGAGCGCTGGTCGTGACCTCGGCAACTTTGAAGAAGCTTCTCATGGCGCTCAACGAATGTACAGAGTGGGGAAGAATCACCATCCTCACCACCCTGGCCGACTACCCAGCCTCAGACGTCAAGGAATCAGAACACATTTGTGAACGAGTAGTGCCGCAATTCCAGCACGTCAACCCTGCCGTTGTCTTGGCCGCTGTCAAGGTCGTTTTTATTCATATGAAGGCAGTCAACCCAGAACTGGTTCGATCCTTGCTCAAGAAGATGGGGCCTCCCCTCGGTACGTGTTTCAATATTGACCTGGCTAGTACGAGGCTATATGGCCCACTAACCAAGATTTCTATAGTGACTTTGGTGGCCTCGGCTCCCGAGGTTCAATATGTCGCTTTACGAAACATTGATCTCCTACTTCAAGCCAAGCCCGATATCCTTAGCAAAGAGCTCCGGGTCTTCTTCTGCAAGTACAATGATCCGCCCTACGTTAAGCTCCAAAAGCTCGAGATTATGGTTCGGATAGCAAACGAGAAGAATTATGAACAGCTCCTGGCTGAACTGAAGGAATATGCTCTGGAAGTCGATATGGACTTTGTCCGCCGCGCTGTCAAGGCTATCGGGCAGGTCGCCATCAAGATTGAGGAGGCCAGCGCCAAGTGCGTGCAAGCCTTGGAAGACTTGCTGGCCACCAAGGTAAACTATGTGGTGCAAGAAGTCATCGTGGTCGTCAAGGACATTTTGCGGAAATATCCCGGCTACGAGGGTGTGATCCCCACGCTGTGTGAACATATCGATGAACTTGACGAGCCGGAGGCTCGAGGATCCCTTATTTGGATCGTTGGCGAGTATGCTGAGAAGATTAGCAACGCCGACCAGATTCTTGAGAGCTTCGTCGAGGGCTTTATGGAGGAGTTTACCCAAGTACGTTTATCTGCCGCTAGGAACCTGATTAGTTTTCGAAAGTCACGCTAACAACGAGTTCAGACACAACTACAAATACTCACTGCAGCGGTGAAGCTCTTCCTGAAGAAGCCTAGCAACACTCAAGGACTTGTGCAGAAAGTTTTGCAGGCTGCTACTGCAGAGAACGATAACCCTGACATCCGAGATAGAGCCTATGTTTACTGGCGCCTGCTCTCTGGCGACTTGGACGTTGCAAAGGTACCTTCAGTTCCTGGTACACTACTAGTTTACTCGATTCAGCTGACACTTTTTACGTAGAACATTGTTCTCTCCCAGAAGCCTACCATTTCCACCACCATGACCACGCTGCCGCCGTCATTGCTGGAACAGCTGCTCTCAGAGCTGTCCACTTTGGCTTCGGTATACCACAAACCCCCAGAGTCATTTGTTGGCAAAGGACGATTCGGTGCCGACGAAATCCAGCGAGCCGCAATTCAAGAACAAAGACAAAATGCGGCTGACAATCCCATTGCGGCGTCTGTCGCCGCAGCAGCCAACGGCGCGGGCCCCGGTGCTTCTTCTAACAACATTGAGAACTTGCTTGACATCGACTTTGATGGCGCGGCACCGGCATCCCACGAGCAGCAAAGCGCGTCAGCGACGCCCGACCGAGTGGCGAGCCCAGCCGGTGGTGCCGCATCTGGTGGCATGGCGGACATGATGAGCATGTTCGACGCTCCTCCAATAGACGCAACCAACAATGGAGGTGCAGCAGGACCTAGCTCTGGTAGCGGCATCAACGACCTGATGGGCGGGTTTGACGGGCTGAGTTTTGGCGACAGCAACTCGAGCCAGCCTCTCCCCGCGGCGATGCAGCTGAACAATGCGCAGGGCGGCAGCAGCACTCAGACGCAAAAAAAGGATAGCGATGATTTGTTGGGGCTGTTGTGAGGAGGGTAGTAGTAATAGTTTTATTTTTTACTCAAATTTTTTTTCTTTCTCAAACAAAAGAGGTTGACTGGGAAAGCAGTAGGCGCACCGTTTATAGATCCACGGAAGTGTCAATGGAAGAAGCATCTTGGTTCGGAAGCAAAGTTGGTTTAACTTGCAATGTTAGGCAAATTTGCACTCGTGCAATTCTCACGAAAATACGTGCTTCAGGTATCTAATGTAGGCAGTTTCCTCCAACCTTTTGTGATCCAATCCCCGCGGTCCCGATGACATGGCGTCTTCTTCCTTTTTTATCCACATGGTATTTCGGCCGGGCGCAATAGACGCCAAGACCCCAGCCTGTAATTATAAAATGCCATATCCCGCGCTCGTTCCGCGATGGTGTTTTTTCCCTTCCCGCAATCACGCACTCGTGCCTTCGACATGGCCCCCGACGGTCCCGTCCATGGGGGGGCCCGCCTTGGCCTTGTCCCTCTCCCACTCGTCTGGCGTTTGGCATTTTGCCGTCCAGGCGTGGATGGCGGCAATCTCCTCCTTGAGAGCGGCGTTGGCCAGGCGGTGGCGCTTGAGGGAGTTGAGGCCTTGGAACTGGGGCGCGACGATGAGGCAAGTGAATGCTTGGCCGCAGCCGCCTATGAGCCCGTCCAGTTAGCTTTTTTTTTTTTTTGAGGTGGACAAGAATGGGAGGTGGAAGTTGTCGCGAGATGGTGAATGGAGGGGCATTTTACGAACCAGACATGTCGGTGACTTCGACGTGGGTGGCCCCTAGACGCTGCGTGATGGCGTCACGTATGCTGGCATCCGTTATTTGGGACATGGTGACATGGGATCCTGAGGGTTGGCGCACGCGTCAAGTCAGGGTGGTTTGGTGTCGTGGACGCTGCGGGCGGACGAGCGATGTCGCAAAAGATGGGATTGATAAGATGGACTTGGCCGCGGGGCAGCTGCAGTTGCAGTTGCAGTTGCACTTGCACTTGCAGTTTAGGGTCCGTGTCGGGCGGTGACGTACAGAGACGCCAGGCGGCGCCGCGGCCGGACTGCTGACTCCATCTGCTGGGACTAACCCTAGTCGGGCCTGGTCGTCTGGCAGTTTCAAGCAGCAAGCTTCAAGCTCTGCAAAGCACTCTCACTCGTACCCGCCATCGCCCATCGCCTGCATGAGTTGCTGAGGGTTGGAAATTGACATGAGGACAGCTGTACGGTCTCGTCGCTGCCCATTGACCATCGCCCGAAGCCTCGCTCGATTCAACCCGCGTGCATCCTTGACCCCCCCGTCGTCGCTGCTCAGCCGTCGAGCTACACGGGCCTCGACGTTGTTCGGGCACAGCGCAAAGCTACCTGCTTGGTCTGCGACGTCGTTCTGCACCAGCTGCAAGATGAACGAAACCGGGGCATGGGGAGCTTGGCAGGTCCAGCCATCCAAGTTTACCCGCGCCGTCGTCGACGCCATGAGGACGCTGTACGCCCGGGCACGTCTCCTGATGGCATTTGGTTTCAGGCACTAACTCTTCTCCTGCAGGTATCCCGAGGAATTGGCAGATAGGTCATGGGACAATGTCGGTCTCCTGGTTGGCAATTCAGAAGCTGAGGGCAGGCAGCCCAAGGTTCTGGTGACAAACGATCTCACCTGGCAGGTCGCCGCGGATGCGATTGGCCAAAATGTCAGCGTCATTGTGAGCTACCGTAAGTGTTGTCTCCGGTCACGATCCAAGAAGAAGAAGAAGAAGCATATAGGCCCTTTCTGTGTACAGTACTTTTAACATGGCAGCCCCAAGATCCGTTCATATTCTCTGGGCTCAAGTCCATCACCAATGACGACCCCCAGCAAGCGACACTGTTACGTCTGGCCCAGGCCGGAGTGGCTGTCTACTGCCCTCACACGGCGGTCGACGCGGCCCCCAAGGGATTAAACACTTGGCTCGCAGACATTGTAGCTGGTCCGCACGCAAGCAGGCGCTCCGTGGCTGTTCCCTGCCCGGCAGCCCCTGAATCTCACTCCCCAGCGGGCTACGGCGCCGTGGGCCACTTTGAAGCCCCTGTTTCTCTGGCCGAGATTCTCAGGCGTTTGGCTTCTGAGCTCGGTGGTCTGAAATACGTCATGGTTGCCAGCCCTGTAGGCGCGGACATGAAGACCGCCACGGTGGGAAGCTTTGGCGTCTGCGCGGGCAGTGGCTATGACGTCCTGAAGAAGGCAGACGTCGACTTGTTGGTCACGGGGGAAACGAGCCACCATTCGGCGTTGAGGGCCATCCAGCAAGGAAGAACATTGGTGCAAGTGTTTCATAGTAATTCGGAGAGGGGCTACTTGCAAAAGTTTCTCGGGCCAATGTTGGAAGAACAGCTAAAGAAGGCCGTTCCAGAAGCTCAAGTGGTCTTGAGCCAGTTTGACAAGGATCCTTTTACCATTTACAACGTCGACCATCTAGGTTAGGGAGGCTAGACAGCACCTTTAATTTGCAGGATTGCAAGATGGATGTTGAGCCAGCTGACTGTGGCCAAGGGCTATACCTGATAGCATAGATTCGAAAAAAAAAAAAAAAAAAAAAAAAAACAGAGAGAGCCTATCAGAGGGGGAGGGACAAAAGAGTTCACGCCGTCGTGTGCCATGTTCAAGACTACCGATCATCTCTAGAAGTCCTCTGCGGTAAATCCGGCACTGGCTTAAAAACAGCATCCCCTTCATCAATGACATCTTGTACATGGTCGCCCCCGACACCCGTCTCCTTCCACGCTACCAATAGGCGCTTGGGCATCTCCCACTGCCTCTTGGCCTCTTGCACCTTGCCCTCCTTGACGAGATCCCTCAGCTTCTGCGGCGTAGCAAGCACCTCGACGGCCAGTTCCCGCGTCCTCTGCCGCCTCAGCTCTGCCGCCCTCCGCCACCCTTCCTCGGAATCGGGCGCCGGCACGGACTCGCGTAGTTTTTCTCGTATCGACGATGCCTGCGAGTATATCTGTGCAATGGCAGGGTCGAGCGTCGACGCCATGGGGTTCAAGGGGTCCATATTCGTCCTCATCTAGCTCTCACGGCATTAGCAACATGTTTCATTCTTTTTCTTTTTCTTTTTCTCTCCTTGGCCTCGCTTTTCTCCAAGAGTGGAAAGAGACGCATGTTACCTTGCGGATCGTCTCCGTCGCCGTAATCAACTTGCTGTAGTTGTCGTAGACGAGGGCCTTCTTCTCGGCGTCTAGGGCCCTGACCTCGGCGACGACCTGCGTGTACAGGCGCAGCATGTCCTCCAGGCCGCTGTTGCCCACGACGCGCGCGACGTACTCGGCGGCGTTGAAGTCCGGGGCGTCGAGGTCGCTGGCGGGCACCTCGGAGCCGGCCACCTCGATGCGAGGCGCGCGGAGCTTGTAGTATTCGCGGAGGGCGGCGCGGTTGGAGCGTTTTGGGAGCGGCTGGGAGGGTGCGTCGGGCGCGGGCGACGTCACGCCCGACCGGGCCGTTTCCAGCGACGGCCGCCCGGACGAGGTGGGCGTGCCGGAGGGGAGACGCCGCAGGGGGTTTGCCGGGTCGCGCGGCGAGGCTATCGTGGACATGGTGCCGCGTGGCGAGCGTGTGGATAGGAGATGGGTTGAAGGCCGTGACATGACATGACGTTGCCGACGCCCGGGGGTTTGGGTTTCGGGTTTCGGTGGGGGCAACCAGGTTCCACCGTCGACCTGCAGGAACGACGCCGAGTCGTTGGCGGGTGGCCCCAGCTAGCACTTGCCAGATTCAGGTCCGTCGCATCGAGCTCACTTCTACATGTGCACTCGAGAGACGTCGTCTCCTCGCCGGCAACATCCACAGCCATGGACACCACCGCTCAGCTGCTGGACTCGATTACATCCCAGTGCCTCCCGCCGCCATCAGAGTCCCTCCTCACCAGCCTCACCACCCGCTCACCACAGCCGCCCTTGCCTTCGCTCGTGGCCACCGCCAAGGCGCGCCTGCTCGCCGCCGACCTCACGTCGAGCTCCTACCTGGACGGCGCGCAGCTCTGCCCCTTGCCCTCCGGCACAGACAGCGCCAATGTCAAGGAGGCCAAGCTCCGGCACCACACGCACGTGCAGGTCGTCGACATTGAGAACCTGAGCCTCAGTCGCTGGGAGCAGGTCGAGGAGATGGAAACCATTGAGAGGGGCGAGAGGACGCGCGGAAGGGAAATTATTCGCGTCGCCGACGAGGAGAGTGCGGATGCGGCCGAGTCGTTGGCAGCCCGAGGGACGGGGACGGGGACGGGGCCGCGGCCGCCTGTTTCTGCCGCCAAAAAGGCCACGCATCGTCTCGTGTTGCAGGATTGCAAAGGGGAGAGGGTGTACGCCGTGGAGCTGACGAGGATAGATGGCATAGGGGTGGGCAAGACCAACATGGGATGCAAGATGCTGCTCAGGGCTGGGACCCCCGTTGCTCGCGGCACCGTGCTGTTGACTCCCGAGAATTGCGTTTTGCTGGGCGGCAAGATTGACGCCTGGCATGACGCCTGGATGAATGGGCGAATGGCGAGGCTAAAGGAAGCTGCCGGGGCTGGCAATGCGCACACGACGACGACGACAACGACAACCTGACAGGATTCTTGATTTCTCATGTATCGATTTCTTACCAAGATACCCCAAACATTTTCCATATCCCTTCATCTAACATAGCACCCATGGTTGCTTCACAACTAGACACTGTCCAAATACCATCGCCGAGCCAAATGCTTCTGTTTATATTCCGTCAGTCACAACTTTCAACGCTGTCCACCCACATCCATCCCACGGCGATAAGAACGCAGCCTTCTGGGCGTCAGCTGCCTTGCCCGTGCCTGCATATGCCTTTGCTAAATCTTGAGCCTCCAAGATACCCCTGGGCGGAATGCCTCTAGCCGCAACCTTGAGTGCCATTTGCGCAGCGTACTTGTCCCCTGTTGCCTCTGCCAAAGATGACCAGCCGTGTGGAAGGTGAGGGTACAACATGATATCCTCTTGTATTTGTTGTACCACCTCTTGCTGTGTGTGGCCCTCCGCCATGCCCGCCACGGCGCGAAGCACTTCACCAATTTGGGACTGTTCCGTCGTGCTGACCTTGTCGTTTGTGCGAAGGCCCTGGAGTTCCTCGACAACGGCTTCAAGACTACTTTCATCCTGGTCTAGAAGGGCTACCACGCCCAGAGACAAAATACTTTGCACGTGGTCGGGCTGTCTTTCAATCACTTCAAATAAGACTTCACGAGCCTTGTCCCGGGACTTCTCGGTACCTTGTGCCCACAACACCTGTGCTAAAAGGCATGTTGCATCCGGATTATTGTCCGATTCTCCAAGGGCCTCCTCGAAGTATGTTTCGGCTTCCTGGTGTTGTCCCAGGTAGTATTGTCCCAAGCCCACCGTCAGGTGTGATGAAAGCCGAGCCTTCTTCCGCTGCTCGCCAGTGAGCTCGCTATCCGCATCATCACTGCTTAAACCTAGGGCCATTTCGCCACACTCGACGGCCTTGGCGTACTCTCCTGCGGCGAGGTATGCTCTTGCGAGATCAGTTCGTGCCAATGTGAATCTTGCGAGACTTTCTCTGGACTCTGTTGCTTCATAGTCGGCCTCAATCACATCGCACAGCTTCTCCAGCGTCTTGACCGCACTGGCACTGTCCCGTGTTCGTTCGTTAAATAAGCATGACAAATGGCCCGAAGCAAGATCCTGTGGAAGCATACTTCGAATCTGGTTCAGTGCGAATAAGGGCTGGATAAGCGAAGCCACCGTCATGTTCGCAGGAGCTGTCAAGATATGATCGAAAAGAGAAGACGAGTAGTGCTTGCGAGTTGGTACCGAGGAAGCCTCTGCAATCTCCATGGCATGCGTAAATAACCCCCTGGCTTCCTTCACATCTCCGTATAGAAGGGCTAGGAACGCCTGGCCGAGCCAAGCATGCGCATATTCAGGATCAGCAGACTGTCCCCGGGTAAAGGCTTCATTGGCCAGCTTAGTGTCCCCCGATAGAAGCGCGAGGACGCCAAGGTTCGTCCACCCAACGGGGCTGCGTTCATTCAGGTGCAAGCTTCTGACAAAAGCGTGTTGTGAGACAGCTGGGTTGATTTCGCTCGTGACAACGCCCAGAGCATTCCAAAAGTCTGCATTGCCACTTTCCAACTCGATAGCACGTTTCAAAGCCCTGACAGCGGCCTTGATATAGTTGCTAGGCTTCTTTCGCATCTGGGCAGGCAGGCAAGCGTGAGCACGGTATTCTGCCCAGCCCAGGTTATAATGAGCCACTGCTTGTGCGTGTATATCGCCAGAAGAAACGTGGATAGCTTCTTTGTAACATAGAATCGTGGCGTGAATACAGCGTGTCATGTCAACACCCAGCTGTTCATCCTTGGGATATATACCCTTGGCATATACCACGTCAGTTCCGACCTTGTCGACATTGGCAAGCAGTTCAAAAGCTTCTTGGTAACTAGCCTCCAACAACTCCTTAATCTCACTTGCAGGGAAATTGACGACGCGGCTCTGTACAGACCCAAACACCGAAGCGGCATCAGCGATGCTCTTCCAGAAGTTGAACGTTTCCTTGACATCTGCAGGAGTTTTGCTCCCAAATTCAATGGTATAAGTTGCGAGTTGCACAGCTTTCCCAAAAAGTCCTTTTTCAATGCATGTCAATGCGTTATCAACCATCGTCTGCATGAGTGCAATAACAACACCCTGCTCTTCTGGATGGGTCTCTATAACAGTATTGTAGAGAGCGATCGACTCGTCATATTCGCCAAGCTCACGCTTGATGTTAGCAAGCATGTACTTCGTAAACCATGTATCGGCGGAGATACCGTCTCCTAGATGCTCTTCTAAACGCTGTGCATTCACAATGGCTTTGGTTGCAGCAATGTATCGGCCGGAACTGTGATAGCTCTCACCTAATCCGACCCAGGAATGATAATCATTTGGAAACAGTCGTAGAGCGGCCTGAAAGGAGACGATGGCCTTGTGGAAGTCTTGCTTATTCAGTTCGGCAACTCCCATCGCGGCGAATGGCCAGCTGATCCCCTTCCTTTTAGAACCAGGCGGCGGCTTCACTATGCCCGAGTCAATGATTCTTTGGGCTACCAGTTCAACCCTCTCCCAATCTCCATCCTCGGCAAAAGATCTCGCCAGCCGCTCAGCAGAGACTACCTCGGCTGCTGAAAGTTCAAGGGCTTTCTGGAAGCATCGACGCGCTCTCTTCTTGTCTTTGGCGTAGTCGCTGTAGAATATGCCGAGGCTTGTGTATGCTGGAGCATGGTTCATGTTGTTGTTCAATGCGCTCAACCAATATGCATACGCGCAGTCCCCCTTGCGCTGTTTTCGAGCTTGTCGACTCGTGTCCAAGTTCCAAATACAGCAGCCAATGCGATACTGAGTATCTGCCATCAATTCCTTGTAAAGAGCGATCTTTTCTTCCAAGATTGGTAAACACTCGGACAGCTCGTGTTTAGCAGTTTTCCAGTCTCCCTTCAGCGCCTTGACCCAAGCAGCCTCGGACTTGACTCGCAAATTAGAGGTGTCGCGTTTCAAAGCACGCTCCAAGAAGTCAATGGCTTGATCGTACTCCTTCTCTTCTTCAAAAATCAGGCCCACTCCAATGAGGGCAGAAGTTGAGGTTGAATCCCGTTCAAGAACTTTTTCAAAGAGCTCCTTGGCTTCTTGGTGATGCCTGGGGCTCTGGAAGTAAACCAGAGACGTCGCAAGGCACAAGGCATATGTGTCACCCGTGTTCTCATACGAAATCCCAACCCTGGCCCGCTCCTTGTCAAGAAATGCTCTAGCCTTCCTCATCAACTCAACCGTGTTCTCGTACTCTCCTATCTGCAGGAAGTAAACTCCAACAAGCCTGTAGGCAAATACAGACTCACTACCAGTAATACCTTCTGAGATCATCATCAGACGGTCTTCGTCAGTTAACGGAACGTACGCGATAGGAACACCTCCATCTTCATCATCTTCGCTATCATCCGAAGCACTATTTGCTGCCGCTCTGGTATCTTCTGCTGCTTTAGCTTCCGGAGGAAAGGGCGAAAAATTGCTTGTCAAGAAGGCCGTAATGATTTTGTACATGTCGCTGTCTGGGAAAAAAGTGCAGTAATCTCGAAGCAGGCCGGCGTCCCAGTCCTTGATATCTTTACCATCCTGCCAGTCTATGGCAATATCCCACGCGAGTTTGAACGGATGTTTGATGGTTACCATGTCGTTTGCAAGACCGAAAACCTTGGCCTGCTCCTGTGTTTTTACAGGCCCGGCAGCAGTGACGAGTAATCTGTCATAGCAATATTGTAGGAGCTTCTCCTCAAAGTCCCGCCTGACTTCATCATTGCTTGTCCAGTTGATGAGCTGGCGGTAGATGGGTTCCAACTTGCTCTGTGCATAAACTTCCCTCTTGACCTCTACTTTCACCTCGCTGAGTCTCGCTCCTAATCTCGTACGGCGCTCGCCGACCAGGGTATTGATCCGTTTCTTTTCAAAGTCCTCGAGTATATGTGCAATAGTCTCATAAGTCCTTGCTGGCTGTGGAAATCGTCCTTCTAAAATGGGATACAGGGGACTTTCAGGGAGCTGGATCCAGAGAGCATCGGCATACTGCAGCTTGTCTCCGTTGACCCTGGCAAAGTCGACAAATTTGTCGACAACATCTTGGGCTTTGTACAGGTCCTCTGCTTCGTGAAAAATCTGTGCCAAGCTCACGACGGCAGTTTGATACTCCCCTAATCTCTGGTTTCCTTGCTTCTCGTACACCTTGATCAGTCCTTGGAACGCTTGGGCATCCTGAGGACGCAATTCTGTAGCTTTTTTGTAGAAATTTTCAGCTTCGACAAGCTGATTCTTTTTGTCCAGTGCAAAGGCCAGGAAAATAAGGCTTGGGCAGTCAATTCCCACTCCGAGAAACGGTAAAGGGTGCACACTCACCCGTGATAGCTCTTTGGATCCTTCTTTATTAATTCTTTTGCCTTTTCAATGGCGCCGTCATAATCCTGGCCGCGGATAGCATCGTTTATGGCCTTCAATGTGGCCTTGGCGCCTGACATTGTTGTCGGTCCCGAGACAACTTATGCCCCGCGATATTTATTATAGTACTGTGCTTTAAAAAAATGACACAAGTTCGGGTGGCAATGGCCAAGGTGTAGTCGGTTTTGAGGGGCAAACCTGGAAAATGAATTCATGACAGGAACATCTCCCCGACAATTTGTTTCAACAGGAGCGAATCGCAACTTGCCAGCAGCAGCTGCTGTACCAGTTCACACGCCAAGAAGCTGCCATCAGTGAATAGTCGACTTCAGCCTGGCTTATGTCATGACAACACAGAGCTGCTCGGCGAAAAGGACTCTTAGCCGAAGTTTCTCCGCCCACAAACCACAACCACAAACCACAACTCACCCAACCAGGCTGATAGGAACTGTTCCAAGCATCGCGAACCACGGACGCTTTTTGCCATGACCATGGAATTACTGCCTGTTGGCAACGCATCTACCCTTGCAGAGAGTTGCTTCAAGAACGCAGGACAGTCCATTCTGCGAAATACGCCTGTCTTACTGTTTACAAATTTGAACAGAGCACACGACCAACCTGGAATTGGCTGCGCGGCGTGTTGAAGCCGGTGAGAGCTGAAAAGCAAAAGAAAAAAAAAAAAGCTCGGCCAACCTTGCATCGGACAATGCATTGTTTGTACTCCCACACCAGGCTACAGGATATGCCACATCCTACATATACGTGCTGACGCCGTTGGGGGGAGAGAATGCCAGACCTGTTATAAAGGGCAAACGCCGTCAGCATTTTTCAGCTACTATCGCCAGGTCTCCGAGCCGCGATCTTGACCTTTGTAATTTGACGCCGTGATACTGGGCGCCACACGAATGGCAACGAAAACACTCTGTTGTATTTCTCCGCTTGCTGTCTTATTCTAAATGAGGTTTCCAAGAGTGACCGACCCCAAGACAATAGATGCCTATTGCCCATTGAAGCCTCAATGTGATGTCATTTTCTGATGTATGTAAGCCAACTTGTTCGTTTAATAGTCGGGGGCGACTAACAGGAGGATGTGAGCCATGGGTTGCATGTCGCTACCAATAAGCAACAAATAGCAATGCTGCCTATTGTCTGTTCTACCCCGGAAAAGCGCCACACGCTCCATGCTCTGTTCTCTCTCACCAATATGACCAACAAGATGAGACTTTGGAGAAGCGAAATAGTTCGTCTGTTCATGCATCGTAATACGTACCACCCGCGTGGATTGCTGGTCCGGGACGACCCTCCAGACCCGTTTGCCACTCCCGAGGTTGGGCATCCTGACGTCGCTGTGCCTAAGAGTGAGGCTGAATATGCTCTTGGCAAGGACACATACATAACACTTGAATAGTTTGCTTCTGTGCTGTAATTAGACACACACATGTGTGGCAGTATGACACAACAAGGCATCTTACCAGACGCCCTGGCATTCTCACGCACTTGAAATGTGGCGGCGCTCGAGCGCCTTGCCATCGTTTCTCACATAAGAGGCAAGAATCAACGCTATCTCATATTTCACACATTTGTAGCCCCGAGTTTCCTTCGGTCGTAAACTTGAATAAGTCCGCCCTTCCTCTCGTCCTTCTTCCGCTCTCTGCCTGTTGGCTTCTGCCGCTGCCCAATCTGTGCATGAAAGAGAATGTTTGATGTTGCAACGGTGCAGCTGAAGCTCGCATAGAGTCTACAACATGACGACGCCGTTAACTCATCCGGCTTATTCGAACAATTACCGTGATCGGACTTTTGCCATTGCAAAAACCAGAAGCGCCAATGACAGGGCCGTTATCGAGAATCCCCTCGGTAAGTCTGACTTGCTCCGCACATTATTCCTCGCTCTGTGCACTTTCCTACCATGGTCCAAGGAACTGATCATATAAAGCCCATTTCACGGACGCCGAGTTGGAATTTGATGTCCGAAACTTTGCAGAGACCTTTCTCCCTTCCGTGAGGTACCAAGAGTTGCTGCGGGCCGCCAGAGTCGGAAAGGACATTCAAATATACGATGAGGCGGCCCGACAACCTGCCGGCTACGAAGAGCGAAATAGACTTGCAGTGATTTTGACAGAAGAAGAGAAGATAGCGCTCAGAAATGAAAAGGACGTCGCATTCAGTGAGAAAGGAATGTTGGCCGTTATCGCCACGGTTTCACTGGCAGCATTTCTGCAAGGTCGGTCCGAATCGTTGCCGACAAAGGCTGAAAAGAGCCAACTCCAGTAGCAGCTGCTGACTGTCACGCGAAACAGGTTTTGTACAGTCGTCAGTCAACGGAGCTTCATTATATATGAATCAATGGGGTCTGAATCCGAGCAATGAGACCTCACACCAGATTACCCCCGACAACTGGAAGCTTGGTGCCGCAAACGCCTCGCCATTCTTTTTTGCTGCGTTGGTTGGATGTCCGCTTTCTCTACCAATCAACTACTGGTTCGGAAGAAAAGGAGGCATTAGTGTTGCGGCAATCTTGATTTTTGCCAGCTCCATCGGCGCCATCTTTGTTACTTCTTGGACGCAAATGTTTGGTGTTCGTGTCATTAATGGCATTGGTAAGCCAATCTGTAGTCCCTCAACACCGAAACGACTGCCGAACAAAATCTGACATGACACTTAGGTATGGGCATCAAGGCAGTTAGCACACCGATCCTGGCCAGTGAAACTGCAGTCGGATTTTGGCGTGGTTCTGCCATTCTCGCTTGGCAGCTCTGGTATGTCGATGGTGTCATCTTATACCACCCCGCGAATATTTTAAGCTGACAGGGGCAATAGGGTTGCTTTCGGCATCATGATGAGTTTTGTGTTCAACTTGATCTTCACGCAAGCGGCGAATCCGACTACCACTTTTCGTCTCATCCAAGGCGCTCCTTTGGTTCCCGCATTCGCTCTTTTGATAATGGCACTGTTTGTTTGTCCGGAGTCACCTCGCTTCCACTTGCTGAAGGGCCCTAACTATAGTGTTGAGAAAGCATACACGGTGTTGAAGAGAGTCCGAAACACCAAGGTTGGCACACTTGACTGAAACTGTACATGGCAAAGATGCCCGCTAATGAATGTCTGTGTTGGTCTATTAGTTGCAAGCACTGAGGGACCTGTACCTTGTCTCCAAATCAATCGAGCAAGAGAACATGGACTTTGGCGACCTCGACCCTCAAGCAATGATGTCGCCGGGCTTCTTCTGGGTCATCCGTGATTTTGCAAGACAGTTTGTCCAGCTCTTTCAACGTCGCCGCTTGTTTAATGCCGTTCTTTCGGCATCGACAGTCAATCTTGCACAGCAGCTTTGTGGAGGCGAGTCCAAATATCTAGTGATTACTTGAAGTAGGAGGAGCTGACCTTGGTTATTCTCTCTGTAGTAAATGTTTGTGCCTTCTATTCAGGTACGCCTTTGTCTCCTCACCCTGATGTATAAAATGACATGCTTACATGTGTGCAGGAATTGTCTTCCAACAAGCAGGCAGATCAGAAAGCAACGTCATCACAAATATGGCATACAGTCTCGGGTTTGGTAGGAAAACTCTACCGGAACAAGTGTCTCGACTAATCTAACCTTTTCTCTACTCCCAGGGGCAATTAATTTCGTATTTGCTCTGCCAGCGGTAAAGAGCATTGACACATTGGGCCGAAGGAGATGGTTGCTGCTGACACTCCCCTTCATGGCGGTGTTTATGCTAGGGGCCGGGCTCTCTGAAAATGTCAGAGATGATGCAACTCGCAATGGAGTGACGGCCTGCTTTCTGTTCCGTGAGTATTTGGTGCCATGTGCCCACGATGGAGGAATCTCACTAACGCAAGAACAGTCTTTGCAGTAGCATACTCACCCGGCCTCGGGCCAATTCCTTTTACCCTAGCCTCTGAGAGTTTCCCTTTGACACATCGAGAAGCAGTAAGTCGGCATGTCTTGGCTCCTAGGCCCGGGGCCTTTCTCATTGCAAACAGATGCTTATCGAACAAAAAACAGGGCACAGCGTGGGCGATTTCCATCAACCTATTGTTTGCCGGGTTATTGGCCGTCTGCTTCCCGGGGTATGTCCTCAGTGTGTATCAATCGTACTGTCTAGTTATTCATTGCTGACATGCCCGGCAGCATCAACTCTGCTCTTGGCCAGAAGGGGTCCATGGGGATCTTTGCTGGGCTCAACATTGTAGCCTATGTCATGGTTTTCCTGTTTGTGGAGGAGACCAAGCAACGCAGTCTGGAAGAGCTGGACCACATCTTTGCCGTCTCGAAGCGAGAGTTTATGCACTTCAAAGTCACGAGGTACCTGCCGTGGGTAATTGGAAAATATGTTTTCCGCCTCAAAAGGGACGAGCCAAAGCTGTACAGAGACATGGTTTGGGGCTCTCGACCAGTCGGCCTGAAGAAAACACGCATCGAACCCTTGGGAGAAGCCCGGGTTGAGTTGCGGCCAAGACGTCCGACTGTCTTCCAAACCCCCAAGTTTTCGGATACAACTAGACCGAATATGGCAGAAATGGAAGAAATATACCCCCCGGGGGTAGCTGTGCCTTATGCGAGGGAATACCAGGACGGCCAGACTCCTCGCCAGGGGACCAGGCGCAACGACTCTAGATTTCAGTGATGGGTGAGTCGACACAGGCTGGGGGCAAGTGGCGAAAGCGGTTCGAATCGCAAGGTAGGAAAGAGTAGAAACAGGCGTATTAATACCACAGTATCATGTATCTTGGTGTTTTAATGTAGACTGTATGTGCCCACCACGGTAGATTGGCTGGAGAGGCGTGATGGGTCATGGTCCATGGACAAAGTACGAATACGGATACGAATAGAGGCAATGCAGCGTCATGTTGGGTTGCCCCATTGTCGGTGCCGATCACGAGGTTGAACTACTAAGACAGCGTTGAAGGGAGGCGTCGCAGAAGCGTCGCAGAAGCATGGCACAGGCACAAGAGGGTTGCGAGTGTCGGGTCAAGGTTGGACATGGGCGAGATGCGCAGCTGGTGGCCGCGCGCGTAAACAGCTTCCATCTATGTACGTCACGACGAAGAGCGGAGTGTGGAGTGTGGCGTCGCGTGACGGACCGTCAGCATGCAGGAAGCGGGAGAGGGACCATGTCAAATAGCAGTTGACAAATGGGATGCAACTTGACATATATTAACTTCAATGTTGTGAATGTTGATGCTCTGCACTCGGGCAGGCACATGCAGGCCCGGTTTTGACGTCTCAGTGCTCATACTGGGGTCTGGTGGCTTTCATCGCCTGGCTGGTCTTTGCTGATCATTGTTGTCCAAGCACCGCGTACTCGGGCGCCGGCCAAGCCAAGGCCGATTGACCGCTTGAGACGGGTGTCGCTGCACCCACCAGGTTAACTTTGGGAGGAACCAAGACGTTTCTTGGTTCGTACGGTGCTCAAATACCGAGACAATTTAGTTCTTTGATCACTTGCATCGTCATAGCTCGTGGCAGCGGCACATCCAGCTGGCAAGATTGACGGCCTGGCCCGGTGACGTCTGGACACCAACCGCCTTTGTCCACCGTCTCGATCTTCTCCATCGCTTCCTCCAATTTGCTCTCTTCCTCATCATCGGCCACTCCGCTCGCAAGACGACATGGCTTCCTTTCGGCTGACGATCGAGGATGGCCAGTTCCGAGACGCTCACGGCCGACAGGTTGTACTACGCGGAATCAATGTCGCTGGCGACGCAAAACTCCCCTCCGAGCCCGATCAACCGTCCCACATTGCCCATGACTTCTTCGACGGCGACAACGTCACATTCCACGAGCGGCCCTTTAGTAGAGGGGAAGCCGCTACGCACTTTGCCAGGATAAAACGCTACGGCTTCAATACGATCCGCTACCTCTTTACTTGGGAGGCAATCGAAGCCGCAGGTCCCGGCATCTATGACGAGCAATTCATCCAGCATACCATCGACGTGTTGAGGATAGCAAAGTCCTATGGCTTCTACGTCTTTATGGACCCTCACCAAGATGTTTGGTCACGATTCACCGGCGGTTCGGGGGCTCCAATGTGGACGTTGTACGCCTGCGGTCTCAACCCCCAGAGCTTCGCCGCCACCGAAGCCGCCATTGTTCAGAATACGTACCCCGATCCGGATACCTTCCCGAAAATGATTTGGTCAACCAACTACCACAGGCTCGCGGCAGGCACCATGTTTACTCTGTTCTTTGCCGGCAAAGACTTCGCGCCAAACTGCATCATAAACGGCGTCAACATCCAGGACTATTTGCAGGGCCATTTCGTCAATGCCTGCGCACACTTGGCAAAGCGGATACATGAAGCGGGCGATCTGGAAAATGAGGTTGTCATGGGCTGGGAGAGCATGAATGAGCCCAACAGAGGCATGACGGGTTATGTTGACTTGACAGTCATCCCCAAGGACAACCCCCTGAAGAAAGGCACCTGCCCGACCATGTGGCAAACTTTCCTGACGGGTATGGGCAGGGCCTGCGAGATTGATACCTGGGATATGGGAGGCTTGGGGCCTTACAAGACAGGCACGACGTTGGTGGATCCTCATGGCGAGATTGCCTGGTTACCGGAAGGATATGACGATTCCAAGTATGGGTGGAAGCGTCACCCTGGCTGGAAACTCGGCGAGTGTCTGTGGGCGCAGCATGGCGTTTGGGATATAGCAACCGACACAATGCTAAAGAAGGACTACTTTGCCAAGAACCCCAGAACCGGCAAGGCTATCGATTACCCCGAGTTTACAAATACCTACTTTATGGACTTTTGGAGAAAGTACAGCAAGGCGTGCAGAGCTCATCATAGAGATTGCCTTATGCTTATGCAATATCCTACACTAGAACTGCCTCCTGAAATCAAGGGAACCGAAGATGACGACCCATTGATGGCTTTCACGCCACACTTTTACGACGGCATCACCCTGATGACCAAGCACTGGAACAGTACGTGGAATGTCGACGTTGTTGGTGTGCTTCGTGGCAAGTATTGGCATCCCGCATTTGCCATCAAAATCGGCGAGACGGCCATCCGAAACTGCCTCAAAGACCAGCTAGCAACCTTGCGGCAGGAGGGGCTGGACAGAACAGGCAATCATCCATGCCTGTTGACCGAATTCGGTATACCATATGACATGGACGACAAGAAGGCTTACAAGACGGGAGACTACTCTAGCCAGTCAGCCGCACTGGATGCCAACTATTTTGGCGTGGAAGGCTCTCAGATCGAAGGCCACTGCCTCTGGGTATACACTGTTATCAACGATCACGAACGCGGCGACCAGTGGAACGGAGAAGACTTGTCCATCCACTCCGTAGACGACAAACTGCCGCCACTTTCTCCAGTCCCCAGGAGCGCAGTGGCCGGTCAGTCTGCAACAAGCCTGCTAAAACTGTCGACGACGAACAATAGAGACGGCAGCGGCGATGACGAGAGCGTCACTCCTGGAAACCTTCAGCGCACGCTCACAACGCCGTCGATAAGCTCCAGCCGATTAGCAAAGGATCCCGAGTTGACTAACGCTCCCGGATACCGAGCCGCAGAGGCCTTCATTCGACCGACTGCAACAGTTGTTGCAGGCAATGTGCTCTCTACGGGATTCGATCTCCGCAAGTGCACGTACTCGCTCAAGATTTCAGCGCCAAAGCCTGCCAGCGACGAGGCGCCGACAGTCGTCTTCCTTCCCGAGTACCACTTCCCCAAGAATCAGTGCGAAGTAGCCGTATCTACCGGCAAGTGGGAGTTGAGTTCTGATGACAGCGAAGGCCCCGTGCTCCAACGCCTGAAGTGGTGGCATCCTGAGGGAGAACAAACCCTTGATGTTCAGGGTATTGTGAGAAAACATAATGTTCCGGAGGGGTCCGCGGAAGAGGCTGGGTACCTGGAGCAGTGCCAACAAGGCTATGGCTTCAATTTCGGCAACTGCACAGTAATGTGAAGCGCTGGAAGATTAAGAGGGTGATCAAGATGGGGTTAAGCTGTTTCTTCCATTCAACCTTGCCCTATCTCCTCTTTTTTTTTTCTCTCCTTTTTTCTGTTTTAGTTCTTGCCATATTTCCAATAGCATAGTTTTAGTTGCACCTGGCCGATTTAGGTAGCAAGTTTTGGTCAAGTTTACGATAGAGTACACGGCTAGCGTGGCCAATTTAACACATATAACTGTATAAGTATGTACCTAGAAAACCCGAGGGGTTTCTGCAAGGGGAGGCACGCACATCAACTATTACAGGTTTATTGTTCCGACACAGCCCAAGCCCAATGCTACTACTACGTACTACTATTCCGGTACGGAGTGTTGGGCGTCCAAGCAGCCGTGTGCCAAATGCGGCCATCCTTGCCATTCGGGTCTCTCAAACAAGCGCCCCTCATTCGTCCGCGTTACCCGCACCATTGACCGTCCCACCACCTCCCACGCGGCTAAGCGCCCAGCTGGGCGGGGAAACGAGCAGCCAGAGCTCGAGCATTGCTGCTCGGCTGCGGGCATGAGGCCACGGTCTCCCAGAATAGAAGCCGTGGCTGCAGTGCAAGCAAGCTGACAAGCTCGCGATGCCAAGCTGGCGCAGAGTCTAGGTCCTCGGTCGACGGATGCGCGGTTGGTGCAGTGTGACACTGCGCGGGAGTTGGGACGGCACATCTGCGAGGCTAGTGCCGTTGGAGAAGCAGCATGGAAGGAATAAGAGTCTGGTGCCTACATCTGCATGTATGTCTGGTTCGATGCGATGATGGACGTTTGACACGTTCGTATCGTGTGCACTCGACGTTGGCCGTTGAAAGGTCGGCACCGTCTGCCGGTGGTCGTGCGTTCCCGGCGGGCTTGTTGGGGCAATTTAATTTGCATGGCGGACAAGGAACAAAAAGCTGCCAGTCTGGTATCAATTGATTGATGCTTGACAAGACTGCACGAGCCCACCAGACTGGTCCCAGGTGCCACTCTGGAGGCAGAGCTTGCCCGGGTAAAGTAGCCACACGTGCAGGTATCTTGCTCGGGGCTCCGTAGTTGGTCCTTCATCAATGTTTCAATGTCCGAAATACAAGACGAGACCAGTTGACATCTGGCCGCATTGCTACGTGACATCGAGTCGTCAAGCAAGCAACCACGGCATCGCGCACCGAACAGCCTCGGGGGCAGCTTTGCGACACTGCGGTGCCCCGGCCGGCTAGATTTATCTTGATTGATCAAATTGACATTGACACTTCACCTTGTGGGCTGGGCCAAGTAGTACCAGACTACTTCCTTGTCCATGTCTCCAGGCAGGCCCGTCCGCCCGTTCGCCCGTTTGGCCCTACCAGGCCCTCAAGTGCTACCAGGCCCATCGGGCCCTAGGCGCCCCCCCGTAAGCTCGTGGGCCGCAACCAGACTGCACCAGTTGAAGTTGACATGTGGGCATGGGCATCTTGGTCCTCCATGTCCATGCCGTGTCGTCACCTCCAAAAGCTCTTGCCGTCCCGGCGTCCCCCCGTCAGCGGCTCTGCCATAACAGTCAAACCACCCACCGCTTCATCGGCAGCTTGCACACCATGCGCGAGCTCTTCTCCCCTCGAAACATTGCCGTCGATACCCTCGATACCCTCGATACGCCCCTCGTCAACATCATTGTCGCACCCTGCGGCGAAGCCAAAACGCCTGGCCGGGGCTCGGCAAAGGAGGTCCCGTTGAGCACCAAGAGCTTGCCACAGCATCCTGGTCCGCCTGTACTTTTTTGCATTGCAAAACGTTGAACTGAACCACGTCAACGCCCGCCGCGGCGGTTGTGCCTCTTGTGAATGTTTCGGATTTCGTTGTTTTGATATTTTTTATTTTTATTTGTCTTTATTTTTCTCCAGTAGCTTTTACCTTGGTCTTCTCGCCAGCGGCGTCGTCACATTGGACAGCTGCCACACACAACCAGCTCGGCTCTTGTCGCTCCTGGCGGGTTGTTGCCCGCCCTTCGTCTTTGCCCATCATGTATCAAGGCGGCCAAAGACATGTCTCAGGCAATGATCCTGCTCGCGCATTTCAACTGCCTCCTCCTCCGCCAATGTCACCGCCCATGGCCGGTGGTCCCTCCATGAGCACAATGATGAATATCCCGCCGCCGCCGCCGAGATATCCTGGCGCGCCGCCGGGAGCTGTCAACGGCATCATGATTCCTCCTCCGCCAGGGCCGCCGCCGAACAGCAACCTGGGGCCCCAGCAATCATGGCACGGGAATTACGGGAAGCTGTACGATGGCCGAACGCCCGTGGGCATTCCGCCGCCTCCCCCTACCGGGCACCAGCATCTACCGTACAATCCCAAGTTCCATGCCCAAATGGCCGCCGGACAGACGATTGCCATGCCCCCGCCTCCGCGGCCAAGCGACGGCATGGCCATGGGCGCGACATACATACCCTCGAGAGGAACATACGGCGAAGGTGTAGGGATCCCTGGGTTTGACCCCAACGAGTTGGCGAGCACGTCCGGTTCATACATGCAGGCCTCGATGAACACCATGGACACCAGTCACACAGGCCCCATGGACGACCCCAACTCCCGAGACCGCTTCTATCAGTCGAGGAATCCTTCAAACGCCTCCACTGCCACGGCTGGCAGCACAATACCGCCCGAGTTGGCAGCCCAGTGGCCGCTTGATACCGTGCTGATTTGGTTGGCGCAAAACCAGTTCTCCAAGGACTGGCAGGAGACTTTCAGAAGCCTGAATCTTTATGGGGCGCAGTTTCTGGATCTGGGCAGTCTGCACGGCGGTCGTGGAAATTTCGGCATGATGCACCAAAGGGTCTATCCGCGTTTGCTTCAGGAATGTTCCAGCAGCGGAACAGGCTGGGACCAGAGTCGGGAGCGCGACGAAGGAAAGCGCATGCGTCGGCTTATTCGAAGCATCGTCACCGGAAAGCCGGTCGACCCATCAAAGATGGTGAGCCCCCATCACCGGGCAAACTCAGTTGCTTCACACGGCCACAATGGCAGTGCTGGCTTGGAACCAGTCGATTCGCCCAACGTGAGTATTTCCGCCAAAATCATTTCAAGTTTTGAAAAGCTGTGTCTATGGGAGTCTAATGCCTGTTTCAGACGCCTTCGGGCTCTACTGGGAGCGTCAATTTCGCGGGTCAGCGATTCTCCCAAACCCGATCCACGACAATGCCTACCCTCGGCAGCGGCACCATGAATTCCGATTCAAGCCATCGCTCAGCTCTCAAATATATAGACTCTGAAGGAGGCCGCAAGTTGAGCCCCATCACAAACGAGAATGCTGAAGGCGGGACGTTTCGTGGCACCACGGATAGCCCAGGAGGCAGTCCTGTTCCTCAACAAGTCCTCTTTCCATCGGCAACGACGCCCGTACTTTCGCCATCGCCAGCTTCCGCCAAACTTGGCCATCGCTCTCGTAACAGTACGGATTCGGTCACCTCAAACGCCGCCATATATGGCTCCGGCGTCCCTGCTGACGCTGCTGCGATTCTCAGTCGCGGCCTCAATCTAGCAGAAGCCATGTCGGCCTCGCGAAGCCAAGACCGATCCCAATACTCACCACTCAACTCTGGTGATAGGTCAGCCGGGGGAGATACCTCGGCATCCGCAAGGGATTCAAAGAGCTTTCTGAGCTTTTTGTCAAGGAAAAAGAGACAAAGGGAGGATGGCTCCTTTCCTTCACCCGATGAGTTCGACTCTCCCGAGTCGCCCATGTGTGTTCCCAAATCTCTTGCCGACGTGTATACCTCGTTGAATGGGAGTGATTCTCAACTTGATCGTCTAGGCTCTGCCTTTGTTGGAACTCACGAGAAAGACCAGGTTGCGATGTTGGAAAGATTGAACCGGAGCGGTGGCGTAAGAACGTTCGTGCTGGCTACCACAGACTATTGGAACTACCGCATGTGCGACATCACAGAAGCAGAATCGGCCACTGCGATCCGTCAGACTATCTGTGGAAGCCTGGGTCTAACAGGGTTCGAACAGTATTCCATTTTTGCGACGGAACTCGGGAAATCCGATCACGCTGAACCTCTCGATGACCAACAGCTCCTCACTGACAAGCGAGTGAAGGGCGACTCCACTGGAGCCTTGAAATTCTTTATATCACCTGCAAAGATATCCTCCGCCACCACTCCAAACTCAGTTCCCGCATCCCTGTTCCCGGGCTACATACCTCCCGGTATGGATGAAGAGTCGTACAACCGTAGCAGGCAACGATCAAGCTCGTCACCACCATCTTCCAGAGCGAATACGATCGGGGACAGGATTGACGAGAAGACGTTGGCTCAAGAAGCCAGCGATTATAGGGCAGAAATCGAGAGGAAACAGCGAGCATACCTTGCTAAGAGGAAGGAGGCAAACAAGAAGGAAAGCCCGACGGCTCCAGACTATGTGCCGTCCAGTAGCATCAAGGGCCGCAACGTCGATTTTGATCAACCTCGCCCATCACCATTCGAGGATAAGAAACCTGATCAGCTATTCCCCCAAAGACGACCACCAGCACCACCTAGCGATCCATCTGCGACTCTGATCAAGGCCAATTCATTAAGCAGGAAACCAGGCCACAACTTGAGGAACTCGAGCGGCAGCATGGACGGGTTTCCATCTCCTAGACATCCACCTTTAGCGGCTAATGGCGACGGTGAGAGTACAGACGGCCAGCGAAGGTCGAAATACGCAGCGCAACCCGCACCCGCGAGTGGTGGCATCGGGGCTGCTCTCGTTGGCATGGGCCGGAATTTGGGTGCTATAGGCCAATCCACCGCCAACGGCCCAAAGGCCACTTCTCCGGGCCGCATCATATCGCCACCATACTCGTCAGCGGGTAGTGGCAACGCTCAGCAGCAGTCAGGTAAGACGGCTTTGTCCAGCGTGAACTATGCTTCAACAAGCAACCGTGGGAGAGGCAGTCCAAAGCCAGCAAACGGATCCCCTGGCTCGGTGACGTGGAGTCCAGGTAATCTTTCGTTTGTTGTGCCAGACTACTCACCCGGCGGCACCCCCGCGCTAGTTGCTGCAAGAGTACCCTCTGGTTCAAGTGCTAAGAACACTGAAGCAGTGCCGAGGCCTGTGTCACCGGGCGACGTTAGTCCTAGCTCTTCTCATTCTAAGAGTAGGGGCTCTGCCGACGTTTTCCCCTCGAAGCGAAAGTCGCATGGGCCGGATTTGGACTTCAAGGAGTCCGACATCCAGTTCTCAAATTCACCATCCTCCCAGCCGCCTACTCGAGACATCAAGCCTCCACCTGGCGACGATAGCGACGACGACTCCAGCGATGACGGCCTCTTTGCTATTCCTCTAGCCGGCCGGAAGAAGGATAAGCCGAGTAGCGACACCGGTACAAGCGCTTCATCGAGTGCCCAAATGGGTACAGATACTCGCCCCGTTCTGCATGTAGTTACTTCACGCAAAGAGAAGGGACGATCCGTTACTTTTATGAAATCTCCTGATAGCTTTGACAGTAGCAATGATGGTGGTGCAAGAACATCTAGCACGAGAAGAACTCCCGGTACGCCACAGACTGATACGTGGGATTCTGACAAGGAGAGCCAAATCAACCGTCGAAAATCGTTTATTGAGAAGGACGTGTGGGCAAATCGTCCACCAACCGACGACTTGCTGAACAACTTGGATGATTTCTTCCCCAATCTCGATCTAGACCAGCCCGTCCTTGAAGATCATGCAGGCGGGGATATCCCGCCACTACCATCAACGGACTCTGGCGATGGCAGGAATAGGTCCAGTTCTGCCAGTCTTGCGTCCATGACAACACCCGGTCATTCCACATCAGGAGCTCCCCCCGTGGCAGTGCCGCCGTCACGCCAGCTTTCATTATATACCAATGACAATGACACGTTGGGCTCTGACGAGTCAACTTTGAAGGCTACGGAGCGACCTACATCTAGTCACGCGGTGGCTCATCGCAGCATACATCGGTCTGGTGGGTTGGGCCGGATGAAATCTATTCGTGAAGTTGCTAGTCAAGCCAACAAGCGGTACACAAGTATTTCGCAACCTGTGGGTAGCAAGTCGCAGACAAATTTGATGCGACGTAAGAGCACGAAGATGTTCAACGCAAACATTGTGCAGATCCGGCCTGATCAACGGGGAAGCATGGTGGTGCCGGATATTCCTCAGAATACACTGCCCAAGCGACAGACCACGTTTAGATGGTTCAAAGGCCAACTCATCGGCAAAGGTACCTATGGTCGTGTCTACCTCGGTATGAACGCCACTACGGGTGAGTTCTTGGCAGTGAAGGAGGTTGAAGTAAACCCCAAAGCTGCTGGAGGAGACAAGGGCAAGATGCGAGAAATGGTAGCTGCATTGGACCAGGAGATCGACACCATGCAGCACTTGGATCACGTAAACATTGTGCAGTACCTGGGATGCGAGCGAAAGGAGACCAGCATCAGCATTTTCCTGGAGTACATTTCTGGCGGCAGCATTGGATCTTGCTTGAGGAAGCACGGCAAATTTGAAGAGTCTGTGGTCTCGTCACTGACTCGTCAGACCCTTTCTGGGTTGGCTTACTTGCATCGCGAGGGTATTCTGCACAGAGATCTAAAGGCCGACAATATTCTGCTTGATCTGGATGGTACTTGCAAGATTAGCGACTTTGGCATTTCCAAGAAGACTGACAACATTTACGGCAACGATAAAACAAATTCGATGCAAGGCTCAGTGTTCTGGATGGCGCCAGAGGTCATCCGGTCGCAAGGAGAGGGCTACAGCGCCAAAGTCGACATTTGGAGTCTCGGGTGCGTGGTACTGGAAATGTTTGCCGGACGAAGACCCTGGAGCAAGGAAGAAGCGGTTGGGGCCATCTACAAGATTGCAAACGGAGAGACGCCACCTATTCCAGAGGACATTCAAGAGACCATTCCGCCACTGGCTGTGGCGTTTATGATGGACTGCTTCCAAGTGTAAGTAGTTTCACACCAATGTTTCTTCTTTGGTTTTCATATTTCTTTCTTTTCCCCTCCTCCATATTCAAAGGTTAGTTGCTAATTATTTGTATAGGAATCCGTTTGATCGTCCAACAGCCGACGTCATTCTATCGCAACACCCATTCTGCGAGCTGGACCCCAACTACAACTTTTACGACACAGAGCTGTACACCAAGATTAAGGATGCATACAAGATCTCGTAGTGCAGCATGCGACTGGCTTTGCTAGCTCACGTTTTTGCTTCACTTGTTTGTCTTTTTTTTTTCGCGGCAGCGTTGTGGTTTTCTTGAATGGGTACCAAAGGAGTCTACTTGTACGAAATTTGAGGTAACGCGGCGCCATGTGCGGACAAATATGTGCGAAATTAGCTTCAAATGATGGACCTGGCGTCAGGAAATGGTGTTGGCGTTGGTGTTGGATACAACGGGATACGATGATATGACATAGGAATACTAATATTCATAATGATTTTTAGCCTTACGCTGCAAGACTATAATTCAGGGCCTTATCGAGTTTCTTGAATGTGACATGTCCGAAGGGTATCATGTGCATAGTGTGTGTGTAGAATAGGCACACACGCTCAGACTGTGTCTCGGCCTCAAACGGCGACAGGCCCGAAACGATGCAAAGAAAAGTGAGCCGCAATAAGGAACCAGCCAAGCGTTTCAGATAGCACGGCAATGATACATACATGAGAACTCGTCCGCATGACGACATGCCTACCAGGACGGGGCACGAGGGGGGGGGGGAAGGTAAAAGAATGAATGACACGACGATGCGAGTCGCACGACTTTCCACCGACTGCGTCTAAGCCCCTTTTGTGGACAGGGCTGGGGAGCCAAAATGGTGGCATCTTGGGGCGCTTGGTATTGAGTCTTTGACCACTTCCACTTATCTACATGTACCCCTAAGTACTCGAGTAGGTGGTAGTGACATGGAGCTAGTAAGGCGACAGGGACTGCCTGGATATTAGTTGCTAATTGCCGATGAGCCCTCTGTCGGCCGCATTTGAAGCCATGTGGCGTCGATGGGGCTCGGTTCTTAAGAGTCAAGGCTGGGGGGGCTTGGCGTCGGGTCTTGCAGTGTAAAACGGGTAAGAATTGGGATGGTTGATTATCTGCGGGGGCCAGGAGCGAGTTTGACCACAAGTGCAGATCAGGGATCCGGCATTATGTACTTGGTAAGTATGTGGTGATGTTTTTCTTGGCTGGTGGGTTTATTGTCTGTTGCTGGTTGTCGATAGTAGCACTGTACTTTGGGGAGTCAAAAGTGAGGCGGTTCCTGCCTACCTACCTAGGTACTTAAGCAGGTACCTATAGGTACAAGTAGTGACTATCTAGGTAGGTAGTCGCTATGGCCGAATAGATGTATTGATGGAATATCTGCTAGGCAAGTATGGGTGATGGATGACGGGACCTGGAGCAAGGCACTCACACGCGCACGCACACGCACACTCGACTCGATTAACAGTCTGGTACAAATTAGCAGGTGCTCGAGCGCGCTTGCTGGCATAAAGTTGCACATGTGGCATTTAATCAGAAACGCAATAGTACTCCGTACTCCCAAGGCAATGGTTTGGTCTGGCTGGCATCTGGGTCCTTGGCGGTCTCCACTCCCCGCCCCGGAATGTGGAAAGAGGCACTCCCCAGCCAAAAGTATGCATATTTTTTCATAGTACTATCAATTTCCTGAACAGCACCAGAGCCCCGCTTGTTATAGGGTCCGCAGTAGCCTTGATAGCAATAGACGTCTTGACAGCTCTCATTAAATGACTAAAAGTTTGAAAATATCGCGATAAATGTAGATTTGTCCGGCAATAAACCCGGCTGCAAACCCTACTAGCGATTTTAAATTGTAGCGGTAGAAGCCTCACACAAAGTAAGTACTACCTACCTAAGTAGGTACTTAACGATACCGATTTGGACTAGTGCCGCTAAGAATTTAAGAATTAACCGCGTTGAGGGGTTCACCCAGTTGCCAAATATAAAGGACGGCCTCGCCTGGGTAACCCGTAACCCTTGACGGCCATCTTCGCGATAACATTCGACTCTTTGTCGCCGAATGACTAGCCCTCGCAGTCGTTTCAATGCCGCGGCGACGATATAGACTGTTCACGGTCTTTTCCGTAGTCATTGTTATTTTATTATATCGTGTTCTACAGAATTCCTGGGATCCCCAACCACTGAGGCCGGCCGTGGTGGGACGACCCCAACCACCGCCACCACCCAGCGTGCCTGATGCCGTTGTTGCAGCGCATGTCAAAGCACAGTTTCCGCTGAAGGATACCGGGGAGAGCAAGCCCGAGACTGGTCACGTTGCCCAAGAGGCAGCCGATGAGGACTCTATCGGTGCTGAGAAGCTCGCGGAGAAAAACAAGAATGAGAATGCCGAGAAAGGTGCGGGGACCAAGGGGCCTTCGTCCAAGGCCGAGGATGCCCAACTCAAGCGGCCCAGCAGCAACAACATGCCACAAGTAGATTCAGATTCAACCTTGGAACCCGGTACCAAGCCCGTGCAAGAACATGATGAACACGGTCACTTGCAAAGGCCCCTTGGCCACGGTACAGACGACCAGACAACAACAGCAACTACCACGAGCAACCAATTTGCCAAACCCACCAAAGTGCACTGGACAAAGCCCAAGGAGCACTTTCCACTACCCAAGGAGAGCATCATTACTCTGCCCACCGGCACTGCAAAGAAGATTCCCCGGATTCAACATGTGTTTTCGCCCGAAGCTGAAGGCCCCAAGAAAAAGCGCCTGCAGAGGCAGGCAAAGGTCAGGGAGCAAATCCAGCGGTCTTGGGCGGGATACAGAAAGTATGCGTGGATGCACGATGAGCTGTTGCCCGTCTCCAACCGATCCCGCGATCCGTTTTGCGGATGGTCGGCGACATTGGTTGACTCGCTCGACACCCTGTGGATTGCTGGCTTGAAGGATGAGTTTGACGAGGCCGCCAAGGCCGCCAAAAACATCGATTTCACTTATACAAACAAGGACAGAATCCCTGTTTTTGAAACAACCATTCGATACTTGGGCGGCCTCATAGCGGCCTATGATGTGAGCGGTGGTGCGTCGGGGGGCTATTCTTTCTTGCTAGACAAGGCCGTCGAATTGGCTGAGGTCTTGATGGGGATATTCGACACTCCAAATAGAATGCCTCTACTATACTACAACTGGCGACCCGAGTATACCTCACAACCTCGCCGAGCCACCAGCGCAGGTATGGCCGAACTAGCAACACTGTCCATGGAATTCACCCGATTAGCCCAATTGACGGCGCAGCACAAGTACTATGATGCCATCGATCGCATCACCAATGGCCTGATAGAACTCCAAAAGAGAGGCACAACAATCCCTGGACTCTTTCCTGAAAATTTGGACATTTCCGGTTGCAATAGGACTGCCACAAACCGCCGTGATGCCATGAGCGAAGCAGCCAAGGCTCAAGTTGATTCAGAAGTAGTTTTGAAGCCTCCCCAAGGATTCAGCGAAGACGGGGCTGATAAAGAGTCTACTGGTACTAGTGACAGAACCAAGCTCGACGATCGACTTGAACGCCGAGCGCTGTCATCTCTCCAACAGGATGTTGACGCAGCGCTATCTGCTGATAAAGCACCTACTGCGAACAATGCAAACAATGCAAAGCCCCAGCCAAAGTCGCAAGTCCCTCTTGGAGCAGATGGAAGCAAGTCGGAGTGGGACTGTGTTCCTCAGGGATTTGTGCCTGGAGGCTCTATCTATGAAAGCTATCACATGGGTGGGAGTCAAGATTCTGCGTACGAGTACTTTGGCAAGGTAGGCCTGCCCCTAGATATAGTGTCCATGTGATGGGCTGTTGACTTGTTTTGAAATTTAGGAATATCTGCTGCTCGGTGGAAAGGAACCCAAATATCAAAAGCTCTACGAAGATACTATCGAAAGCATCAACAAGTATCTTCTGTTCCGGCCCATGGTACAGGGAGATTGGGATGTCATATTTCCAGCTAGAATCAGGATGATGTCCAATGGAGCCTCTCCAAGGGTCGAGTATGAAGTCACTCACTTAACATGCTTCATCGGCGGCATGTATGCTCTTGGTGGGAAGCTTTTTGGACGTGAAAAGGACGTTGAATATGCCAAGAAATTAACAGATGGCTGTGTCTGGGCATATCAATCCACAGCAACTGGAATCATGCCTGAACATGGACAAGTTGTTCCCTGTCCCAACATGGAGAAATGCAGCTTTAACGAGACTCTATGGTGGCAGGCGCTTGACCCCATTTACCGCATACGTGATCAGGGAGTGAGTGAGTGGGAGAAGAATGCATTAGAGCGTGAGCAACTAGAGAAACAGAAGCAGGAGCTTGAGCAGCAAATTGCCCAGATGGATACGGAAGCCAGAATTGAGGGTCTTGAAGCGTTGGGCGAAGATGATGGAGACTACGGTTTTCAGAGAGAAACAAGCACTTCAGACTCAACATCTACCTCAGTATCTAGCAAGTCCAGTCTTTTGGAGAGGAGAGCAGCCATTTCTGTGGAACCCGAAAATGTGGCTCTTATTTCCTCTGATGGGACCAGCTCACAAACAACGACCGGCAAAGAGCCCAGCCCGAACGATGAGCAGACCTCCAGGAAGGCCAAGTCGGACGAGTTGGATGATTCTGACAACAAACAAAAGCCCTCCACCCATCCAAGCACCAAAATCCCTACATTGAAGAATGAATACCACTCTCGCCCGGAAGTACACATCCCCCAGAACTATCCCGGCCGTTCAGGTTGGCCTCCAAAACCATTAACGCACGAAGAATTTGTACGAGAAAAGATTCAAGAAGGTATTCCTCCTGGGTATAGCTCCGTTGCATCTTCCAAATATATCCTTAGGTACGTCGTTCTGGCAATCCATCTTGTTTTATCACGCCATGTTCAATGCAGCTAACCCTCCGGGCCAGACCAGAAGCCATAGAATCAGTATGGTACATGTATCGCATTACAGGTGACTCCAGCTGGATGGAGAAAGGCTGGGCCATGTTCGAGGCCACCATGAAAGCCACCCGCGCACCGCAAGCCAACAGCGCCATTGACAATGTTCTCCTCGTAAACCCTGCACTTCTTAATGAGATGGAAAGCTTTTGGCTCGCCGAGACACTCAAGTACTACTACTTGCTGTTCTCAGGGCCAGACGTCATAAGCTTGGACGAATGGGTTCTCAACACGGAGGCTCATCCTTTTAAACTGTAGGCTGTTGAGGTTGTTGATGATGTTCTTGATAGCTGTATACCCTCTATTTCCTTCTGTACGATGGGCACGAGGCGACAGGGAAATAAGTATTATATAAAGTTGCATGATTATCCTATTAAGTGTGCGAAGGTGCAGGTTATGTGGCGGGCCCACTTTCTTGTGATACATATTAAATACTTGTATAAGTACTTGTATTGCTAGATTTAACTGTAATATAATACTATATCTTTATATATACTTAAAGATAACTAGTACTTATATTTATGTATTATTTACTAGGAAAAGTAAGTATCTTTTATTAATTAGCTTCTTATTAGCCCATATCCCGGTCCGCTACAAAAGCTGCACCTTTGCACACTTAATGGGATTGCAAGTAAGCATTCACGGCGTTAAAGCGGGACAGGAGTTGGAAATGCAGGTCTTTATGTATTCAGTATCGTCCGAACGGCACTAGGTTAGCAACGCTGGCCACCAACATATACGGGCGAGAACAACCCGGACCCCAAACGGGGCCGGTGCGGAAACAGAGCGATTATAGGTTTTCATGTATGTTTTTCCTATAATAATTGACTTGCAGAAGTACTAGGGCCTTGATAGGCTAGCTAGAGTATTTAAATAAATAAATAAATAAATGCAGTATCGTCTAAGTTGCAGGGTTCTCTCTAAGCATCAATATAACTTTATTTATCCAACTCCGTCGTGGCACATGGATTCGTCTGGAAGACAGGACACATAAGACACGCGACGCGACGCTTCAAGTCAAAGGCAAGAATGGCACATGCAGGCCGCCGCCATTCCAATTAGTGATATTCCTCGGCACATGGCTACTTCTTGACGAAATCCGTGCCCTTCATCATCAACCTTGCTATATATACATGATTTCATTGATCGCAACCACAACAGGCGGCCCGTTCACACTCTGAGATTCTCATCGAGTCTTTTCCCATTTCCTGGCCGAAATTAAAAACAACAAGCCTGCCAAAGTAGAATCCAAATCACAAAAATGAGACCACCAAGAAACCACGCTTCACGGCGGCGTCGGACCATACTGCCTCGTACTTTCCGGAAGAATGTATTCAACCATGTCCAGTCATGCTAATAGGTGATTCGGGTTGTGGTAGGGGTAGCGTATGTATGTGTGTGTGTTTCTTTTCTTATTTTTCCATCAAGCTCGGCAGTGTAGTGTGTTGTAGTAACGAGGCCCCCTGTAACTCCGATGCTGATGCGAAACTTTGCCCTCCGTCTATATACCAAACGATCTTTGTGTTGCCCTTGGCCGGCGAGATCCCATATTCGTTCACGTGTACATCACATATATGCATAAAACAAAAATGAAGCATTTATTTCTTTTCCGACGCCATCACAAAATCACAATGGCCGACTAGCCGTCTAGTCTCGCATCATCTGTTTGAGGACGCGCATACTCAATATCATGACGAGCAGGCCAATTGTGACAATGATGAGCAGTGTGAACGAGAACCAACCCATTACCATGGCGCTGGTGCCCACACCACTCTTGACAGATCCGTTGCCAAAATCTTGGGCGATGACGGATGCCGCGACTGATGCAGTGTGTTGCCACAGAACAGAGACGAGGACAAAGATTGAGGCGATGAAGATGATGGCGAGGGCGACTTGTGAGACGGCTCGTGAGGGGAAGGGCTTGACTTCGCGCTCGGATCCTTCAGAATCCTCTTCGTCGTGCCAACCTGGGAAGGTGGCCAGCAAAAGAAGACACAGGAAGGCGAATATGATGGCAATGATTCTAAAAGGCTTCCGTTAGCTCAACTTCAGAATGAACTTGAGTCACCCCCAAGACTGTGGCGGTACTCACATTAGATAGGGAAAGACAATCATGTCCTTGAACTGGCCCGCGAGCCAGATTAGGTTGAGAGGATCCTGGTCAACAGAAACCTCCTTGGCCAAAGCCGTAGCGTTGTTGCTGCAAAGCCACGAGCCGCCGTCGGGGTTGACACAGATGCCAAAGTACCCGACACGGGCCTGGAGACTAGCACTGCCAGCAATGTTGGCGATGGCAGTGACGACATTGTAGTCAACTTGTGCCGTGTCGGGAACGGCCTGATACTTTTGATAGTACAGCGAGAGTAGGAAGATGTCTGGTATAAGCGGCGATGACGATGAGCAGCCGGCCAGTAGCAGTGATAGTAAAATAATGGCAACGGCAATCAGAATCATCAGCACATGGTGGTAGCCCAGAAACGGTATGAACCGTTGCCAGCCGAGCTGAAACCGCGGCCTCGCCCGTGAGCCTGAGCTGCTACTTCCACGCGCCATTTATGATGCCTTGTAGTCCTATCCCCCGTGGGCAAAGAGGTGAAAAGATACACCGGGCCTCGGAAAGGCAGCCTGGCTCCCCCGTTTGTCGTTGACAATCTGTACGACAGAGGGGTCGGAAGGCGCCTGCAGCGCGATAATAGAAATGCGTATCCTCGGCTCCGAAGACTCCGCTTGAGCTGTGTCAGGAACGGTTATGGGCTTCTTGCTCGGTTATCAATGACCCCCGTGGTCGATGATACTCGCCGTTTCCCACTAGTTGTTCAATTCGGGAACGTCTCTGGTCTCGGGACGGCTCGTCGGTGGAGATTGTCTCCTTTGCTGCCGACGATGGGGATTTTCGTGGCGACGATATGCTGCGCTCAGGAATGCAGCGTAGCTCCGGAATGCGGGAATCGTCTCGTCGATGTACAAGAAAAGATATGGGCCGTTGCGGGAACGTAACAAAAACGTGGGCGTGGGGTATCGAGAGCGTCTGGAATGTAATAAGAAAGGGTGAGGTTATCTTTAGATCTTGGACAAATCGGGTAGAACAAGGCCTATGTCAGTATCTTGAACGACTCTTTGGGTAAAGCAACTTAGATTTCTCTTGGAATGTACGAGGGAGAGAGAAAAAGAGAGAAAGGGCAGCGTTTGCCTCTTCCTGCCTCCTCGACAATAAGAATCGATCTTCGGTTAGTATCCCGGTGGATCTCTTGGAGAAACTCAGTCGTTCTTTGGATGTAAAAAGCGATGGCTGGGCAGCAGAGCAGAGAAACAGCGGTAGCTACTCGATATGGAGCAGAAAAATCGGAGAGAATGAGGTGTCACAGTTTCATCAAAGTACACCAACCATCTGGATTTCGAGGCGTTGAGACGTTATGCGTGCATATGGTTGGCCCAGCCACGTTGATTTTTATTTACTTGGCCTAGTTGGGGGTTGACTAGGCGACGTGCCCCCCCGGTCTGAGCCTAACTGGTGACGTCCCCGCTCAACAGCGCAGGAGAAGTGGGTCCGGACCTGGAAGCTTGGGCAGGTTGGCAGGGGGGTGCAGCGCGGGAGCGGCGCTCTAGGTGAGCAGGGCAAGTGCCACGGATGCAGGGGTCCCGCGCCTGCCTTGCTTGCCATTTAGTGCAATTGCGCTTCGCAAGCACAAGTTGGAGTCAGGGTCTCGCATGTCATGAACCTTGAGCCACGTGCACGGGGAAGAGAGAAAAGCAGAGGTTTGCACCATGTCTCTGTGTTGTTTGTTGGACTCTCTGCCGCGTGTCGCGAGCTCCAATGGCCAGAGTGGCTTGCTGGTGTTGTTTCCCTTGGCGTGGACGGGGGGCGGTCAAGCTCTGGTGCACCCTAAATAGCTTCAGCGCCAGCTTGCTCCGGTGGTGACCAACTGGCACCCGAGTCTTGGCCCCTTTGGCATGAATATCGATATTGGACAGATTTGGCGGAGTCCTGTCGAACTTGCTGCGCCAACATCTGCTTCGACAAGACCAACTGCACCATCTTGTCCCAGGCTCAGACATGGTGCAACAAATCGGTATGGTTTTGCTGAACTTGGTCGCAGATGTCCAGAGCGGCTTTCGGCTGTGGTTGTCATAGCAATAAGCTGGAGGCTGCCAGCTCATCCTTGCGTAACTTGTGGCAAAGCTATATTGCAGGGGGCTGTCAGCCAGTCCTTTCGTTATAATGACAGCCTGCTATGATGCTGGTCAAGGATTACCGGTGCAATGCGCTGTTTGAAGCTCGGCGTGTAAAGGCGTAAAGGGCATTTGACACGCTGCCGCTGAACAAAGGCATATTTTCCCCGGAAGCTTTGCGCAGTCAGAAGTGATCAATGATGGGAAAGGTGAGCCTGTCCCGCTATTTGCATATCCTCAGCTGATGCACGTGGTCCAATCGATAAGCTCGCTTCCTGGCAGGTCCCGCCCACGTCACCATCTTCAACCGCGGACCTCTACAGGTCAGGTATACGGCCATCGTCAGCAACAGTCGCCATATGCACAGTCAATCCACCACCATGTCGCTTTCCCATGCCGAAGCGAGTCAATCTTTAGACCTTCGTGTCGAGGACTACCTAGACGACAAGCTTCAATCAATAGCTGATCTAGACACACTTGATGAACTGCTTGTCAATGTCGAAACGCAGCGGAACCAGCTGCAGTCCCAGCTCGATGACGCTGTCAGAGAGCTCGAAAAAGCTCGGCGTACCACCGAGGACCGGAGCGATTCGCTGCAACAGCAGATAGACGAGTTCAATGAACTGCAGGCGAGCATTGACACCCGGGTCAAGATAGCCGCTGCGTCGGATGCGCCCAGTGAGGCCATTGCTCGCCTGCAGCGGCCCATGAAGAAGCTCCAGCACGTCGAATTGGCGCAGAAATATTTGATCCTTCTGCAGGATGTAGAAAGGCTGCGCGCCGAAGCTCGATCGTACCTACCTGACAGCCCTAAAGCCGCCCTGGAGCCCTACGCAAAGTTGAAAGGCCTGGCACTCAAATTGAGGTCCTTGTCGGGCAATGAGGAGCTTCACCTGGTCGACCACGTCCAGGCTGTGACCGAGAGCCTGTGGAACGAGATGAAAAAAACAATGTCGGCAGAGTTGGAAGGCGTTTTGGAGAAACGGCACTGGCCAAAAGTCGATCCCCATGCCGAAATGGACGACGAGTGGATTGCCTGTGTCGAGAAACTCATCGACTTGCAAATGCCTGAAATTACCCGCAGCAGCAGCACTCTGCCTCTTCTGCCGTTCAATGTCATGACCGCTATATTTGTTGCTGAATTCCGATTCCACTTCATGAGCGACAAACCCACCAGTAACCCGCAGTCCATTGGCACGCACTGTTTTCCTTGGTTCCTGACCATGATTGAGAAATGGGAGGACTTTTTCCGCAACAATCTAGGTCACCTTCTTGCTACCAAATTCCATGAAACCCCTGTGGCCGAAAACACTGTGTACCTGGACCCAGTGTCTGCTCTCATCACCGCTATGCTCCCAGTCATGAGGGAAAAGGTTCATGCAGTTGCCAACGAAGCCATCAAGAACCCCCCTTTCCTGAGCTCATTCATATCGCAGCTGATGACTTTTGATGAAAATATTCGTCAAAGGTTCAGCTATGACGATGGTGATGACGACAAGGGGTGGAATGGTCTGACTGGGGAAATCCTGGACCACCACTTTGATGCTTGGTTCAGGGTGGAACGGGAATTCGCGCTCGAGAGATTTGAAAAGATTATAGAGTCGGCCGATGGTCGTAAAATTGACTACGACTACTCTGTTACAGGCAAAATGAAGCCCACATTCGCTGCCGTTCGCATAACTGATCTCTTGAGAGTGGTCACTGGAAAATACGAACGTTTACGCAAATTGAAACACAAAACCAAGTTCCTTACGGATATTCAGCTTGATATTCTAGATGGATATCATGATCGTCTGCGAGGATCTCTAGAAGCGTACCAATCCATTACATCGACACTCGGCCGTACGCTCCACGGTGCCTCCAAGGAACAACTTGCCGCTCTGGAAGGGATAGGTGCATTGGAGACGCTGTGCAAGGTGATTGGCAGCTCTGATCATATTGCCAATACCCTAACAGAATGGAGTGACGAAGAGGTGAGCTTCAAGCATTAGCAAACTAACAGATGTCCTTGCGGGCAAACAGGAAAACTAACTGCATCACACAGTTCTTCGTCGTGCTATGGGAAGACCTTCAGACCCGAGACGCCCAGCGAAGCAAGCGAAACAGTGCTGCCAGTGGCATCGCACCAGACAGTATCTTGGGCCGCGTGCCTAGCCACCTAAGCGACAACGGCAGCAGTGACGGCGGCATATTTGACGAGACCGTCTCCGCGTACTCCTCACGCCGCAAAGCCGCCGAGCAGCTTCTTGTCAATGCCTTGGTAGACTCTCACGCCAAGGCGTTCCGCGCATACGCCAGCAAAGTCCAATGGACCACTGTTGGCGACGCCGCAGTCTTGGGTACGTTGACAATCACCTTGTCATCCTGCCCCTGCCAACGACTAACCTCCCATACCACAGATGACCCCTCTCAATTCTCCATCACGCCGGAACTGGACGAGCCCTTGCGCATTCTACAGCGCAACTTTGATTATCTTACCAAGGCCCTGTCAACGGCTTCTTTTCGTCGCGTGTGGCACGAGGCCCTCGACAAGCTCCAGGACCTCCTGTGGACCAGCGTCCTCCTCAAGCAGTCGTTTACCACCCTTGGCGCCGCGCAATTTGCTCACGACGGAGGCGCCGTATTCTCCCTTGTGGAGCGCTACATTCCCGGTGGTTCAGGGGCGTTGGATTCGCTTCGCGAGGGGATGCAGCTGCTGAACTTGGCTACGGCGGCGGCCGCCGACAGCGCAGAAGGCAGCGCACCCGGGCTGACGCTGAAAGAGGCTAGTGACCGGGTATTCACCGATAACGACGAAGCGCGTAAAGTATTGGAAGAGTTGGGGTTGCACGTCTTGACGCCCGTGAATGCGAGATATATTCTGCAACGAAGGGTGGAGAATAACGAGAATATCGGGTGGTAATGCGCCTAGTTGAGTTGGCGGCATTGAAAATGCATTATATGTACAGAGCTACCAATCACCATGTCTATAGTACTTTGAAGGCGCCTCCAAAAAAACAACCTACTCTAACCCATCTCCAATCAACTGTTGAAGTGTTGTCCGTTCCTTGTAGAAAAACGATGCTTGTAAATTTTGTTGCGCCAAAGCTTTCAGCTCTAGGTGTATGACGTGATATCAAGTAAAAGCGACGAGAAGATGAAAAAAAAAAAACCAAAAAACCGCAACAAGTTGACGTTGACCGCGCCCAGAGCAATGTCCCGAAAAAAGGACATTTCTTTTCTCTCTCTTTTTTTCAAGGCTCATTTATGCGAAACAAAAAGGCGGCTAGTTGATGGCTCTCATGGTCATTTCCACAACGGCAAAGGTACCAGCGCTGACGGGCATGGCACGGAACAGAGTCGGCCAGATGCCTCTCCAGAAGCCCTTGAAGCCATCGGCTCGCCAGGTAGCAGCAAAGCAGCTGCGCATAGTCGGGTACTTTTGGTCGGGGCCGAAGCCATCCGTCTGCATCTTGCTCTTGATGACGTCGAAGGGGTAGCTCGCGAGCCAGAGCGCCTCGCCGGCCAGGCCGCCGTAGAGGGCAATCTTCCAGGCGGGGATCTCCTTGCGGTCGACGCCGTTGCGGGCGGCGTCGCGGTTCATGAGGTACTCGAAGGCGGTGAACCAGGCCCCGTAGGCGGCGGCCTCGCGGTAGACGGTGACGGCGGTGCCGCGGTAGATGCCTCTGAGGAGGCCCTGGTGCGCGCTGAGCTTGCGGACGCAGTCCCAGGGCCCGGCGTAGAGGCGCGCATCGCCGTGCGGCTGGCTCTGCAGGCGGATGCGGATGTGCTCTATGGGCGTCGACAGCGCCGCGTTGGAGACGCCCGCGAAGGCGCCCGCGGCAAAGTACTGCCCGTAACTCAGGCCGTTGGCCTTGAGGCCCCGGTCGGCGGCGTTGCGAGCCTCGAACCACCGGCGCGCGGCGTGGAAGGCACCGAACTGGATGGAGACGCAGGCGCCGATGCCCAGCAGCGGCGTGAGGGTTCCCTTGTAGAAGGCGAGGGCGCCCTCGTTTCTGTAGATGGAGGCGGCGGCGTGCACCGCGCCCGAGTACTGGTTGGTGGTCTGAAGTCGGACCTTGACAATGTCAAAGGGCTGGCCTGCAGGTCGGACAGTCAGCGGCTGCGGCTCTGGGACCGTTCATGTTTGCCATGGTTTTTTTTTTTTTTTTTTTTTTTTTTTTTTGGGGCGGTTCGACGATTTGTCGGAATTGACGCCGCCAGGCCTTTTTGGCGACGGGCGCAACTTCACGACAGCGCGCAATCGTGGCTTCAGAGAGACACTTACCGATCAAGACCTGTGCAACTCCTCCCACGGCACCTGAGAACAGGTCCTTGGCGGTCTGCAGCCCTCCGCCCTGCATCTCCTCGACTTCGACTGCAGCCATTGCGGATGGCGGCGACGGCTCCTATCGGCGAACGGCGGGTATCGGCGGCGGCAAAGACTCGTGAACCGAGTCCAAATTCAATTGACACGGTTGCAAATCCAGCTCGTCGATATGGCTGGGCGAATTGAGCAGAAAGAGAGGCAAGCCAGGGAAAAAAGGGCAAAAAGATACAAGGCCAAAGCCAATGTAGGTGCAAGGATGGAATTCTTGTGTCTCGCGGACAGACAGGCGGCGAGCGATGACCCGATTTGAGCTCCGATGTCGTGCTTGGGGTCGCGGTGCCATTTCGCGGGGTCCATCAATTGCGCGCAGTCCGACCTTAGCGCGGGGAGCCGGCCGCGGAAACACTGGGGCAGCGGCTATTTCTTATGTAAGTTGTGTGTCATGAATATGCAAGTCCATCATGTGGTGTTCCTTCCTGGCAACAGTAGTCATTTTTGGAATGACACCAGTAATCAATTAGGTGCAACACGTTTTGATGTTTTCATCTATTACATTACTCCTTTCTAATTGTATCTTGGTCTCGTCGCAGTCGATTGATGGTTTAAGAAGGGTCGAGAGGCTGCCAGTAGAGTAGCCGCGCAGGAAGGAGCCAGCGGCTGCGGCTAGGGCTCTTGGGGCTCCACCGCCAATCTGATGGGTACTTTTAGTACTTTTGTACAACTTTGTTTCCGCCGTCTGCCATCACAAACAAACGTGTCCAGGCTCAACATACCATATGCATCCTGAACGGAGTATAACTGAAGTTGCAAATACCTACGGCTGGTCTTGCCAAGATCCATCGGGCAGTCTCTGTTCTCCCAGCCATCGTGCTCAAACAACATGCGCAATCCCCGACATCAACACCACAAACTCCACGCTTGCTCAACCTCGACGCACAATCGACCATTCAACATGGCCACTCCCAATCCTTGTCCAACGCACGATGCTCTTTCACGGGTTCTCGTATAGTAGTGGTATCCCTGTATACCCTTTGCCATAGCGCCGGCTCATCTTGGAGATGTCCACCTCGGGCAGCACACGAAGGTTGACAGGGTGGTGACGCCGTGCCCATGCCTCCCACTTCTCGGCTTGTTCCGGGCGCCTGGCTTTCTGTTCCTCATTCTGGTCGGCGTTGTACTCGTTGGTGAGGTTGACACCGCAGATTTTACAAAATGTCTTGTTAAACATGTGCATGGAGAAGGCGTATCGTCCGATATTGGCCGGCTCCTCGGCGTGGAGAACGACCTGCTCGTCGAGGGGGTACATCCAAACGTAACCGTTCTAAAAAGCCGAGTTTCTGCTTAGCGAAGCACGTCCTCTGGGAGTAAACTTGTATGGGGACAGCCATCTACCCGTTCGCAAATGCTGCAATTACATTCGAGGCCGCCGTCTTCAAACGTCTCGTCGAGTGGCTTGCTCATCACCGCGACAGTGACGGCACCACAGTGACAGCCACCTTTGTATAATTTCCCGCCCTCGATATTTGCACTTGGTTCGGCTCCCTTGTGCTCAGGGACTATATACATGGGCTCAACTTTGGCCCAGTCGATCCTTGTGAGAGCCGGTCAGCCGACTTCTCCAAGTGCCCTATTCTTGGTACGAACCGTTCTTTCTGCAGCGCCCACGTATCGACATTTTGAAGGGTATGTACCTGTTTTGTACAGAAAAAAAATTTTAGCACCACGAAAGGAATCAATCTATGCATAGCTACTCTTACATTTATGCCTATTGTTCTGTTGGGAGGCGCCTGTTTAGCCACAGCCATAACTGGGCTTGCGCATGTCGGGCAAAACTACAGTAGCACCACTCGTCAACTCTAGAGACACGGCATGTGAAGGAAGAGATGAAAATTCCATTTACCTTGTGAATACGGTTCTTGGTGTTGAAAGTATAGCTGGAGAGCGTGTCTTCACCCCCCTTGACAATCTTGAAGTGGCCAGTCTCCTGGGCAAGCACCCACAGGTAGCCCTTTTTATGGCAGATGCTGCAATTGCATTGCTTTACTGCCTTGATTTCAGGTAGTTGAACCTCATATACGAATGCCTTGCAGTGGCAGTTGCCGCGATATGTGCGAAGCGGCTGCCGCGTGTTGTCTTCAGAGGCCATTTTGGAGACTTGGAAACACGAAACTGGCCAGTGGACAGCAAAGAGGACACAACGAAAAGAACAGGCCGTTTCGACGACTTATATATAGGCAAGATGCTTTTTAAACAACGGCCCCAACTCCAAGCCAAGGCGACAGGCCTAGGAAGACTCTTTTCGTTTCTGGGCGACAGCTTGGCCTGCTGCGTGAGAACGAATGCCACATCATCTCTGGAGCCTGGAGGCATTGCAACCCAACAGTTGTCCTACGTTACTCCTCGCCTCGCTCCTCACGGATGTCGTGGGTGGCTTCGGATAAGCCGACAGGCAGCCAAAGGCCTGACGCTTGACACCACTACCGGACGTCACGTCTCGGCAATAACCTGTTCTGGTTTTGACAGCTCATGCTTCCCCCGCCATCCATAACATTGAACGAATAACTACCTCGATACCCAGGTACAGGTACATATGCTGGCTGGCAAGCAGATGTACTCTCAAAGTCGGCATATGTTCAACAAACGACCAAAATTGCACCGGTAGCTGTGGGGCATCTTTTCCGATTAATAAATGTTCACTGTCAGTTGGCCTATTGACTCGTCTGAGTCGTTGTGTATCCGGGCTGCGCCTCTGGCGGATATAACAAGTAGATGGACCAACAAGGAGAACCCCGGTCGCCTTCAGCGTCAGCAGTGCGCAATATAATAATACGTTGAGCCAAGAAATAGTTGGCATCTCTTCGGCAAGTGCTTCATGTCAAGTCTTGCTACACATTGCATCCTCTACGCCGACTTGCATATGCATCAGTTGACCACGTCGCGCAGAGCCGCACCATGTTAGTAAACCTCAAACGCTTGGATTCCTGTAGTTGTCTATTCGTGAACGCTTCCCCAGACCCATTTTGTCGGCATAAAAAGCAATCCCATTGCCGCTTATCATCTTCAAGCATTGTCATCATGTGTGCTCTCTTTCGTGATTCTCCATATCTCGTAACCGACTGAGCCCCTGGTGCGTCGACGTCCCAACATGGATGCATCCAGGATTGCCCACTTCAACAACCACAGAGCCGCCAAATCCTTGGCCTCAACCCATATGCGAGGTCCTCGGTTTCGGAGCTGCGACTAATACCGTTTCACACCTTGTTTTTCATCTTTTACATTATTTTGCGCTTGCGCATTGAGCTTGATAGCTTCCTTGAGCTTCGCAATCACTTCAGGCTGATTACTGAATGCCGTATCAAGAATAGACTCCAGCTCAGCCTCCACCTTGGCAATCGGTTTGACCCCGGTTTTGCGGTTCGTTGAATCGTTAATTAGCGTTGCCCACCGCTTTGTGAATGCATAGATTGATTGTCGGAGCAATTCGTCCAGCTGCTCACTCATATCCTCTGCCGTGAGCGTTTTGGCTGTTACGGATGGCGCGCCTCTTGACCAGATTGACCCCCCAAGAATACTGCCAAAGAAGCTTACCCAGTTTGTTGGGCTCAAGGTATCCCATATCTGGCCAAAATGCTGCATAGATTGGGGATGATTACGGATATCGCCTATTTCGAGGGAGACCAATTCGTTCTTTACGATAAGAAGGTTCTTCACCATGAAGAGATCAGGATCCGTGCCGGACTTTAGTGACTGAATTCTTGCTTCAGCTCGCTGGAGTACTCGAATGGTCTCGCGGACAATATTGAACACGACGGAGCTGTTTTTGGACTAAAGCCATGTCAGTTGATTTGATTCATGATCAAAGAGCGCCAATGCCAACTTACCGAGCGTTCCTTTGGCATTGCGTGGTCAAACTTGGACAGTAACTCAATGGCTTTCTTGACAAGTGGATAAGCATTTGACGAAGCAACGCCGTCCACCACTGGGCCAATTTTCAAATCATGGTCTTGTAGGGCGGCTTTGGAAATGGATTTTGTAATTTCCGCGTCAAAGGCATTGTCGGTGAATGGCCAAAGATGATCCACAAGTAATCTTGCCGCATACTCGCGGTGTTTTCGTCCAGAGTAAGACTCTTCCTCATCTTGTTCAGCGACCGAGTATTCATTTGCCAGCCACCCCACAACACTGCAAACCGATTCCAGCTTGGCTGTTTGGAGAACACTCTGCATGGTGTTCCCAAGGGGCGCAATATGACCTGGGTGGACCATCATTGTGTTGATTCCCTTGAGAGCTTGGAAGGCCGATGTCGTTGCTGTATTCCACATTGGTTCTATGCCGAATATTTTCAAAAACAAAGCGTCCTCATTATAAATTCTTTCAAAAAGCTGCTTGACATAGTTGCGAGATGCTGTTTCCACCGAGAGGCTCTTGGCTGCCTTTTGGTACTCTTCCAGGTCACGTTGGGTTATTGTTTTCAAATCTCGGTCCCTCGTGGTCAAATAGGTATGGAACATGTTTGTGGCTGAATTGGCATAAATATCGGCCTTTGTCGAAGATTCCAAGGCTCTACCGTACTGGTCGTATGCATTCCGGACAACTTGTTGTACGTTGGGCAGCAGTGAGTACGTATCAGCAATCATCTCTGCAAAACGACCGTATGCCAAAGCATGGCGAGCAGAGTCGGATGCCGCCGCCGCAACTTGACGAGCAATCTCTGTGGATGACTTTTCCAGGCGAGTGGAAAATCCATGATCCAACAGATGCAAGGCCTTGGTGAGTAGCGCACTGTATCGCGCCAGGTACGTGTCGCGTTCCCGATATGTTTCCTACGAGAATGGGTTAATCACCTGATTGGCCCACAGACAAGATAGGCAAATATTGAGTCGTTTGCAGGTAGACTTACGTGACGGTTCATGAAGTCAATACAAGAATCTATATTGCCGATCAGTGTGCCAAATTCTTCGTCGTCGACCAGTCGACTGGCGCCTGGAGCGTTGAGCCGACGGGTTGCAGTGTCCAAGTAGAGATAATAGTATAAATCGGTTTCAACTTCATCTGCAAGTGTCTTCAATCGTTGTTTCTCTTTTAGAAGACCTTCGCATTGGGCCTGAAACGTCGTCGTCTGTGCATCCACTGATTGGAAGGAGTCCGAAAGAGACGTCAGAAGCGCTAGAGTGGCATCAGCATCATCTATGAGACCGTCGAGATGACGTTCCGTTAGTGAAAGCTGGTCACAGTACAATCTAGGCATTGTCAGAGGTCAGATGCGTGCACGGGCGGTTCTAGATAGTTGCTTCCATACAAATACTCTTGTTGGCTCTCCTCTAACAGTTGCCTTTCAAACGCCTGGTCAAGTGGTTCAGATGCCGAGTAATTTCTATCAGCATCGTCCTCTCCCTTTAACAGCAACGCTTCCCATGCCCTACTCTTCTTGTCAGGCTTCTTCTTGCGTCGCCGTTGGCCATCCTTTGTCAATTGGGCGCGAACGACGTAGTAAAAGTCCGTGTATGAGGCGGCACGGCGAATTATAGTCGGTTCCGGCGGAGTATTAGTGTCTTCCAACTCCTCAAAAACATGGTCTAGCCGTTCGGTCCGCTCGTCCTTCACATCGCCCTGCGATAGATGTAAGCTGTTCTGTACGACAATCAGCTCGAAGATAAGGAAGGCCGGAGGCGGAGAGCACCAACATTTGGCTGTTGAAGTAGCGACTCCTTTCGTCCATGGCTTTGGGACTGGGAAGGCGCGGCTGGTTTCTTTGGCACTTCGGGCACAAAACTGTACCACGAATCTTCATACATGGTGGGCGGAAGCTCTGACGAGTACTCAAGTGCTGGGAGCTCAAGGTGGGCTGCTCGATGCCACGCATGTTGTTCGCGTTAGTTCACACATGGGCGGAAGCAATTGCTCCGTCCACCGATGGACCACTAACCGGTCTGGTGTCCAGCCAGCAGCCAGCAGCCAGCCAGTGACAGTGGGCATAACCCTGGTGGTGTAATCAGGGAATTCACAGCAGTGTTTGGTGCTGAGAGCAACCAAAGGGCCCGCAATAAGTGGCCGTAAGTGGCGGCAACAGGCCCAGAGAACTGCAACTTGACATTCGAACCTCAAGCTTAGCTCAAGCTTCATTCAACATAACTGCTGGAGAGGAGCTCTCATTGACCTGTTCCCGAAGCTGGCTTCGCTTACTGCGGCCTCATCGGAATCTAGCACCCAGCTTCAATACTCCGGTCCTCGCATTGATTCAATCCTCACCTGCCACAAACCCGGCGATGATTTCTTCTAGGGTGGCTCTCAGACGGGCTGGCCATATTCGATGGTCATGCCAACCACGTTTCACTGCCCGCCGCCAATGGGCGCGATATAACAGCGACAGCTCCAAGGGGCCCGCGCATAGGCAAGGCGGAAATCCCTTCGCGCGGGCAGCCGTCTATGCTGGTGTGTTTGGTTTGGCAGCTGCGGGAGCTTATTACTATCCCGAGCTCAAGGAAAGTTTTTCAACAGAAGAAGAAGCTATCGAGCCCTCAAAAGCCCAACCAAGGTTCGAGAAGTCTCGCAGGCAACCCATATCAAAGGAGGATAACCGAGATATCATCAGTTCTCAACACCTGCAGGTCAAGAATAGCTGGGAGCACCCAGGAGTCTATGCTTGGGGGTCAAACAGTGGCAAGGTTATCGACCCGGAGTCTAATGATAAGTACGTCAAGCTGCCCCGACGAATATCCTTCTTCAACGACCAAATCCTCAGGGATTTGAAGCTCACCCATAGTTTTGGGGCGGCCGTCAATGAGAAGGGCGACTTGATTCAATGGGGACTTGGCTTTTCGAGCAGTGACCCGAAGCCGGTGACTACACTGAGGGGCAAGGATCTAGCCAAGATCGAGGTGTCTACTGACCGAATCATTGCCTTGTCTCGAAAGGGTGATGTATACTCTGTCCCATCGTCCAGGGACGATCTGGAAGGCGGGGTTAAGGAGACTCGGCAAAAGAGCTCCTGGTCATTATGGAGCTCTACCGGCAAGGAAGCCATCAACTTCCGCAACCTAACACCAAGTGGCTTGGGCTGGGGCGAGAGGGTTATCGACATCAGCAGCGGACTTGAGCACTGCATTATGTTGACGTCAAAGGGACGTGTCTTCACCGCTGCCTCGAGCGCTATTGCGTATCCCTCCAAGGGTCAGATGGGAATTGCCGGTCTTACTTGGGAAACCCGGCCGAAAGGTCCATACGATCAGCCTCATGAACTCTTGTCGCTAAAGGGCTTTGAAGCGACGGCCATTGCCTCGGGGGACTATCATTCGGTGATTTTGGACAAGCTGGGCAGAATCTTCTCCTTTGGTGACAACACATTTGGCCAGCTCGGATTCACAATGGACTCCGGCCTGCCCTACGCTACCACTCCCTCCATGATTCCTGTCGACAAACTGTATGCCGCCTCGGGGATGGTACCAAAGGCCACGTCTATCAAGGCCGGAGGAACCAACACCTTCTTCACAGTTGATGCTAGCGCGCCAACTACGGCGGTTGAGTCTCGGAGTATGGTTCCAGCCAAGCGGATGCCAGGAACAATTTCTGACCTGTGGGTGTGTGGTCAAGGTGTTGCAGGCACATTAGGGACTGGCAAATGGACTCATGTTTCCATCGCGCCTACAAAGATTAAAGCACTTTCATCTCTTTTTGAGTTTGACGAGGAGACAAACAAGAACGTGCCAATTAAGCTGAAGGCACTCAGTGTTGGAAGTACCCACTGCGCCGCCGTCATGGATAACATAACGAAAACAAACACGTCAAGCAGCGGTTCTGAAAACGAAACGAACTGGGGTGCTGATGTTTTGTTCTGGGGTGGCAATGAATACTACCAATTGGGCACTGGGAAAAGGACGAATATGAACACACCGACATATATTGGACCTTTGGATGGCGGCGAAGGGGATGCAAACAAGAGAAGGAAAGGAGAGATGCACCGCCTCTGCCTTACTCCAAAACAGACGGTTCGTATCGGAGAAGGCGGAAAGGGCCGCAAGGTTACGTTGGAGCAAAAGGTGGAATGCGGCCGGCTGGTTACCGGGGTGTACTCGGCCGTTTAAAATGGCGATACAGGTAAAGGATGAATGACAAAGATTTTTTTTGATTTTTTTTGTATACCCCTTGTACAATACTGGGTTGAGGTTGACCGGGTCATTCGCTCATTTGGTCAGCGGTTTGTTGGGCCAACTGTTATTTTTGGACGCAGAGCTCCTCTCTTCATTCCCAAGCTTTACAGATGGCTAATAGTTGGCTGCTGCCTTGGATAAAAATAGGTTGTATTTGTCTCGGACTTTCTGCTAGTAGTACTACGTATATATATGTCTCAAGTATGGAGGTGAAGTGAGGGTAAGCCAAGTTAACCATGTGACAAATGGAGCAGACAGCATTCGAGTCACATGCATTTAGTATTGTCGACCCGTCGTCAATCGTTACACACGGACCAGGCTGGGCACATTTGATGTAGAACACGGAGAGCCTAAGAATAGCAGCGGGTGGGCTGGGATGTCATGTGTCGGCTAGAGAATGGAAGGATGGTTGCAGAGCGCGGCGGGATGCGGCAACATGCATTTTTATTTAGCACCAAGTGTATGTATCTTTGGAAGTAATCGGCACGAGACGGTTTGAACTGGAGCATTCGGAATGTGAGGCATCTATGTCGGTGCGGTGGGGGTAGTCATTGTACGTTTGACCTGTCGTCAAAGCCTTTGTCTCGAGACAGCGCCAAGTGACAAAATGATGAAATAATCTTTATGCAAATGTTTGCCATGGATTGCCTTTCACGTCCATGGTGTTGCAGGTCTGCACCTCGGCAGCAGCCATCAACCCTGGAGTTGGAGTTGAGGTTTTGTCTGGCCCAGATGTGCCTGCAAAATGCGCGCGCATGCCAAGATTTCAGCCCGTCGCACCTGCCTCCTGGGCTGAGACCAAGACCAAGACCGGGACCGGGACTGAGACCGCCTCAGGTCTGAAGGCCTACCTAGACGGAAATATCCAGACTCACGTAACGCACCAACATTGCATTGAAAGGTCACGATTCGGATCGAGGCCCCGCGACCCACCAGCTGGTCCCTTGGCTTGGCTGCTGGCCTACCGCTCTGGAGTTCATTGGGAGTTCGCCTAGGCGGATGGACGGATGGTGCAGCCTCGGATTTCTCGAACCGTTGTCGATCGGCTCACCAGAAAGTCGGCCCAAGCTTCACCGACTTGATCTCCTTGCGCATCTCATACCAGTCCTCTCTGCTGGCTAGAGGGAATTCAGCCTGGTTGTCCCATCACCTGTCGACCTTGATCTTTTATCCTTTTCTTTTTGGCCCTTCCCCTACCTCTGTCTTTTCTTTTGGGCCGGCATCTTCAGCAACAACTGGCAGCTGCTTCCCTTGTACATACATGTCCCGTGTTCCGCTTCTGCGTCATCCCCAGCCCATAATAGTTACGAGCGCTGTTACGATTTCTGCCCCTGGCCGTTGCTGAATCAGTCATACATTACCGCCTTCGAAACCACCACAAGCCAGCATCTTGACGGAATCCAGAATATGGACAAACTGCCCCGACTACGGCGGAAACCGAAACCTCCAGCCATCGAAACGTCTGTCGATCGCACGAGCAGCGACACCGCCGAAAGCACCTTTACCACCGAAATCACAAGTCAGCCTTCGCCGCAAAAGGCCTCCATGAGGAAGTCACCTTTGCGAAATCTCAAGTTGCGTGTGAATGCTAAGCGCGCGAGAACACACTCTCCAGTTGCTCGGCTATCGAGCTCGCCAGTCGTTGCCGTCTTCAGCCAGGATGGCGTGGCACCCCGGTCTGTCACGGACGAGGGCTCGTCTGTCAATGGTCGACCTCGGCCGATCATGCCGGCCTTCCTAAACACTTCTATGCACGGTTTGTGTTCCTTTCCGGGCGTCCGGCGTCCTGGTTCACTTGCTTGCTAATCGTCCACTCAAGGTATTGAAGCCAAGTTTCAAGAGCTCACGTGGGCCGAGCGCAATCGCCTTGCCCAAGGCGCCAGACCTGATGCTCCTACCAACTTTAGATGGAGTTCCTTTAAGCAAACCGACGGCCTGCAGAGAGGAGTCATGGATCGGTACATAAACATTAAGCCTTGGAATCACAACAGGGTGAAGCTTCAAGTTCCCGAAGAGGAATTCGATTATGTGAACGCGTCAACCATAGTCCTCAACCCGTTGAGTGACAACTCTCTACCGCCGTTACGATATATTGCCATGCAAGGCCCAACACTGCCGTCATTCAACTACGTTTGGAGAATGGTCGCCGAGCAAACATCGTCCCCCGCTGTCATTGTCCAGCTCACAAGCATGACGGAAGGCGGAGCAATCAAATGCAACCAATATTTCCCCGACAGCAAGGAGGACGCGACGTGGGACTTGAACAAGGATAATATTTGGAATGATAACTGGAGAGCGCAGCTTTCATTCGAGTCTTTGGAGGAACTTGCGAACGGCGCAATCGAGAAGCGAAAACTACTACTTGATGTCGAAGGAGAGGCGGAACCGCGGATCGTGTGGCACTTGTTATATACACGTTGGCCCGATTATGGGGTCCCTACGGTCGACGACATGGACAGCTTCTTTGAGTTGATGACCATCTCTCGAGATCATACCGAGCCGTCCAATCCCCGCATAATTCACTGTAGCGCTGGCGTTGGCCGTACCGGGACTTTTATTTCCTTGGAGCATCTAATGCGGGAATTGGACGGAGGCAAGCTCGAGGCGACTGAGACAAACTGCAAGACCCTGCCTGATCTCATTTATGATACTGTCGATAATCTGAGGCAACAGCGGCGTTGCATGGTTCAATCTGAGATCCAATACCGGTTCCTGTATGAGGTGATGAAGAAATTGTGGCAGGACAGGTATGGCGCTGTGCTGGACGGGCACGACGCTGACCGTACGGGGAACAGTGAGCCTGCGGCGAAGAGGCTAGAGGTGGCAGATTCCTTTCCTGTAAGTGACGATGACGACTCTACATGAAACAGACTTGGGTGCAGCTGTAGCGAGGTACACTTTGAAAAGGCATGGCATTCGAGGCGTTTGGGTCACAGGGTATCACGGGGTATCACGGGGTATTTGCACAGGATTTATACGCAGCGGGATGAAGCCACGCGTGTTGAGCCTGGCTGGTTGTGTGGAGCATCGAATCTGGGCCTTGCCCCTGGAATATATTTAGAGATGGGCTGGCAATTATATTACTTGTTCACCCCGTCCCTTGGTCTGTTTGTAAGTTGAAGGTTTTGAGCCGCGTTTGTATATTTTATGCGGGAATATAGACGGGCCGCAGTGCCAGCCTGACACATGGGTAGTTATTGCAAATAGAGCTGACGGCCAGCAAAACGGCGGTAAATGACAACAAAAATTCTGTTCTTTCACGGATTGCACTCTATTAAGCATAGTCTATGTAAATCCAACGCTCAATTATTCTTCAAGCAAAATCTTCTAAATGCATCTCAAGTAAAGTACGAAATGATCACATATGCCAAGGTATTACCACCCATATAAACAGTATAAACAATAAACAAGCCGTTTTCGCATCGATCTGTTTTCCCACTGTGTGCTATGTCCAAAATACATGTGCTCCTGATTATTTGGTTGATGTGCAAAACGCGCTCCTTTCCACCCTTTAATTATGAGCTGTCACTGTAACCGTCTCCTTCTGCGTGTCGGTCACTGTGACGGTTACAAACACCGACACCGTAGGCGTACCGTTGTTAACGATAGTCGTCATCGATGGGTCGGCATCGGGGCCTCCAGCGTTCCTTGTCACAGCGGCTGGCGCGCTGGCGGTTGTTGATGTTGTTCCGTCGTCGAGGGGGCGGAGGAACAGTTTGGTTGAGTTTGGTGGTGGGAGACTGGTGGGCTTGTCGAAGGTTTGTGTGATGACCACTTGGGTTGGTTGGATGGAGGACGAGGTTGTGGGAGGGGAAGGGCTGGGCGTGGTGGTTGGCGTTGGTAGAGGAGTGGTTGTCTCTAGCGAAGGGAGAACAGGCGTCGTTGCCTCTGGTAGTGGTGTGGTAGTTGTTGTTGAAGGGGAGAGGATAGGTATTGTTGTTACTGGTAGTGATGATTGAGTAGTTGTTGAAGCAGAGGGGGCCGAAGGGGTATATTCTATCAAGGTTGACGTTGATGTCGATATTAATGTCGGCGCCGACAAAGACGACGCCGTTGGTGTTGGCTGGGACTCAGACTGGGCTGATGAAGATCCACCCACTTCCGGCTGGGGGCTCAGAACAAGCGTAGGTGTAGATGACTTATTCGTAACGGTGCGGACTTCCGTACGTGTAACAACCGGTCTCCTTGTCTCGGTTATAAACGTCGTACGCATGCTCCTCGGCCCGGTGCTCTGCTCCGGCCCAAGAATCCCCTGGGCATATGCAGGATCGTAACAGCCTATTTTTGCACCCCTGACATTGGTCATGGGCAACGCATAGCACTTTTGCCCCTGAGGACAGGCATCGAGATTAAAAGCCCCATTGCTACAAGAGCCCAGCTGGCCGGATATACAGGCCGTTTGGGACCCCGAACAGGAGGACTGGGGTGTGAGCGAGGAGAAGACGCTGTTGAGGTCTTTGGCCTGCGCGAGGTTGGAGGCGTAGACAGATGCAGGAATGGTTGTGGTGGCGGTTGGGAAGCTGGAAAATGCAGTTGGGACTTTGGAGTCCGGCTGGCCGGTGGGGGTTACTGTGATTGTTGTTGTGGGCGACGATGTGGCCGTGCCTGTCGACTGTGATCCCTGTTGTTCAGTGGATGATGATGATGTTGTTGTGAGTCCTGGGAGAGTTACGGTTGGCAACCCCGTAGGATTTGAAGCATCACCTGTGTTGCTGGTTTGCGGAGGACCAGATGTAAGAGTCGAAACTGTCGCAGTAGGCTCTGAAGTTCCTATGGTTGTCGAGCCAGGTACATTCTGAGTTGTCTGGCCATTGCTTGGGGCAGACGACGTACTGAAGTCCGTAGATGATGCCGAGGTAGTTGGCTCGCTCTGAGAGCTCGTGATGAACTCTTTCACGGAAGTGGTGGTGGCAGATGACCCCAGAGTGTTTCCTGTAGAACCGTATTGATCTGTAGTCGACTGGGTGGTCGCTGTGTTAAAGAGATCACTTTGTGTAGTGGAGATTGAGTTGTTCTCACGACTCGTGATGAACTGTGCCCCAGAAGTGGTGGCAGACGCTCCAAGCGGTGTTGTTAGATCACCTCCACCCGTAACGAGCGACGCAACAGTCGTGTTCAGAGGGAATTGACGTGTAGTCACGATAGGTGTGGTAGTTGGCCCTGTGATGGAGTACGACTGGCTGGTCAATGTCCCCGTCGCGGGAGTTGTGGTGCCAGAGCCTGGAGCCCCTGTTTGCGATGATGTCTGACTTGTTAGGTCAGAGATAGCCGTAGCTGTGCCAGGGCCAAGGACGTTTGTTGGAGCTGAGTTGGGAGAGGATGAGCCCCCTGTGCCAGTGCCTGTGTCTGTGCCGGACCCGGGAATTGTGAGTGAGCTTGGGACAGACGAGGTACCTGTGGTTGCAGTGGCCCGAGAGGTTGTCTCAAAGATCATGTTCGAAGTTGGCGTTGTGACGCCGCCGGAGGTGGTTGTTGTTCGACTAGCAGCCTCAGTCGTTGGCAAAGTCGAGGGGGTTGCCAGCAACCCTGGCGCCGTTGTCGTAGGCAGTCCAGTGGCACCCACATCACCAGCTGTTATTGTTGAACTTGCAGTTGCTGTTGTTGTGGGAGTAGTGACAACAGCTGTCTGTGCTGTACCGGCTGTAGGCGTCGGTGCTATGCTCGTTGTAGTCGTTGGTTCCAGACCGAGTACACTCGTTGGCTGCGCACCGAGTATAGCAGTTGGAGATGTACCAACCGCACCCGTGGCCGTCGGGTCCGTGCCGAGTACAGCAGTCGGAAATGTACTGGCTGTAGTAGCTGGGGATGAGGCGATTGTGTTCGTCGGTCCCACACCGAACACGCTGCTTGGAGATGTGCCGGGCACAGTCGTCGGTGCTGCACCAGGCGTGCTTGTCGTCGTTGCTACACCCGTAGACTCGGAAATAGAATGACCACCGCTAGACAAAGCTGGCCCTGTGGCAGCGTTAGTCGAGGACTCCCCTGCAGCATGTGTCGTCTGTCCCGATCCGAGCACCGCCGTAGTAGAGCCACTTGTAGGAACAGCCCCCAAAGGGTCTGTAGTAGGAGTATCCGTCGACTGTCCCGGATGGGCCGTAGACTCCGTCGTGGGATGCAAAGAATCAGGGAGCGAAGCAGACGCAGACGGAGTCGGAGTCGGGGGTCCCGAATTTGGTCCCGGGGTAGATGCCACGGGCACGCCCGTCGTCAGCGGATTCGATCTACAACTCAAAGTCAGTCTCACGGCACACAATATTTCTTGCTACGCCTATTTCTTCTTCCATTATACCTATTTGAGTCAGGCACGCCTGTCGGAGCAGTTGTCTCGTCACGGGGGATTCTACACATCGGTTAGTCCTCAACTCTACCACACAACAGTCAACGCAACTCAACCGCCAAACATACACATTATATGCCCGTCTAATAGGACCAGCCTGGGCGGTTTGAGAGCTTAAAAGTAGGTACGTCGCCGCAGCGACATACACTTTGAAGCGCATACTTGTTGCTTTCGCTCTCTGTTGGACAAGTCGTTTCTATCAAGATGAAGTTGAGATGGCTTGATGGAAAAGTCCGAAGGGTTCTCAAAACAGTAGCGATCGGCGAGATGCCAGAACCTAGTATCGAAATAGATGAAAGAGAGGAGTTGAGTTTCAACCAGAGAAGATAGACGGCAAAGGGAAGTAAATGGCGACCGTGGGCAATTGCTGGTTGACTCTTGTTGTCTTTTCGATCTCGAAAACCAAGTCACTATTGAAGTAGCACAACACGCTGTGTCTCCAAAACGTAGTTGAACAAGGGAAAGTACACAAGAAAGGGAAAAAAAAGAAGGAACAAGTCAATGAAGAGGCCAATATGAAGGCCCTGGTGCAACAATGGAAGAAGAGGCACTGAAGAGTATAGAGCGAGACAATAGGCCAGGAGCCTCGAGTACTAGTTGAGAACAGAGAAGGAGGGCGGGCTTCAGACAAGGAAAATCAAGAGCGAAATGTTCAAAGGCAAGACGAAGGAGAGGGGAAAAAACAGGTTGAAAGACACCGGCTTCTTCCACGTAAGAGATGCTGTGAACACCAACCAAGCCACTGGCAAAGACGAAACCAACAAAGAACGGCTACAAGACGTGAAAGAGAGGATGATGCAAGAACAAGGGGATCGACGCTGTGCGTCCATTTTGTATTCTGCATGCATCGCGGAATCCTGGCTTCCCATCAACCCTCTGCCAGAGTGTCTACGACGGCAAGGCTGGGCCAAGCAAGCAGGTGAAATGAGAGCGACCTGCGGGCCGCTACCTGACACCCCGGGGAGCATGGCAGCTTCACAATCGAGATTGAAGATGTTTGGGCACATCATGGCCAATGCTTTTGTGCGAGGACGGCAAAGGGCGAGCCGGGAAGGGAGGGCATCCCTGCGTCGTGTAGATGTACTTGACCGAAAGACTCAGCAACGCACACGATGCACATGCGCGCGGCTCCCGTGGTCGTGCCGGCTTGGGGAACCATACTGCTAGTATCTGCAGTGCAGTTTCGGATTGATGGGACGATGGGACGTTGGAACGACGGGGCCACGGCGAACCATGCGGGCAGAAAGGCAGCGGCTGTGCTCGAAATGTTTCTAAAGTTGGAAACGAGACGTCGACGGCCAATCACCAGGACCTCGGGAGCCTGACCTGGTGCAGCCTGGGGGCTGGGTCTGCGGCGCTTGCGGCGGTGCTGTCGCCTATGAGGCCCTGCACCAGAGGCAAGTGGCAGACAGACCTTGTACATCACCATTTGCACGTCAAACCGTCGTGTCTGGTCCACGAAAGATGCTTTGATTCTGTCGACTCAATATCAAGAGCTTCCTGTGGCTGCCACTGGCACATGCTAGGGCCGGGTCTTCTTTCTTTCTTCTTTCTCTTTTTCCTTGCCTTTGTTTTAATTCCGTTGTTGCTCCATCTTTACGTCGCGCCTTCTCGTTTTTGCCGCCAACTTTCCTAGATGGTCAACATTTCAGGCCCACGCCGCTTCTCATTGGTTGCCGCGCATGAATCCCTGCCAGCAATTTTCACAGCAGCCCCAACCATCGATGCAGCCAGTGTTAGTTAAGGGAAGCACATCTGGGGGCTGAAGCACCGCACATGGCGCACCTGCTGCTTCAACTGCCTATGTGTATGCATGGGTATATACGGAGCATGATTCCTTTCATCTTAATCTTACACATGCGCACAGCAGCCGCCTCGTATTCACGGTTGCCCAACCCGTCCTTGTCGACTGCCGGCATACCACCATGCCATGGTCCTCTTCTCATCACCATCATCCTCTCTTCCTATCCGGCCCGTAGCTCTAGTTTCTCGTTTGCCGAGACTCTTTGTTCCCATCTCGAGCCAATTCTATTACCCGTCTCAAGGTGCTGATGGATTCATCATGGTGTACTTCGGCGTATGTCTTCACAGCCTCGTCGTCTGGCCAGGTCCAGTTCAACCCGGAATCCGCCAGCGTTTGTAGGAGCGTTGACACCCTGCCGTTTCCCAGCATCGGCTCTGCCACCAATCGAAAAACGCACAGCGTCTCGAAAAAGTCTGCCTGTGGCGGAGCCTCATCCATCTCATTCACGGCCGATGCCACGTTGAATTGGCCCCATTGTTGTATCAGCCACTCCAGCAGCCGCCCCATTTCTTCAAACTCGCCCAGATATCCCAGCGTCAGCATGTAGTCGTGAGCATGGTCACTTCGGGCCGCATCCCTGCGAGAATTCATGGCTTCTAGCGGTGCTATCTGGTACCCATCAAGATATGCTTGGGCGTGGCGCTCCCTCTGCTCGAGCGTCCAGAACATGTACTTTATTCGCGCCTTGGCTTCTTTCAGGAGTAGCACTTCGGCCCCCGCCATCGGGAAAGAATCTTCCTGTCCTAGTCCCTGATGCAGTAGACTCCGACGAGGGTGCGCATTATCCACACTTGCCATGCACATCTGGTAGAAAAGCGCTTGCGTCAGTGGGCTCTTTGCAAGTGCTTCTTTCTCAGCATCCTTTGTGAATACACTATTCAGCTGTTGTCGCACGGCCTTTCGAACACCTTTGTGGAACTGAGTAAATGTTGACAACTGGACTCCGTCCACCTTCTCGATTGCATCCATCACTCTCAACATCAAATCAAGTTGTTGATGCAGCGAGATCCTCAGAGCATGGTGGTGTCGCGATAATTCCTTTAAAATAGTGCCCCACATGAAGGGAGCCCATCGAGACTGTTCATGGCTCAACCTTGATTCCGCGAGGCGTATAACATGTTGAAGTTGATTGCCTGCGCGTCGCCCTTCCACTCGCAGGCATACTTGGAGATACGCTGCGAATAACCCCATCCCAACTAGCCTCAGAAGCCCGGCATCGGGCTCTTCGGCAATAAGATTTCGAATGATTCGACTCTTCTCGGGGCTGTCACGTAAATACTGATGAGCTATCTCCAAAGAAGCAGCATTGGCGACAAGAATACAAAGACAGGAGCCATCAGGCTCAACTCCATTGAGTCTCATATGTTGGTAGAGCTCAGATATACTCGGAGGCCGCAAGCGTGCTCTTTCAAACTCGGCCAGATTAGCCTCATGTTGGGTAGGAAAGTTCAAGGCTTTGTCACCGGGCGATATGCTGCCGTCTGGCTCAACTTCTCGCAGCACTAGCTTCTCAAACATGGCCGAATACTGATGCAGACCTGGCTTCATCCCTTCTTTTGGTGGGTTGCGGAACCGATCCCAAGCTTCTTGTGCATTCCGCGTGGCGCGGATAGATGCCTCCCACACTCCAATTCTTCGGCGTTTCGAAATCATTGCTCTCTGTTGAATAGTTGGCGTTCCATCTTGTGTCATGCCTTGCAATATGTCCACCGCATCGTCGACTTCGTCTTTGGCAAATCCAGCCTCTTGCATGAGCATGCCTGCACTTACAGCGCGGCTCCAGTTGTCTTCTGGATCGGTACGTTCATCCATTCCGTGGCCTGGCTGCAAATAGGGAGGCCAGCTCGATGCGTGTCTGGCTGCGCTGTATACTTCTGCATGATTCTTGGCCTGGCCTGATAACACTTCTCGAATCGCCCGGAATCCACCTCTATCCACAAGCAATGGTTTTGACAGGCCTGCCGACATCGACAAGAGAATTCTCTGCGCCTCCCAGAAATAAGCGTTGGGTGTGGATCTTTGGGCCACGTGGACATGTGGCAGAGGTCGTAATATTTGCAAGCATCCATTGAAAATATCACATTGTGTTGTAAATACTTTCCTTTCGCCTTGAGCAGAAATCGGCATGTTCTGAATATATTGTGCAGCCGAATCAGCCAGCTTCACCACAAATCTGGGCTCTAGCCGGCGGCAGTGGTGGACTAGTAGTCGCATAATTAAGTTGAAGTTTGCTCGGTCAATATCCAGCATCTTTTCTGACCCGTCTCTACTACTTTGACGGTTGCCCTCCGATATGGTGTTATCCGCTCTTCGGTTGTTGTAATAGGCGTGTGAGGACTCAATCATTCTCTGCAACGTGACTGGATCGCTAATACCGGACGACTGGCGGAGCAGGAAGTGGAATATGAATAAGGGGACTGACGTAGGTTCCTCCAGATATCTCTTGCACCTTTCTTCATCGTTTTGCCCTCGTAAAATATACACATATCGCCCGATAGCCTTTTGGGTATGGCCTGCAAGAGACGGGTGTTTTAGTATGGTTTTGTTCTCTTGTAGCGTCGGAAGAAGCTCCAACAATCCGCTTTCGCCGGCCGACTGAAGCTCTTCCTGTCGCAGAATCTCTTGCAGGAGGAGAATAGGCAGTCTTATCGTTCGAAACCTGGCGATTCTTTTCCTCCAGGAGTCTGCGTATGGGTTTTTTCCAAGTACTTTCTCCAGTAGCTGGCTAGAGGGCATGTGCTCCAGTAATTGTCTCGTAGAGTTTCGCACAATTGATGGACCATGGAACCTCGTGCCGTCAGGTCGAGTGCGGCGTCTTGGCCCGTCGGATGTCGCATGTCGCAGGTTGTTTTGCTTTGCAAATGCCCTTTGCGGCCCAACCTTTGGGCCGGTGCCCGTCAGACTCGTAGATACTATGTTATCTGCTACAGCTGCTCCGGCACCATTTACGCGGAGATCTTGAGATATCGAGCGACTGGATAACTGAATACACACAAACTTGATTAGCTTTCTAGATCACGAGCAGATATGGTCGAACTGGGTCATACAACAGCTTGTTGGAGCACTCGGAGCGGCATGCGCCGCCGTCGGCCAAGCTCTCTCGAGGCATTTCTCAGCATGCCTCCTCATAATTTCACAAGTTGCATCAGCATTGGTCGTGTAGTCACTGGAGATGCGCCGTGTAAAGATGGGTTGGAGGCGGGAAAAGATGGTTCGCACCCTGTGCACGAATTGGCACACATGCAAAAAGTCGTGTCCCCACACTTACCCTGGACCCGATAGCCCTTCTTTTGGCATCGTGATTGCATCTCAGGGCATACGGCGAATATTCTAAATTTCACGGTGCTTTTATTTCCACCCTATTATAGACAATATGAAAGTTGAAATCATCAGGTGTCTTTCTTTCGAGGCAGTGCTGACCAAGCTTGATAACGGATCCTGACAACCCTAGTTCTTAGAAGGGCCTGTCTTCTCACCGGACTGACCTTTGGTAACCTCTTCCCCTGACTTGTCTTTACGCTTTTGTACCACTTCCCAATTATAAACTCTCGCTGTCGCAACTTCCATGGTCTAGATGGTGTGTTAGTTCAAAGTGTGCTAGTAGATCGGGGATCAGTCATAATACTCACGGTGATCTGCTCGCGTAAAAAATCCAAATCCTCCTCGCAGTGTGACAAACTTGTCTTTGCAGTGGCTAGTTTTGAACTCAACAGCGTCTCGGCTTCATCTGTAGTGTATGAAAGCATCACGTTGGCCTGAAGCCACAGTCAGCACTGATTGGAATTACTGGGGTCATGTATTATGCGCACCCCAAGCCAAATATAGACCTCGCTCGTTGCAGGGACATTCGCTCTTGAATATAATGTTTCGTTGAGTTCGAATGTCGTTTCTATGGGTTCGGTTTCGTCCTGCATCGCCTCCACGTCAGACTCGGACAATGACTTGCAAGGTTCAATTCCTTACTTTGCGGAGCTTCAAGAACCTGACTGTATCTAATGTTTTTTGGATCTCGGGTATCTTGTCTTTCAGACCTGCCATTCGGCGCTGGAGATTCATTTCCATAAACTGATACTTCCTACAGTGTATTGATGTCAGTGAAGGCCGCCTTCCAACTTGATCTGGTTGCAATCTTGAAAACCTTGGCGACGTCTTTCTTCGAAACAACGAGTTGACTCACGAAATCATCTCCTGGAAGCTCCGTAATGTGGGCTCGACTTCCTCCCGGGTAGCGACATAGTCCTCGACCCTGTCCACGAAAGGGGCGTTGGGAATACCGCGCGGGTTGGTGGCAGTCCCATCGTTGCCGCTGGAATGAGGCTGTGTCAGCATATACGACGGAGTCATTAGCTCGTCAAGACGATCTGGGAACATACATTGACGCCGGCGCCCTGCCTGCGGTTGCCATCTTTGTTGGCCTGTCTCCAGTCAGTGCAAAGTAAGATTTGGAGCTTTGAAGCTGCCCACCTGCGACAGACGGCTTTGGCCAGTGGGCTGCTCACCGAGGTGAGCAGGTCGAGGTGGGGTAGCCTGACCGATGGTGGACCATTGTGTCGCTCTTGGAGCAGGATTGGGGGACGCCAACATGACCATCTATCTAACATGGGAGTTTCTTGTGGCAGCGAGTCAATTTAAGTTGCTCAAATACCTAGGTACTCATGTATAATGGCCCCTAGCTGTTTTCTTATGAGCCTACTTTAAAGTTACCGCTTAAATGACAGCTATTAGGTATAGTTTAAACATGTACCAACTCTGCGCACGATTAGCATTTAAAGACAGTGATGACGCACCAAAAGAGGCACTGGAAAGGTCGTTCAAAGATGATACGTGGCGTAAGCCTTGAGGCTCCATCGACCGCAAACGGCACAATCGAATAATCCTGAGATAATACATGCGTTCGGCTCTGGAGTACACCCACACTCAGTGCGCGGCGAAGAACCGAGAGGCGTAGCAGCTGTAAAGTCTTAGCTTTGAAGTTCCTTGTATACTTAAGTACCTGCCCAAGTAAGGGTATCGTGCAACAGCATCTATGTAAGACTTATATATTAATGCCTTTGAACAAACATAAAAGCCTTGGATATACCTGCCTCGCAGCACCTCTTAGTAAGAGTTGCTAGGTTTCCATTCCATTACAAGATGCCACCACCAGCTACAGATGGCAAGGACGACATTTACAAAGGGCCAGTCCCCTAATCACGGTCTGGAGCGTCAGGACTTGCATCCGATTCCAAAAGCATTGAAATGGAGAATACTGAAAAGCACTCCGCCGCCAGTCCCAGACATACGGGAGCGGCCCCTCAGCAGCAGACGAGCAATGGCATAGAGGAGGGCAAATGAGATGGCAAGAAAGCCAAACACGACGCTGATAAGAGAACCGAGGAGGAGGCTGGTAGAAGAGCTAAAGAAGAAGCTGATAGATTGGCCAAGGGAGAAAATGCACAGCCAACACCGACCGGCGGGAGCCACCCCTAACAACAGTAATCAATGATGTAGATATGGAGGCTAGCCGTGAGCGCTGTGTGTGTCATATCCCGCGCTGACCAGCACACCTGTCCTATGACTTCTATTGTTGCTGTTGCTGTCATTGTGCCAGGCAACGACCGATATCATCGCGAGCGAAAATGCCAAGCAGTTCGCAAGAGATACTCGTGAGTTCAGAGAGAAGATAATAGATGACAAGGGCTGGGAGAAATTCAACGACCATGGCATCTATCGGCTTGCTATGGCTTTAATCGTTGCACAGCTGATAACATCTGCAATTATAATAGCCCTGGCAGCTTTTGGCCACGGACTGGCACTTACGTGGCTTGGCGGTGTGAATGATGCTACGGTGGCCACGGTATTTCTCTCAAATGAATAATGTTGGCGGCTCAAGCCATGGCCCAAGTAGCTTAATACCGAATTCGGTGGGCAGGTTGAAGGCTTTATACTGCCTGCTATTAGTGAATATCCGTGGAGATGAATCAGTAAATGAACTCACGTGGAAGATGTGTGACAGGAAGGGGCTGGCATACATATAAGAATTGCAACCGCGTACCATCAAAGTCTGCAAAAAAAAAAGAGGGTATGCCATGCCGTATTAGTTTCTTACACATATTATCATAACTCGCTGACTGAAATTTTATCAATGCATTTGACGCCAAGCTCCCAACAGTACCTCCTTATCCATACCCATACCATACACCAGACCCTCGTTTATCTATCGCCGAGACACGAGGAATCAGTCTGTCCGCTTCTTTGCATCGCCAATGTCAACGGTGTCGGGTTCTTGACTCCTGACAGGAGGCGGAGCTGACGTCTCCGGCACATCGTCCTCATCCCAGTCATCCGGGGCATTTTCATCCCAATTATCCACCTCTTCCTCCAATGTCCGTACCCTGGACGGGCCGGCATCGATAATGCCACTCTCCTGGCCTTGGCCCAGTTCGACGTCTTCGTCATCCTCTCCTGGAACAGGATTGTACGATTTTTGCTGCCTCTTACGCTCCAGCATGCGCTTGTGGTACCACGAGCACAGACCTAAACCAACCAAGCTGCCGACAATATTCGCCACGATGTCGAAGAGGTCAAAGTCGCGATCGTTGGGAAGGAAGCTCTGCAGAAACTCGGACCCCACGCCGAGGCATAGTGTGCAAACAACCAGCGTCATGTTTAGGGTTCGGCGGCGATTGGTGTCGACAATCCAGTAGAATACAACTGTAAGCAAGAAGAAGGTCCCGGCGTGTAATACTTTGTCGTTGACATACTGCCCGAGTTGGAGCTTGCTGAGGCCGGCGTATCCTGCTACCAATAACAAAAACAGGAAGACACCTAGAACGAAGCACACGAGTCAATTAGCTTGTCCTTGCTGGTCCTCCCGATGAGCGAAGCCTGGGTGATGCTACCTGCAAAAGGCAGACGTATCCGCATGGCGCCAGATAAGTCAAAATGAAGCTGACTCGAGCGCAGCGCAAGCGGTCGCAGCAAATATTGTATAAGGCTTCGCGATCAAGCCGTCTGGCGGTGGTCTGACGTGGACGGTCGGCGAACCGATGTTGATGGTAACAAGGCCAGCTTGCGCAAGGTACATGTACTGGGGATGCTTGTCGAGGACGTAATTCTTTTCAATGACAGCTCCCGTTCAAGGAAAAACGAAGCCCACAGGCACAGTGAAGATTGCAAAATTCTAAATGGAGGCTGGTAATGTCGAAGCCTAGCCAGATGGTTGTTGGTGTTAGGACGATTGGAGTCTGGTAGGACAGGGAAAGCTGACCAGACCAGACCGGGATATCTTGAGTGCGGATGCGGCCTTTCAGCTTCAGCGCATTCCAGTGGGCTGGGCAGCTACTGGCAGCAGTGTCGTGCCTGATTTTGGACAGTTGACTGGTTGATTGCGCAGCCCATGACTTCATTGTGCGCACACACGCAGAGCGCCTACTCCGTACACCCATTCATTTACGTCTGGTGCACATGCATGCATCTATCTGTTTGCCTAAGTACAGGTAGGAGTATAGCAGAGCGGCTCTGCTCTGTGTTTACTCCCTTTGTGAGAACTGAAGAAGCAAGGTGCCGCCAAGTGAGCCACCCATCTTGGCTATGGTGAGGGTGGTGTGATACACGCTCGGATCGCCAATTCATTTGATTGTAGTTAGGGATGCAAAGCCCAGAGCGCCCTCACTGCATGCCACGGCAGCTCATCTCTACACCACCAGAGAGGCTTCGGTGCGTGACCCGACGGCGATGACAACCGCAGCCGGAATCACGTGATAAGCGCCTTGATCCAACTCACGCAGGCGCACTTGGTGTTGCTGCTACGGTCGCCGGCGTTGGTGCCGTCGGTTTTATGGGGGAACACGGTCCGCGGGGGGCCAAGGTCTCAAGTACCTCCACCGGACGTCTTTGTCCAACACGCGCAGGCTGCCGACAGGCTCACCAGCATCGTAGAAACCGTGAAAATTTGGCCCTTTGTTGCGTTCTGTAGCTTCGATTCACCGTCTTGGAATTCTTTTGCATGCCTCGCATTCATCAATGCTGCTGCTGCCAACGGGACGGCCCTTTGTACCCGCGGCGCGGCCAAGGCGACCTATGGTACCTACTAAGTACCTACTAAGTAGACTTTAGTCCGTAACTCGTGGCCGCCGAGTGCTCAAGCGCCCGCTTGGTAGCGACTCCAGCGAGGTGGTGAGGTACCTAGTAGTGAGCCTGGGAGAAAGTCCCGCTTCGGGAAAGGGTGCGGTACTACGCTCTCCCCGAATCCTCAACCTCACCTCTTGATCCGCAGACAAATCGCACTCGTTGCGATCCATCAAAACACCACCGCCGTTATCTCGATTGTCGCGAATCTGCGTCCTCCATCTATACCAATGCCGCTCTTTCGACCCATACCGCTGTAACTGCTCCAATCCCTTCCGGTTCGGCCCTACGCGAGCGCATCTCACCGCGCATGGCGACACCGCGCCCACTTGTCGCTTTCATCGCCACGGGCCCAGCATGTCCATTTCCAACGGCCAGCCAGCATGGCCGCCTCCAGTTTTGCACCATGCAAACGGCAGCAGGTCTTTGAATCATCTCGATGATGGAACGGCGCGTACTCAGACCCCCGTCGATAATACAGTAGAGTTGGTGCCTGAGGCACCAGTCGATGTCGAAGAAGAATCCCGGCGCGCTCTTTTTGCAGACTTGTATCGCAAGACTGAGGACAAGATCGCCTTGTTGTTTTCTGAGGATGGTTCTTACAATCTTGACGCGATTGCGGGTCTGAAGCGTCGTGCCCCGACCCCTACCGTGACGCTCCCCCCCACCACCGATCACGAACCCATCAAGGAACCGCCCTACAAAAAGGCCAAACGTGCCATTGATGAAGATGACTATGACGACGATGACGAAGACGAAGACGAAGTAGCCACCGCGCCTGCGCCTGTGCTGAAAGCGCAAGGTTCCGCCGCCTCTATAGCCGCCAACTCCCTGCTGTCCCCATCCAAGTCTGGCAGCTCTCCAGTTCATTCCCTCAACTCGCCAGGGAGACTAGGAGAAAAGCTAAAATCGAGCCAAGAAGAACCTCAGAGTAGAAGCAAAGCCGGGGAAAGCGACGACAATGCCATCAAAAATTTGGAAGAGGCCAGGTTGGCCACCGAGGAAGCTGCCAGGCGTAGCTTCCACACTATATTCTACACCCTGGAGAATGATCGAACAGCGATGCTTGAACAAAAACGACTGGAAGATTCAGAAAAGCAGCTTCAAGCCGAGATGGACAGCAATCAGGCAAATGGGGCCGGCGGTACCCAAGCAAGCAACCAAGGCTCGCTGAGTAGTGCGAATCTAGGTGCCTCAAGCCTGACCCTTAAACATCTCATCGCCAGAATTGATATGAAGCGTGACCAAGTAAGAGCCTCAGATGCAGAACTGAGACTCCTCATGAACGAGGTTCGCAAAAACCGAAGCAAATGGGCGAGCGAGGAAAATGTCAACCAAGAAGAGTTATATGAAGCTTTTGAAAAGGTTTTGACGGAGCTGAAGGCGCATACGGAGTATTCTCACCCATTCTTAACGCGAGTTAGCAAGAAAGATGCACCTGATTATTATAGTTGTGAGTTTATTTTCACCACCAGCTGGTATTATCGTTAGCTCTGGAATTGCCACTAACTATGATCTGTCACTCCAGTAATCAAGAACCCTATGGATCTCGGCTCAATGACGAAGAAACTAAAATCCCTGACGTACAAATCAAAGACGGATTTCGTTGCGGATCTTGACCTAATATGGGATAACTGTTTAAAATACAACCAAGACATGAATAGTCAAATCCGCAGAATGGCGAATGGAATGAGAAAAGAAGCTGAAAAGCTGATCCCGCTGATCCCAGATCTCGTCGTTCGTTCTCGGGCTGAAGTGGAGGCAGAAGAGAGACGAAAGCAGAATGGCGGCGACGATGACGGTGGCGACGACTCTGACGACGAGCCGATAATGTCGTCTCGTGGTCGAAAGGCTACAACAAAAGGTGCCAAGTCGCGCACCGCCCCGACGGACCAGAAAGAGGACACACCCGTGGTGGATCAAAAACCGGTCCTACAACTCAATGGACTTCTCGGAAAAGCTGGCAGGGAGGGATCCGAAGTTGATGGGAGCAATGGGTTCTCGACTCCGCCGATAGCTGGCTCTATAACCCCGTCTGGCGCATTGAATGGACACTCTGGCATTGCGAGCAACGCCGATGCCATGGATATCGACGGACCAAGTCTTAGCACAATGACAGCGTTTGGTGAAGCTACTGAACAGGCATACGAGGACGAAGAGTACAAGATTTGGAAGCAGACAACCAAGAAGGATCGAGCTCTAACTGTGAAAGAGCGCCACTTCCTGTTCAAAGGGAACAGTTTGAATACGGATGCCCCAGCACTTCTGAGAAATCGAGCTGGCATGCGCTGGTTTTTGAAGCATCAGAGGGAAGCTGAAACTATGGGAATTGCTGCACACCCACACCTGGCCAGTGCCGCAGGAGCGGGAAAGGATCTGGCCCCAAGCAAGCAACCGGAAACTCTTGCTGAGGGCATTGACGAAGAGACTGAACAGGTGGTGCCCGACTACTACAACCCGCTGACCAGTATCCCTGATATCAAGCCTAATCTGCAGTGGGTTGAGGACGGAGAAGGACAAGTGATTAACCAGCATGAGGCATTCCTCAGACTCGTGCCCCCTGGCTCTTTTATTGCACCGAAAAGCCGACTGACAAAAAAAATGGATGACAATATCCGTCAGATTCAAGAAACCAGAAAGCTGGCGACCAAAATCTCAGTTATCAAGCAAATGCAGGTCCAATCGCAGGTGTACACCAACCAGTTCCCCAAATCGAGTATTGAGACTTTCCTCGAGCAAGATATTGAGCCCCATTTCATCTCGGATGATGGACCTGTGATGGCTTCGGAAACTTGTCAGGATGCTCTCAAGCGCTCTGTCGCGAAAATTCTCTATCATACCGGTTTCGAGGAGTTGCAGCCGTCCGCTATTGATACCTTGACCGGAATTGCTGCCGATTATTTCCAGAAGTTGGTCAGGACTTTTAATATTTACCGCGAGGCTGAAAAGACATCAGTGCAAACTCCTCAAGGACCGCGAACCAAGTCCCGATTCACTCCTGAAGAAGTTGTTCTCCATACCCTCGAAGAAAGTGGCCACGATGTTGCGTCACTCGAATCTTATGCAAAGGATGAAGTTGACCGGTTAAGTTCTCGACTCGGAATTCTCCATGAGCGTATGAAGCTGCATCTCACTGATCTATTGCGGCCGGCCCTTTCCGCGGATGCCGGAGTTGACGGCGTCGGAGCCTTCAAGGATGGCAGTGACCAGTTTATGAGTGGCGACTTCGCTGACGATCTTGGCGAAGACTTCTTTGGCTTCAAGGCTCTTGGCCTGGATAAGGAAATGGGGCTCGACTCCTTCTCCGTTCCATTTCACCTTCTCCATAGCAGAGTTCGTAACCAATACCAGATGCAGACGCAGACGGCTGGCGCAATATCCGCAGATATGTTTGAGGCTTTATCGCCGTCCGAGCCTGTCTCAAACGAGGGCATACAGGAGGAAATTGGCCTGGTTAAAAACTTCTTCCTTGCCAAATTGCACGCTAATGGTGACCAACCTCTGGTTGAGGACGAAGACTTGCCCGTCAAGCAGCGCAAGCCTCGTCCACGCCTGGGGGCAAGCGGCAAAATTATATCCGCCCAGAAACGCCCACCACGAGAACAGCTGGCGTTGGCAAAGAAGAAGAAGAAAATGGAGCTCGCCGCCGCCGCAGCTGAAGCCAAGGCAAATGCATCACCCGAGAAAGGGGCCAACGCTGGAACAGGGTCAACCAACACAACACCAGCCAAGAAGAAGTCAATCACCATCACTCCTGTTCCGCCTCCCAACCCAGCTCTTCTCGCCCTCACCGCGAGCATGGAGAGAACTGACAGCATGCAAAGCCAAGCGGGCACAAGCCAGACCGAAAAGGATGAGAATATTGCTATGATGAGCCCAGACAGTATCGCTCAGTAAATCCGTCAGCATGGCAACACAATTTTTTTTTAATTCCATCTTCATAATCTTTTTTTTTTTTTTTTTTTTGGGTATAGACTACCCCCTCCTAAAAATGTATATATATAAAGAGATATTGCGTGCGGAGTCTCTGTTTCGTTTGGGAAGACCATAGCGACTGCGTCGTCGCCCGTTTGAATATCCTTCAGTTTAACGATAAACCGGCTGGACAACTATGATTTTTGTGTTTTGGTTTTCTTTTGTCTTTTCGCCGGCCAGCGCATGGAAACGCAAAGGCAAGCCTAATGAATTGTTGGGAAAGGAAAACGCGCTCGTATTTGGGGGACAGGCTTCAAGGGGTATCTTTTGTGCTACTAGTGTATTTCGAAATATCCTATATACATTTTTATATCATCGTCGATGGTTTCGCCGTTTTGCAGCCCATAGCTTCCGTTCTGCGCGGCGTACAGAAGGAGAGGCGCTCTGCCTGATACTTGTCTGCTTTGCCGGGGGTGAGTGGTGTCGCGTCTGCTCGAGCCATTGACGGGGCGTTGACGTGGGCGACGGCGGTGAAAAGGATCTCGCAAACACTTACTGTCGGCCGTAAGCTTTGCCACGGTGCTGTTGTGAATGCTTGTATGAAGGGCGGACAGACTGGCTCCGTCTCGTTTCACTGGCAATTCATATTGGTGCAAATTTTGGGCCGCCACGACGTTGTCAGCCTTGTTGGATGTGATGGTGTGTCAAGGAGGCCGTACATGGTCAAAAGCCACTTTTAGTCAAAGGCTGGGAACAGATGTGATTATCTACAATGAAACACTTGATTTGGTTTAGAAGAGAGCAATGTGTCACGAGCGCAAAACTTATTAATATGTGTTATGTGCGGCTTTTGAAGTCCTTAAAGCAAGGCACTCGTGCGTAAATTTCATCTCTAATATACAGTTTACTTCCGCGTAGTGGCTAAGGCTATCTCGCGATGGATGGCCTTTACTGACGCGTAGCTATGCCGCGGTATACCGCAGCTATCCCTTATAATTTTGCAACGCTTCTCACGTATTATAATACGTTTTTATACCGTGTTTCTTTTAATATTAATTAGTTGTCTAGGTTAATGACGACCTAGCACACCCTGTTTGCATAATAAGGCTGTACCTGATGCAGTGCTGGTGTGAATATCGGTAAAGGTTAAGAAATAATAATGTTTAAACGGAAGATTTCGCAGGCCAATGCATTCAGGACAGATAATTGTGATATTTTGGAGCGTTGAGCGCCTCTGCCTAACTGTTTATTAACAGACAGTCACTTCAGTTTTGCAAGTTGATTCTAGTTGTCTCCGACAACTCCCAGCCTTCCCGAAGCATTCATTCCACATAAAAACCCGACAAGAGAACAAAAATTTGGTCGATGCGTAATAAAAAATAGATATCAAGTACGCCAGCCCGTTAAATGCAAGTTGTTGAACATTCGCCTTTTTGGCAGCATCCCATGTTAAATTCCTCAGCATGTAGAGCTGTACTCCACCCCTGATTTCATGCTGTCATAATCCTGTTCCTTCTTTTCCATGCCCATCAGGGAGTTATGGCATCTAGATGCCAGCGTCCAGGCGCCAGCCCTCAACGGGGAGGGGGAAAGCACTGGTCCAAGCAGCGATTTCCTTGCGGAGCTCGTTGATGCGAGGAATCTCGCCGCTGGCAACCTTGGCCTTGAAGTCCTTGAGCTTGTTGGCTTCCTTGGGAAGAGCAGCCTGGACCTCCTTGCAAATCTTGATGCTCTCATCGATGTATTTGGCGACACGCTCAAAGTCCTTCTCGCCGAAACCACGGCTGCTCATGGCAGGGGTACCAATGCGGATGCCGCATGGGGTGAGAGCGCTCTTGTCTCCAGGAATGGCGTTCTTGTTGCAGGCAATGTTGATCTGCTCAAGAACAGCCTCGACACGGGCACCGTCCAGGCTGAACTGACGGAGGTCAAGGAGAACCATGTGGCTGTCAGTGCCATCAGCAACCAGCTTATGTCCAAGAGACTTGAATGTGTTTTCCAGAGTCTTGGCGTTGGATACGACCTGCTCCTGGTAGGCCTTGAACTCGGGGGTCTGAGCCTGCTTGAGAGCAACGGCCAAGGCGGTGATGGTGTGATTATGAGGTCCACCCTGATGGCCGGGGAAGACGGAGAAGTTGATGGGGCCCTCAAGGTCATAGAGGGTCTCCTTGCCAGTTTTGGCATCGACAGAGCGGACACCCTTGCGGAAGAAGATCATTGCGCCGCGAGGGCCACGGAGAGACTTGTGGGTGGTGGTAGTGACGACATCAGCGTACTGGAAAGGCGTAGGGATGACTTCGGCAGCGATAAGTCCAGAGATGTGAGCCATGTCGACAACAAGGTAAGCGCCAACGGAGTCGGCAATCTCGCGCATGCGCTTATAGTCAATCAAGCGGCAGTAAGCAGAGGTACCGGCGACGAGGATCTTGGGGCGGTAGAGGATAGCGTTCTTGGCGAGCATGTCGTAGTCGATGATACCAGTCTCGAGGTCAACTCGGTAAGGCATAGTCTCGAAGTAGGTGGAGACAGCCGAGATCCTGGTGAGGAAAGCAAGCAAGTTAGAACACGGAGCTTCCCAGAACGAAAACCACAGTGGTGAACAGGAGGACAAGCTTACTTGCGCTGAGGAGTCTGGTAACCGTGAGAAAGATGGCCACCGTGAGGAAGGTCGAGACCCATGAGACGACCGTGAGGAGGCATGATAGCCTGGTACACCTGCAAGTTGGCAGGGCTGCCAGACAAGCACTGGACGTTGACACCCCACCTCTCAGGGTCGAGGTGGAAGGCCTCGAGAGCTCGTTTCTGGCAGAGCAACTCAATGCGGTCAATGTGCTGGTTGCCGCCATAGTAGCGAGCGCCGGGGTAGCCCTCGGAGTACTTGTTGGACATGGGGGAGCCGAGGGCATCGAAAACGGCGCGAGAGGTGATGTTCTCCGAGGCAATGAGAACAATCGACTCTCGCTGCCGCTGGACCTCATCCTTCTATAGCGGGGTATCATCAGTATGACTGCGAAATCGGCACAGACGAGGCTCGCGAAAGCCTATGAAAGACTTGTGAAACGTACCATGATGGTGGCGACCTCGGGGTCAGTCTCGAGAAGAGGCTTCTCGAGCATCTAGACAGAGGGCATTGTCAGCTCAACAACCTCCTCAATTGAGTCATTCCATCGTGCTTGTCCATGGTGGGGCAGAACAAACCTCCTTGTGAGACGCAGACAGGGCGTAGTCGGAAGACATTGTGAATGTGAGGTTGAAGGACAGGTATCAATGGAGAGAGAGCTGAGGATGGGACGAGATGTGGGATGGACCAGAGGATTAAGAGTCTTCTGGAGAGAGAGATGTGGAAGACAAGACGAGGGAAAAAAAAACTTCAGACAGGTAGGTGGCTTGGGAAGGGTAAAAGTAGTGAAAGTGGTGCGATCCAAGCCAATTGCATGAAAAAATTGGCGGGGCGAGATCGGGGGCGGTGGATGATTGCGGGGTCTATTTGGCAGGTGCGACCAAGGAGGGGTCCTGCTGCTCGGTGACACTGCACACGAAGATGCATTCGCACTCGTCTCTTTGAATCCAGGACAAGAAGTTGGGCATCCTTTCTCGAGGTCTGATATATGGAAGACCTGAGGCGTGTTGTCTATGATTATTATGTTCTCACACTCACACCTGTCGCTTAGCTTGAAGCTATACTTGTATCGAATATGACTCGAAACATGCTGGCGCTGTCTTGGTACCTCCGAAGAATGTGCTTGGAACCCCGACCACCCGGAACAACAACGAGAACCGACATCTGGACTCAACATGCCCCGGAGCTAGCTCGGGCCCGGCAGTTATGGTTCCCAGCTGTGAAGCTCAGAAAGCTTTCGAGAGCCTTTCTGGTTTCGTGCTCAACCCAGGCTCTCGGCGCACCGCTGAGCGGCCTCTGAGCTTAACTCTATGCGTGCGCATGAGCATGCGCTTGACCTCTCCCCCATTGGAGTGAACGGTTTCACGCGCAACTCGGCGAGCAAGACGGCCTGCGTCCTTGCATATTTCCACAAGCCTCCCAACACTGCCAAGTAAGCTGTGCTCCGAGTCTCGGAGAATCTATGACAAGATGGAAATCATCAAATTCGGCATATACATCATGATTACGGCCGTGGATGAATTCCGATGCCCGAGCAATCCCCGGCCGACAGCCATCACGATGTGAGCGAGTGGCATAGCTGAGATGGGAGGATGAAGAAGCGCTCTACGGAGTTCATGTACCCCTCACGAAGCTATGAAGGGCCTCTCCAGTTTCCAACGGCCCAAGCCCAGAGAGGCTCGCCGAGTCACGCCCTCCATCGCCCCCATGATGACTCCCGTTGTTTGCATCTGCTATAACATTGACACGAAAAAAGCAAATACTACGCGCAGGCTTGATCCTTATGGGGAGCTCTTGTGATTCAGTTCCTCTGCACATCATGCAAGTCGCCCATCGGGCACCGGCTCGGTTAGCTGTCAACGGCGTCCAATAAGCGCCACGTGGAATGCCGCTTACCAAGGCTCACGCCTCACACCTCACGCCTCGCCTAAGCCACCCCGTGGTTGCGTGCGAAGCTGCAACCTCCTCGACGCAATATGCCTGCATCAATTGGAGGCGATTGACAAGATATTCATCCATTTCCAGTTCACCCGGAAAACGCACCGGAGGCCCCGGTTCTTCCAGGCAAATCCACCCGCAACAATGGCTTGGCCATACGGGTTCCCCAGCCTCACCCACGAGGAGAAGCTGCTGCGGCGCCAAACACTCGACTTGTATGCTTGCATCGCTCATTATTCGGCCCTTGTACCGGCTCTTCTTTTCCTATTATATCGCCTCCTGAAACGTGTTGCATCTCAAGTGAAATCTGGGTCGTCGAGCGAGCAAACTCGTTACAGTGTTGTTCCGAACTCTCCTACTGTCAAAGCCCAACTGCAGCGCCCGTCAGCGAGGTTTGCATCGCAATGGCGCAAAGTTGTATGGT